TCTTCGGCGTCTGGGAACAGATTCTCCGCCAATTCATTCATTTCGATCGTCGGATAGAGCGACGAAGATTGGGAGGGGCTTTTTCTAGGGTTTGACAGAAATGACGAATTCGAATCAGGATTGGTCTGGACGACTCCTGGATACAGAGAATTGGGGGTTTTGGAAGCCACGGTCGATTGAATTGATTGAGGTCTGACTTTTTCCCCTAATTGCAGGATTGTTCGATCGGATGGTGCAATTGATTTTTATTGGGAGAAACTTAGGGAAGAAGGAAATGGTGGGGAGGCATGCGGGTGGATAATGAGCTAATTTCTCAGTTCTTCATCTGTGTGAATTATTTTGGAGCATTGAAAAGGCCTGCTTATATAGATCGAGCAAAATTTTAATTCATGAAATTTTTAGCTCTGTTGGCATTCTTCTCTTGTTTTTCCAAGCTGGACAAAGGCCAATTCTTGGTATTTGAGCAAGTATTTTGCAGCCAGCAAGCCTTTTTTGGGAAATTGGGTGTTTGCATTTTATGATTTGAGCACAGGTACACAACCAAGGGAAGAGAGAGTTTGGCAGAGATTTGTTGAAGGAGGATTACAGGAAGCATATGAAGATGCTAGCAGTATATGGCTTGATCATTCTGCAAGGTATAGTGGTGGAGTTGGTAAACCACTTTGTCCCTAAATATATTCCAAATTTAGTGAAAACTTTTGAATTATAGTTTGTCAGATGTTGATAAGGATCTTGTTTCAGGTCTTCTGGGGGTTTTCTGTATATGCCACATAGTAAGCTCGTATCCATGCCATTGCTACCCTACCCTGCAATAGATTTTAAGAAATGTGTGTGGTTTGGTTTGATTATGCAATTTTAGTGTTATCCATTAGATGTGAATGGGAATATTACCATAAAATGTCCATGTGTACAGAGAGACTTGGGTTGTGGATCTTGAGTGCCCAAGTACCTCCAACCAGTGCACAGGTCGATCCTGTGGCCACACCACACAGGAAGCAGAATGAACTGGTAAGGTCAGAATCTATCAGCTTTTCCATCCGGAATCTCTTAAACATTTCCCATGTATCCATCGATGCCTGCAGTATACCCCTACCTGCACAAATCCCCACTTATTTCCATACAATATGAGCCTTGCTGCAACCCCTGACCAGCAGTTTGCACACGAAAACATGAACTCATCCACATCTCCCGAACTGCTCGAGCCAAACCTGTAATGACGTAATTGAGCCTATGGATATACTGCCCATTGAGTGTTTGATTGTGTTTTTATATCTATTTCTTCTGCGCTTGCAAATTGCATGTATACTAGGTGAGATATCGTGACATACACCATGTTTTGCATTGTCCATATAAAGCTCAACAGGATCAGGACTACAAATAGTGGGAGGATCTTTGCTCTACCTGCAGTGGCTCCTCCAATGCCAGAGAGCAAGAAAACTGAATAAAGAGCACAGGTAATTATCGAGAAAATTACTATAGCTCTGACTTTCAGAGGGCGAGAAATCGATACTATCCTGTTGGCAAGCTTGAGCCTTGAACTAATCCAACATGCATATAGGGATTGGACCAAGGAACAAACAAAAGCAAATATGGCTACTGCAATGCAATACTCCCAGGAGTTTCTATGGAAATGAGCAAAATCCCGAACCCACAGGTAAGAGAATGCAGCTTTGATGACTCTTGAAGGATCCAAACTGGTAAATTCTAGAAATAAAAATGCTGCTATTCCTGCACAGGCAGTGGAAGAGATGACTGGAAGGTTCCATTCCTTGGGGTGGAAACAATGGGACTTGGCAGCCGATGAGACAAAAGCATAGACTGTTAAGAATCCCGATGAGAGCAAATTGTAAGTAGAAAAGGTAGTGAAAAATCTTGTTAACAAAGTTGCCCTCCCTCCTTATGTGCAAGTGTGTGCCATTTGTTTGCTGTGTCTGCATTCAGAATCAGTTTGATGATCAGCTTGATTTGATGTGTTTTATGATCTGGGGAAAATAGGAATGAGATGTGAGATGTTAAGTCAAGAGTGAGAAAGAAAGACAAGAAAACTATGGAATGAGGGATTGAATAGATGAATGTTAATGGCAAGTGTTCTGCCCTGCTCGTGTTTTCATCCTGCTAGCTGTTCACAGAAGTTGTAATGCATTCTGCGTGCGGCTTCCACTTGCTAGATTAATGTCTGGTTCAAGATGCTAATTTCTTCTTTCAAATGTAAAATTTCCTGCTGAAGGACGAAAAACTTGTTTTTCAAGCTTCTCTTTAAACTCCTTCACACCTATGATTTCAGTTTGCATAATCTCCATAGAAGCAGCTGATATTTGGCCGAGACTTTCATTTTAATTCCTGAGCTGTTGAAGATCTTCTTCCAGGAGAGAGTTTTACTCGATTCAAGCATTAGAAGGCTAGGATGCTCTCAAGTTCCGATGCCAGACCCTTCTCTCAGAATGCAAATCTTGCAGAGTGGCTTCGACTTGTGCATGATGCATTTGCTCGTATTGCAGACAATTCTGAAGCTCCTGATCTTTAATCGCATTCTTCTTTCTCTGCCTCAACGTGCAAAGTTTGGTTAGACAAATCCAACCGAGCACGCTTCACGAGTTTAGCATTTCCAACGAAGAACTCGCTTGACTTCTTCTTGAGCACTAGCCAGATCTTTCTTAAGCTTCGAAATGGTCTCCGACCAGCAATTGTACTGTTGGTGATGGTGGAGAGCGGAAGAGAGAAAAGAAAAATAAATTTGCCAACCGACGACGGCTGTACTGTTCTCTTCATCCAATCAATTCACTCATTTTCTCTTCTCTTTCCATTCCAACCGGTAATCAATTCATACAATATATTTATATAAAAAAAAATTACAAATAACATTCTACCATAACAAAAATTTGCTTAATTATTTAAATTTTATATTTTTATTATGTAGTATTTGTATAATTTTTAAAAAATTTAAGTAATTAATCACCCTTGTAGATTTAATAAAAATATTATTATTATTTATATTTAACTCAAATGTTAAAAAAATTGGTTGAAATAGTATTTGTGTAACTTTTAAAATTTAAGTAATTAATCACCCTTATAGATTTAATAAAAATATTATTATTTATGTTTAACTCAAATATTAAAAAAAATTGGTGAAATACTTCAAGTATTTAAAAATATCTTAAAATATTCAAATAAAACAAGCTAAAAAAATTGTTTGTAATGTTTTTAAACAATAAATTTATTGTATTTTATAATTTTAAAATTATTATACATTATTTATATATAAAGAATTTGGTCCCGGCCAAAAAAAATTTCTGACTCTGCCAATGTGTTAGTGTTTGGCCTATACATATTTGATGTATTTATTTATTTATTTTTATGTAATTTTAACACTTTAAATTATTAGTACAAATATCTGATTTAATTGTTGCAAACATAAATTATTCTGATAAAACTAGATCACCAAAATTTTGTATTATTGTATACTGTCACACTTTGCTATTTAATACTCTCTCCGTCCCATATAATATGGGTGTATTACTGTAGATAAAAGTATAATTAGTAAGTAATTAAGAAGTGTATTAGTAAAAATAATTATTATTTAGTAAAAATAATTATCGATTAAGATTAAGATAAGTAAATAGTTTAATTAAAATTAAAAAAAATTATAAAATTTAAAATTTAAAATGCGATTAAAGTACATAATTATATTTTCAAAAATAGAAAGGACAAGTTATGTGGGACGGACGAAAATAGAAAATAGGGACTAATTATATGGGACGGATGGAGTATTATTATTTATTGGAGACTTAGATCGGGTGTTGAATTGGATCAATGCTGTTGAATGCCTTGAAACATAATATCTTAATTTCTATCATTAAATTATACTAGTATAATTAACACTCCCTCCCTCCCGAAATTATAGTATTGATTGTGTTTAATACGAGATTTAAGAAATACTGGTATTATATTGATAGTATGTAAAAAATATAGGTAAAAGACATTTTTGCCTTTGTAAGTGTATTAGTGTGAAAAGTAATGGCAGTTGTATAATAATAATGAAAGAGTAAAGGTAGTTTTATAGTAATATGATTATTTAAAAAAATAAGACTATTATTTTTAAACGGACAAAAATAATAAACAAAAATATTGTATTGGGATTGAGGAAATATAATAAAAGGTGATTATATGTTTTAAGGCATTCCTGATATTGGGGCTTATTATTGTCAATACTAAGTAGGAGTCATTAGTTGAGAGATCATATTATTTCCTCAACAACACAACCTTAATGATGTTGTTATCATTACAAACGTAACATCAGACCCATCATTATTTTCAGGTAAAATAACATAAAATTCTTATGTGGTTTTCGAAATTTGCTAAAAATTCATTATAGTTCTAAAATTTCATATTGATTGCTCGTGGTTTTAAAAATATTGTATAAAAAACTCTTTCTATTAGTATTTAAAGGCGATTGCAATTAACACACCAAATACAACTGCTCTTTGAATTGTATTTGCACATCGAGCAATCATTGTAAAATCTGTTATATTGTTCGGTCGTGCTCATATTAACAACTTTATTTTTTTTATTTTTTAAAAGTTATTTATTAGTAGGTTTTCAAGTTTTATTTAATTATATCTTAATTCTTTTTGTCTCTCCTTAATTTTAATATATTTTATATTAATTAATATTTTTATGTATATATATATTTTTTATTTTCAGTAGATTTTTTTAATTCAACGATTAAGGAGGGTTTACCGCGGGAACCGCTCTCTAATGGGACAACGAACAAGCTTTGTGGAAATGTAAATTATTCTGACATATATTCATGCAACTGAGTTGGTTGTATATGAGTAATTGGGCTTTTAAATTACTGGGCCCATTTATTCAGACTTGGGCTTAATGGGCCCGGACCACTGATCCAGGCCCATTTTGGTTTTCAGAAATAGGTCCCAAGTGCGGGAGTAGTGTTCCTGAAAAGGGTAGGGATTTATAGGAATTTATCTTCTGAACGGAATTTATGAACAATAGGTAGAAAGAATAAATAAATAAGAGGGAAATTATTTTTATTTTTATTTTTATTTTATTTTATTTTTAGAAAAGATGAATATGGGTGGCGGAGCAGGCGTCGCCGACGAAAGTAGCACCACCTCCGCCGTCGCGCAGTTGAGCCACGCTGTGTGGCTACGGTACCAGCATTTGCTGGACAAGTCTACGCCGCTGGTGCTGTATCGCTGGATCTTCTTGGGGGCGATCGCCTTGATATACGCGCTGCGCGTCTACTTCATCCAGGGTTTCTACATCATCACGTACGGGCTGGGGATCTACATCCTGCAGCTTCTGATCGCGTTTCTGTCGCCGCAGGTGGATCCAGAGATCCAGGAATTGACTGATGGCCCCGCCCTCCCGACGCGCGGCTCCGACGAGTTCCGCCCCTTCGTTCGTCGCCTCCCTGAGTTTAAGTTTTGGTGAGTCCTGCCCTGCACGCGCTTGATTGTGTCCATTTATTCGATGCTATATATACATAGTCGGTTTGTTTGCGTTTCTGCAAATTATTCCGTAGTTATTATTGGATCTGCGATGTAAATTAGTCTGTTTTAGGTATTGATCAATTACGACATGCGGTGGCATTAATATATCTATCTCTGAACTAGTATTGTATGTCTCACGAATACACTTGACCTGAGATCATGTTTTTTAGGCAACTATTTGTCAATCTGTCCTGAGATCATGTTTTTTAGGCAACTATTTGTCAAACTGTCATGCATCTTGATATGTAGGTTATCAATGGTAAGAGGTGACTTTGCTTTATACAATCTGAGAAGTGGCCCTAAACATGGGTAATTTTGAATTCATGAAGTGTTTGTTTGTTTGTCTTTTGAAGTTTTTCTGATGTATTTTTGGGTATTTTGGATTTGAAATTTTTTGAATCCAAAACATGTTTTGGATGTTACGGTTTGGATGGAATATAGTTGTCAGGATGTGATAATTTTTACCGATAGTGGATATGTTCATTTGTTTTTTTGTGAAGCCTAAAGATTTCATATTAGACAATTTTCAGTATCAGTTCGTTGTTATAAAATAAGGGTTAGCTTGATGATGGTTGGCTTAGCTTTTCTAAAATGATGAATGCAGTAAATGATTGTAATGTAATACATAACTTTCTGTTTGTCGGTGTTACTCACGCGCACAACACACCTCGTGCGTGCACACATGTTGGTGTTTTAGAAGTTGAAAAAACATTTGTGTGAAATTGATGCTTCTTCTACGATTATTTAATATTTATCTTTCTGATTGGGTGTTTAGTTACTAATGCTATAAATCATACTGTTAAGGTTACAGTGTTTCTTTGTTGTTTTAATCTGTTAACTTGCTGAAACTTGGGAATCTTTAATCTAAGCTAAATTAAAAATTATAGAATATGATACGGAATCATTTTGTATCCATTAATTTGTATTTATAGCGTTTCACAAATGGAGAGAGCATCTAAGTAGGAATATCCAAGGATACAAAGAGTTTGCTAATTACCAATTATGAATGCAAAACTGACTTTCTCAACTTATGAGATCCACCAGAAGTCCAGAACCTTGATCGAATCATGAAAAATTTGTGACAAGTCTCAAACATGAGGACCATAGTGCCTATCTTTCTCGCATCAGTAATTCTCAATGATTATTTAATGTAGTCTTTATGATATTTAGATTTAATATTTTTGTTTGCCTTTTCATGTGGCTATATTCTGTGTTTATTTATCTGCATACAGCTCATTGTAGAATTTCCTTTACATAGATAACTTTTTATGCTGCCTTGCCAGACATTACCAGAAATAGTGGTTACAACTTGACTTCTGAACTACATGTCTTGTTTATTCCATAGTTGTCTATTGCGTGCAATAGTGCGGTAATGGCGGTGTAGCGTAACGGAGCTGAGCAGCAATCTGCCACTACTTCCGCGCTGCAAAGCCACTTTTATGTAATAGCGGAATAGCGACTTTTAGCAGTGTGGAGCAGAGCCAAGTGCTTTTTAAATTGAATTATATAATACTCCCTCCGTCCCAAAATTATAGTATGGGTTGTGACTTTTTTACTCTTGTGAGTGTATTAATATAAAAAGTAGTGACAATTGTGTAATAATAATGAAAAAGTAAAGGTAATTTTATAGTGATATGGTTATTTATGGAAGTGACACTTGTTTTGGGAGAGACAAAAATGGTAAACATGACTATTGTATTGGGACGGAGGGAGTATAATTATTGTCATAAATAGACTTAGATTTTATAATATAATATTAATGTTTATTGTTTGGTAAATATAGATTTTGTATTATTATATTATAATATACTATAGTTACTTCTAGCTCTAGAAAGGGAAAAAAACACTGTGCAAGATGACGAACAAACAATGGAAAATGAATAAAACTGAAAAAGATGAAGAATGTTCATACAAGGGTAGAAGCTAAGAAGGTGAAAATGAAGAAGAAAATTATTTATTAGATTTTGAATCAGGCTACCTTTGATTACCTATTCATCAAAGTAGAGATGATCTAATTGTTTTTGATTATATAACTATTTATGAACTATGATTGTATATTTTGACATTTTATTGGTTTGAATAGTAATCATGAGATCAATTAAAATTTTCTCATACGTTTTTATTTTAATTTTTTATATATAAAAATTATATATTTATTCTTAAATTTTCAAATAACGGTCATTTTGCTATAATGTTTAAGAGGTTGACCCTTATAGAATGCTGTCCGAGATTGACAAATGGTTTATACTATTTTTGTAGTTGAGTCCACCCAAAAGATCAAAGCAGTAGTGTTGGCTTTGTGATATTTGTAGAAATTTCATGGGGAAACAATTCATATAAATGTTATATTGCAGTTTATGAGTTCCTCAACAGTATGATGCAATACCTTTTATTTGCTTCATTGGATATTCTTAGTTTGTGTTTTTTGGTTCTGAAAAGATATGGTTCATTATATGTTTGATCATATTGATGATTGTCAATTGTTTTATCCTTTTATAAAACTTACACATTTATTAGATTGCATAGGTACATTGTAAAGGCATAAGCCCTTTATTGCCACAAAAAATATATGATTTTTTTCATTTGGTTATTTTCTTATTGGATGAAATCATTAGATAGTTTGTGCTGTCATTTTGCTGTATTTTTATTGTCTGGAAAATAATTCACTTTTGCATTCTGTATTATTTATTTTACTGAAGTTACACGATTGTTGTTGAAATTTTATCTTTTGATTGCCAAAACTATTTCTATTTCCTCTTATTTGATCAACTAATAGATAAATAAACTATTTCATACACTTCATTGCAGGCATTCACTTGCAAAAGCATTTTGCGTTGCTTTTGTACTGACATTTTTCAGCGCCTTTGATGTGCCTGTATTTTGGCCTATTCTGCTGTTCTATTGGTTGGTTCTGTTTGTTTCCACAATGAAGCGGCAAATAATGCATATGATTAAGTATAAATATGTTCCTTTCACATTTGGGAAGCAGGTTTGTTTCTGATCAATCCATTATACATCTTCTTGTAATTTTCTCACTTACAAGTAATTAAGACATTCAAACGCTCTCTTCAGCGTTACGACAGGAAGAAGGCAGCTCCCACTACCGAGACAAACACTAGCAGGCCATAATTCTTCAGATTGATGCGGGCCTTAATCCTGAAGATACCGTTGATTTTGAGAGTTACAATCACTTTTTTCTAAGTATTGTAATTTTTAGCATTCCATGTGTAGGAATGAATTGGCTAGCAGCTTCTTTAAGATTTTTTTACACTTTGTTTAATTTAGCAGCTACTACTGTTATTTTATCTGATTGTTTTTAATTTTTTTACTTCATAGTCATGCCTTTGAATTACATGTTTTCGATTACCTGCATTTCTATGCGCTACACTGTCTGTAAGTTCTGTAATATCTTAAGAAAGCTTGCTTTATATTGCGCAGATTGTGGTTCTTTTACTTAATACCTTAAAACAAAAAAGAAATAGTCTATTTCAGTGGTGTTACAATCAAATTGTCTGTGCTTCCAGCAGGTACTTTTAACCCCAAAAGCTTATTGGATATTCATTCAACTTTCAAATATAACTTGTTATCTCAGCTTCCATTTTCTGCCTTTATGTCTGATCAGAATATTAAGCAATTAGAGTTTCTCTTTAAGGTACATACACTTGAATCTTCATTCCAAATTTCATGTGATCTGTGGTGTAAGAAATGCCTGCCTTAAACATTAAGTTGTGCCTGCTCTGTGGTTCTTGAAACTAGATGTGTTACTAGTAGATTTACAGTTTTTTTATTTATAAGTGAAGGGTGATCAAAATGTCTCCATGGAACAGATGGAATTGAGCAGTTTTGAGAGCATCAATATATGTATATATTCTTATTGAAACCCTGCATATATATCCTAAAAGATAAGGGAAAATTAGGACATTTTATTATTCGAGCGGGTTGCAAGGAAGGGCCATTGCATTGATGTCCCTGTTGAGAGATGTGTGATGCCCTACTACCCTACAACTTGTTGCTGTCAAGTCTCTGTACCAGCCTCCAACATTTGGGTGCATTATCCTCTACTGTGCTGTAAGGTTGAGTTGAGTTGAGTCTACTGTTTGTTTTATATACACACTTAACAAAGTCATACATGCTTAGTCTTACTAATCACTTTCATACCAATTATCATGTATCTTGATTGCATTACAATATGTAAACCTGCAGGTTGTTAGCATGTAGAAGAAGCGTTTACTTACTTGCAGATGGCAATTTCTCACTTTCAACAGTCATGGTAAATTTGGTAAGTTTACTTACCCCATGGTAAATAATAACCTGTGTATGCAATTTGTACATGCTGTAGCAGTAGTTAAGAGCATTAATGGTACTAAATATGGTTGATGTTAATTACTTTCTGAGTAGATGATAAGCTCATAGTGATGGAAAATGTTGAAGCCATTACAGCTCATTGCTGCAATACAGATTCTCTTGAATAATTGCACTTAAAAAAAAGGGAAAGAAAATCTTGTACAAAAAAGATAGAATTGAAAAAAAAGGTGAATGGGGTCTCTCTTTGATGGCTGCTCTTCCACTCACTAATGGATTGGGTGGAGGACCATCAGTTATTGGTCTCGTGCAAGTGACCCCAACTTTCCCTGCCCTAATACTTGGAATCTTGCTCATTTTATTCGATTGAATTCCTCTGCAGTCCCCCCTTTTTTTTTTTTTTTTGTATTTTAATGCATCAATTTGTTGATCATCAAACGATGCTCCTATAATGGCTTTGATTGTTAGGATGTCTCCATCTAAGCAACTGTGTAATGAGAATATCAATTATAGCTGCACAGAAAACCTTCCTTTTTCACCAGTGTCTGGGACATGCGATTGACATTCATGTTTTTACCGGCAGAAGAAAAAAAAAAAAGATATAGTATTATATTATATATGGATGGGGTTAAATTAGAAGAAGAAAAATATCTCATTCTAATGATGTTGGTTGAACCTAACTGTGCATTAAACGCATTTTAGTACCAGTCTGCAGAAATCAGGTCCACAAAATATTGTCACTTTTCTGCATTAAAGCTGTCAAGTTGCCTGTGATTTGGCCCAGAAAGTTGGCTTGTAAATTTATATTTAGGTGAAGGAAATTAATGGTGGGCATGGCATTAAAAGTGAGATAGGCTAGTAAGGAGCATCATGCTGGTTCTTTTCCTTCATTTTTATTGATTGTTTTTGGCCTGATGAAAAAGAAAATGTCAACCTCAAATGCTGGTTCTGAGACATCATGTTTTATTTCGCATAAAACTAAATCTTAATTGCCTTTTGAGGTGCCTTCACCAACTAATGTCTTTCGATTGGCATATGACATTTTGGAATAAGATGGAAATCATGGAATTCCATCTTGAATTAAGTGCAAAAAGGTGGATAATAGCTATTTACTCCTTGAAAGGCTTGCTATGAGCCCAAAATCAATATATGCTCAGGAAGATTGTTCTTTTCAATGAATGTGCCAAATTTTAAGCAATAAACCTAAAAGGCTACATTAGTGCAGTTGAGAGATGCCCCCAAAGATTAATGTTAATGGTGGGGAGATTAACTTATCCTAAAGTTCTCTACTGACTGTTGTAAGATTTCATTTTTTATTTTCCCTATCATTAAAGGTGTTGTTCTGTAGATCTATATGTACCTTAAGACAATGCAACCTTTATGGACCCCAACTATTTTCCAGGACACTAGAAAACAAAAATCCTGCAAATAAACCTATGAGAACTGTGTGCCTATAAACTGCTGGCAGGACAATCACTTGGAAAAATAGGAGTTTTCTATCCTCTCTATTAGTGCTTTTCTCTTCTCCATTTCTTTATCATTGAGCAATGGAAGGTGGATTTCCTATGCTCAACTGTTTGTTGCAGCACACACTCAGAAGCCTATGTGCATGCTCAGAGTCATCCACCTCTGCAAAATGGGTATATGCTGTCTTTTGGAGGATCCTTCCAAGAAACTACCCTCCCCCAAAGTAAGCACCTTTTCGAACTAACAGAAAAAGTAGCATTGCAGTTAAAAGATGTGATGGTTTTGGCATCATCCTTGATTGACTTGTGTTTTTTTATTTAGTCTTTCTAGTTATTGTAAGGTGATCAAGACCATGCGTTGTGATATTTTTGCAGGTGGGATCATGGAGGAGGCTTGCTTGATAGAGCTAAGGGGAACAAACGGAACTGGTGATTTTTCTTATTATTGCTATTTTATGTTGTAATGAAGTTATGGTTAACATTATAATAAATGTTATGGTTCAGGATTCTAGTGTGGGAGGATGGGTTCTGTGATTTTTTTGAATGTGAAAGAACTGCAAGTGGTTATGCTAAAGGCAGGTTTGGAGCAGACATTTTCTTCAAGATGACTCATGAAGTGTATAATTTTGGTGAAGGGTAACAACAAATTAGAACTGCTTCTGATTCTGTTGTTCAGAAAATTGTTTCAAATTTTTATTTTATTGGCAGATTAGTGGGTAAAGTTGCATCAGATAACAGTCATAAATGGGTATTCAGAGACACCCCAACAGAGAATGATCCTACCTTCATTCCCTGGAATGTGTCCATTGATCCTGTAAGACAATTTATTTAATTCATCATCAATCTTGCTTCAAATGCTTTCCTTACCTGTCTTAAACTTAATAATAACGATTTCTTGAAAAATTCACATCAACAGCAACCAAGAGCATGGGAAGCTCAGTTCAGCTCAGGCATTGAGGTGATAAAATATGCTTTTATGTAAAGTAAAACTTCATCTTTTTTCAATATAATAATAATAATAACAAAACTTGTATCTTTGCCAGACTATTGCAATAATCTCAGTCAGAGAAGGTGCCATCCAACTTGGCTCATTTGACAAGGTAAGCAATTTACACACACATCACTTCTTCCAAATAATTCATACAAATCTTAAAACATACCCAATCAATCAGGTTTTCGAAGATCTCAACATGGTGATCAACATACAAAGAAAATTCAGCTACCTTCAAAGCATTCCAGGCATATATGTGATACAGAGGCCATACCTTCCAATACAGACTACTACTCCCAACACATTCAATCATATCAACAGAAAAGTTCAAAGCAATAGCTCCGTCGAGGATAAGCATCATCATCATCAAGTAACAGGATTGAAAAGGCAGAGCTCACCCGACGATGGTGATGATTCGCCATCCAAGTCCATATACTTAGGCGACAACAGCCCACAGAATTTGTGGTCTATCCCACCTCTTCTACCCTCTATGTCCTGCAACATCGGAGCATTCTTGCCCAAGATTCCGCAGCTATATTATTCCCCTGATGGTGAAAACACCCTGATCAATAGTAACCATAGTAGTATCCTGAATTGTGTTTCGGCGTTTGATGACATACAGGCTGTTGATGTCAAAGTCGAGGAAGTTCCGGTAGGGATGCCGGACGACGGCGACGGAGGGAAGGGAAAAAGGCCTGGCCTGTTAAAGCATGGGATAGGAGGCTTAGGATTTGAGAAGGCTTTTTGCAAGTCATGAGTGTGGTAAGTAAATTTGATTTGATGAGAAAGAGATATAATAATAATAATAATAATCTAAAGGGATTAAGAAAGAACACTATTTATTAGCCTTTGGTTTTCTGTTATAAGCTGCTTCATCATCAAGGTACAAGGAATTGTTCATATCATACCATAGAGCAATAATAAAATAGTAATTAAGCATTTATTAATTATTTATTTGAATGGTGTATATATATTGTATTGGATGTATTTTCTTTGCATTTTCTTTGGGTAGTTTGAATTTGAATTTTCGTTTAAATACTTTAAAATTGAGAATTATAAAAATTAAATTTTAAAATAATTGAAAAGGCACAAATAGAACATAGTCTGAACGGAGCCTAGACTTTGAGAAGCACGTTCGCTCAATCATTTTTAATTTGTCTATATTTTTATTTTTGATCGGTTCTATTAATTTAATAAATTAATTATTTTTAATAATATACTTATTAATAATTTACTAGTTATATTTTTGTCTTGTTTTATATGTCTATTATATTCCCCTTGCCGTTGCTAACTGCTGAGTTAGTAGTAGATGGGACAGACGGACAACATGTTCATCAAGAAGGTAGGAACCATAAAAAATATAAGTAGAATAGAAGAAATACAGGCAGTCAGCTTAACAGACACATAAATATTTGATCCGTATCATTAATTTATTTTATTAACCATACATGCATTTCGAATTCCCTAGTAGTGTGTCCTTTCATGGACTTATTCCATCAGATCAGATCAGAACAGAACTAGGCCAGGCTAAGCTAGCCAAACAAGATCGATTGGCCGGCTTCCTTGCTCATCTGCTCGATCATCCACCAAATTAATTTCTCAACTCAAGAACTTCCGACGGCCCCAATCGGCCGTGCCGGCACCGGAATCTGCTTGGATTGCCGTTTCTCTGCCATAAACATATTATTAATTATTAAATTTTATAAAAATTTAAAAATTGCATTGTATATTGATCATCAAAATAAAATAAATTTATTTATAGGCAACATAAAATAAAATAGATTCAATAAATTCAAATTTAAATAATTTAATACTTTCTTCATCCCAGTTATCATTGTCATACTTTTCATTTTTGTCCGATATCACTTTCTCTTTCTAGAATAGTATTTTGCATTTTAATCATATTTTAAATATTATAAAATATAAGTTTTTAAATTTTTATTAGACTAATTAGTTATTTTAATCTTAATTTATATAATTATTTGTATTATATTATAATTAATTTTACTAATACATTTTTAATTACTTATTGATCATATCTCTCCTAAATTTATGTGCCTGCAGTAACAACTACGGAGGGATAGAGTATATAAATAAGACAATCTAAATCTAAATAGATTAAATCTAAAAGTGAATATCTAAAATAGGTCAACAATTCATCAATAAACAACAGAAGCCGGCGGGATCGCAGACGGGGAAGTCGGAGGGGCAGCACCCCCACTGCGAGCACGACCCGCCATGTCTGTTGATGCAGCAGCAGGTGGTTCTCGGCGCGCACTCGATCTGCGCGTTGGCATCGCACATGTCGGGAAATGGTGTCGGATACATCGTCGGGTAATGTGGTTGCATCGCGATTCCACAGAGACCGTTAACGGAAGCCACATTGCGCTGCATCCTCAAATAAGCCCGTTCGCCCCAATTCGGCCCCCACGAGTTTCGAACAATCCAATAATCCATTCCTCTTTCCCTGCCGTACCCAACAACGTTGACAGTGTGGTCTAGCGTGGTGCCGCAGCTCCCGGTGAATATACCCGACCAGTAGAGCTGGAAGTCCCTCCCGCCGGCTTCAATGGAGACGCTCACCGGTTGATGCACGGCCGCCTTCTTCAGGGCCTGCTCGTTGAATTGAGGTGCCCATTCATAGCCGACTATCGACGCAGCTCTAGCATTTCCCTGCACCAGTTTATTTTTGTGAAAATATATAACGAAACTCTCACGGCAGAAAAACAAAAGAAGTACTTTCCGCAAAGTCGTAAATAATGGGACTATAAAAGACGAGTCTCTCAATGCAGTCGACACACAGTTTGGATTAACATGGCAGAAAAAACTTTCAAACCCAAATATATATTTTTTTTTTTTATATATATATATTAGATCATCAAAATAAATGGCATCTTGTATATTTAAACAAGGGATGGTCAGCACCATGGTAATTTTTCATATCGACCCGCCAAATATGTATTAGTATTATACACAACACACATAATACATGTTGTGTATAACAAATATATGTGTTGTTTTTTAATAGGGAAAAAATCAATTTCGGTTCCAATATAATCAAAATTAATCAATTTTGGTCCCAATATAAAAAATTCATCAATTTTGTTCTCAATATAACCAAAATTTATCAATTTTGGTCCAAATATAAAAAAACTCATCAATTTTGGTCACAATATAAACAATTTCAATCAATTTTGGTCCTATTATAAACAATTTTTATCAATTTTGGTCCCACCGTTAAAAAACTAACGGAAATTGCTGACGTGGACATGACGGAGGTGGCGTGGCAGTTGACCTGGAAAGTACACGGCCATGTACAATTATACACGGTCATGTTGTTACATGGCCATGTATATTTCAGTGTATAATTATACATTGCCATATTGTTACACGACCATGTACAATTATACACGGCCATGTTGTTACAGGGCCATGTATATTTCAGTGTATAATTATACATGACCATGTTGTTACACGGCCATGTACAATTATACACGGTCATGCTGTTACAGGGCCATGTATATTTCAGTGTACAATTATACATGACCATGTTATTACACGGCCATGTACAATTATACACAGCCATGTTGTTACATGACCATGTATATTTCAGTGTATAATTATACATGACCATGTTGTTACACGGTCATGTATAATTCTACGCGGCCGTGTATCTTTCTGTTTCAGTTTAAAATTTTAATTTTTTGTTATATTTTTATTTTTTTTTTGAATTTAGAATAGTTGATATAGTTAAAATGAAAAAAAAATAATAATAATCATAATATAATTAAAATATATCAATTTTAGTTCAAATATAAGTATTTATTGAGTATGTTCTTTTGGAAGATTTTGTCTAAAATTATACTATTTAGCAAAAATTTCAATACAATAATAATTAAAATTTTGTACGATAAATTTTTTTGCTAAATAGTAGAATTTTAGACAAAATCTTCCAAGAACATACTCGATAAATACTTATATTTGAATTAAAATTGATATATTTTAATTATATTATGATTATTATTATTATTATTTTCCATTTTAACTATATCAACTATTCTAAATTCAAAAAAAAAATTAAAAATATAACAAAAAATTAAAATTTTAGACCGAAACAGAAAGATACACGGCCGTGTAGAATTTACATGGTCGTGTAACAACATTGTCATGTATAATTGTACACTGAAATATACATGGCCCTGTAACAGCATGACCGTGTATAATTGTACATGACCGTGTAACAACATGGTCATGTATAATTATACATTGAAATATACATGGCCCTGTAACAACATGACCGTGTATAATTGTACATGGCCGTGTAACAACATGGTCATGTATAATTATACACTGAAATATACATGGTCATGTAACAACATGGCCGTGTATAATTGTACATGGCCGTGTACTTTTCAGGTCAACTGCCACGTCACCTCCGTCATATTCATGTCAGCAATTTCCGTTAGTTTTTTAACGGTGGGACCAAAATTGATAAAAATTGTTTATAATTGGACCAAAATTGATTGAAATTGTTTATATTAGGACCAAAATTGATGAGTTTTATGTATTGAGACCAAAATTGATGAGTTTTATGTATTGAGACCAAATTGATAAATTTTGGTTATATTGGGACCAAAATTGATGAATTTTTTATATTGTGACCAAAATTGATTAATTTTGATTATATTGGGACCAAAATTGAATTTTTTTTCCTTTTTAATAATAAGTGTGATGTATGTATAAGAGTATATTATGTGCTAAAATCAATTATTATTGTTAGTTTATGTGTTTATTTATATTATATTAACATATACAATATTTTGTTTGTAGTAATACCGTATGCTCTATAGTAATATTGCATGTTGTCAAACAGCACACGATGTGTCATGTGTTTTTTTATTTATGCATTGTATTTGTATTATATTAATATATATATATATAGTGTGTTGTCTATAGTAATATTATGTGTTATTCAGCACAGTGCTAGTGCTGTATTTTCTCGCCCCATATAAACAACATAAAAATTGAATATTTAAAATATGTTTGATTTTGTTTAATTAGTTTTCTAATTTTATTATAGTATTTAATTTTGTACGTAATAATTAAAACTGACCGTCTTGCATATGGCAGCATCGCTGCCGGTGTAGGGATAGTCTCTTTCCGATGCAATCCCACCCTTTCGTATGATGAACTCAAAGGCCCGCCGAACATAACCGCCGGTACACCCTAGGCTGAACTCTCTCTCGCAATCCACAAGCTCTTGCTCAGGCAGAGAGATCAATTCCCCAGTAGCTATCTGATTCAAAGCTTCCACAGAAGCAACTGTCGAGAACGCCCAGCAACTCCCTGGAGAAGACGACCGACGTTCATACACTTAATCCAAAATCCAAATATACACAGTTAATTAACTTAGTTACCACAGGATCCTTGATTTTTGATGGGGACGAGGGCGCCTCTCTCTCTCTCCAATCGACGGAATCGGGCAAGTTGTCGCCGAGCTTGGGTTCATATCGACTGCTATGGTTCCGGGTAAACGGGTCGGGTAGGGATCCGAGGAACGTCTTCCGGTACTCCTCGTTGGTCAAATCGGCAAACCGGTTCAACCCGAGCTTGTACCTCCGGTCCGGCTTCGCGTTCTGCTCGTCGATGTACCGGAGATTGTCCTTAAAGATCTCGAATCGCTTCTCCTTCTCTCCGATGGTCCTGTACGTCTTTCCTTGCTCCGCTAACCACGCCTCGTACATCGATTTTATTTCCTCGTCGGACCGCAGCGGCGCCTCTCCGATGGCGTGCTTCTCGTCGTAGGAGATGATGGACATGTCCGACGCCCATGTTTTGGCGACGAAAAAGGAGAGGTAGAGGGAAAGCAGGAGCATGGAAGCCGATGAAGCAGAGAGTGCAGCCATGTTTGAATTTTTTAAACCTAACTGTTGTAGTTACATGGGAATTGGCTGACCATAACGTACTAAAACAAGACAAACAAAAAAAAATTATATTTGATTTAATATTTAATTTGATGTTTTATGAAAAAATATATATATTTAATTTTATATTTTTCAAAAATAAATACTATTGAATAATGAAAGTTGATTATGTAAACAGGGTTCTTATTTGATTTAGTTGTTAAGTTTGAAGATGATATTATTATTATTATTATTATTTTATTTTTTATGACAAGGTTTGAAGATATTTTTATTTAAATTGGAGGGTTCGAGTTTTGGATAGGATACGAGCTTACACAACTTTGCTACAGTCAATACATAGGAGACGATAAAAGAATAAATATATAAATAAATAAAATAACATAAAATTTCATAGTCTTAAAATTCCATATATAAAATCTACTAGTGGAGACCAAAAAAGTGGCATGGTAGCCACTTGGTGCAGCCAAAGTGGCATTCATATTTTTTATTTGTTCTCTCTCCTCAGATTTATACATGTGTCTATTTGGATTTTTAGTTAGAATTTGAATAGTAAAAATTTTGAATTTAAATAGTTGTATGATGTGATATAAATAGATGCTAATGTGATGTTTTGAATGTAAAATTGATTTTTAGTATAATATAAAAAATGAAAAATAAGTGTCTGATTTGATTTTTTTTTAAAAAAATTTTGGATGAATAATAGAATTTTGTGAAAATCCTACCATTAACACGTAAGTAATTGATGATATTTTTACTCATTACCATTGCATATGCTCTTAGGATTTGAGAGAAACAGAATAAATTGGATTTAATAAAAGTTTGAGGGTAGTTTAGTAAGTTCATATCATTAATATATCAAATTTTGTACGTGAGATACAACACTTGTTAAGTGCTAACGGACAGAGCTTTTTTTTGTAACGTATCATAAACCGCTAGTAAATTTTATAAAATTTTAAAACTAAAGAGAGTTTTCAGCAAATTTAAAAAATTACTGGAAATTATATGCTATTTTGGCTAAATAAAATACCAAACTAGAGATGATAGACCCGGCCGAGGACCACGTAACATTGACATTAACACACGTTCAAGTGGCTTCAACACATAACTATTAAAATACTATAATTTTCTTTTTTATTAATTCCTATTTCAAAGTTTTAGAAATTATATATTTAAAAATTTTAAATTATCTAATCTCATTACAAAATATATTTATTAAATATATGGATAACTAATTTCTTTAATTTTAATTTAATGAAAATAATAAAATTAAATACAATCAGTTTTAAATAAATTTTACTTTACAAATTATTTTAAAATTTTATAAATATATTTAAAACTATTAAATTACTTTTTTTTCCCTTTGTTATTTTGGAAAAATAAAAATTGGACAAGTTAAATTAAATAAAAATAAAACACACGTGTCACGATTTGATGGGTGGGGAACTAAGTAGACTGAAACCATAAAAAAAAATAGAAAAAAAATAAATAGAAAAGATAAAATAGAAGAAAAGCATGTATATAAATATTTCAGACACACGTACAATCATCCGTCTTTAATACAATATACATGCAATTATTTATAATTATTTATATTATAAAATAATTATTTTCACTAATATATTCTCAATTATCTACTAATTATATTTCTTCTAAAATATCGTGTCTACGGTATAGCAGACACGGTATGTAGAATGGAGATAGTATAATGAATACGGCCCTATTCAGTCCAATCATCGGTTACGAAACTAAAATTTGAATGAAATTAAAATTAATAAAAAAAAAAAATCTTTTAAACAAAAATTAATAATTATAACATACAACAACGATCCCCTCCTCACTAAAAATAATTTTAATTATAATTTTGAGGGTACACATTTAGCACGTTCTCCATTCCTAGTGTACGCGAAGTAAGGATCCAGACCCGTGAAAATGATTGGCGTCCCCTCCTCCATTATTCAAAATATTATTATTATTATTTTATTATTTTTAGTAATATATAAATTTACAATAAGACAAATCATATTAAACAAATTATAAATAAAATTTAAAATTTAAAAATGTTAAAATTTTGAATACATAATCTCATAGTCAATCGTCCAATGCGCCACAGCATATGCCATTGTAATGAAATAAAATTCAAAATAGCCAACACAGTTAATTAAATTTAAATGGGAATTTGCTGACCATAATGTACTGAAACAAGACAGACTGTCCTCTCTCTAGTAATCAATCAATAATTAATTAATATTTACTTATTTATTTACGAAATTTGAGTCCACTGTGGGGGGTTCATTTAAATAAAACTTTTGAAGATTTTTGAAATTTAAAAAATAATAAAATTAATATTTAATCCGATGATTTATAAATATATATATATTTGATGTAATATTTTTCTAAAAATAAATAGTATTGAATGAGTGAAAATTAATTATGTAAATGAAATATATATTTGATATGTTATTGATTCTAATTTGTAGATAAATAAATAATCGTGTATCTTAACAGTTTAAATTTTTAAGTAAAAATATCATTTATCAAAATCTACATTTTTCATCTTGGGTAAAATGGACATTTACTTTATCTAACATCATCAGTTATTAAATGTAAAGATATTATTACTCCTATTATTTATTATTGGAAAAAAATCATTTTTGTCGTAATATAATTAAAATTCATCAATTTTAGTCTCAATATAAAAATTTTATCAATTTTGGTCTCAATATAACCAAAACTCATCATTTTTTGTTCCAATATAACCAAAACTCATCATTCTTTGTCCTAATATAAAATTTTTATCAATTTTAGTCTCAATATAACTAAAACTCATCATTTTTTGTTTCAATATAATCAAACTTTATCTTTTTTTTGTCCCACCGTTAACAAACCAACGAAAAATGCTGACGTGGACTTGCAAGATTGTGCAATTTCTTCAAATATAAATATAAAGTTTGATTTCTTTTCACGTCAGCATTTTCCGTCAGTTTGTTGACGTTGAGACCAAAAAAATAAGGATTAATTATATTGAGACAAAAAAATGATGAGTTTTCGTTATATTGAGACTAAAATTAATAAAAAATTTATATTGAAATAAAAAAAATGATGAGTTTTGGTTATATTATGACAAAAATTGATAAAATTTTTATCCTGAAACCAAAACTAATGAATTTTGGTTATGTGAGACTAAAAATAATTTTTTCCCTTTATTGTTTTATGAGGAGATTTGAAGATATTTTTGTTTAAATTGGAGGAGGGTTGGAGATTTGGATAGGATACGAGCTTACACATGTAAAGTAGTAAATTGGAGATGATGTACCTCACCCGATTTGGACGTAACATTAACATTTAACACGTGTTTTTGGCCCATAACTATTTAATTATTATTTTTTTTAATATTTCCTCCGCCCCAAATACCGTGTCCGTTACACTGTATAGGTATTTTAGAAGGGGTGTAATTAAGTAGATAATTAAGAATATATTAGTAAAAATAATTATCTATAATATAAATAATTATAATTTAAGATTAAGATAACTAATTAGTTTAATTAAAATTTAAAAAAAAAATTAAAAAATTTAAAATGAGATTAAAATGTGTAATCATTTTTCAAAAAACGAAAGTGACATGGTACGTGGACGGACAGAAACGGCAACGTGGACATGGTATTTGGGACAGAGAAAGTATTATATATTTTTGTCCTATTTGATTGTAGTTTTTTTTATAAAAAAAAAATAAAAAAAAATTGTAACAAGTAATAAAATAATAATATTTTATTAATTTATTAATATATATATAAGAAAATTTGATATTATTGCTTAATGAACATATATATAAAATATTTGTATACAATATGTTTATAATTTAAAATCTTTTAATATTAATATATGATTATATTTACTAAAATAGAAAATATAAACTTTTTGAGTGGATATACAAAATAGTACTTTGAGTTGGAACGTGACATAGTATTTAAAGTAATAAAATTTAATTAATTAATAATATTGAATTAAGATATTAATTTATTATATTTATATAAGTAATATTGTTGTAGTTTTAAAATAATAATCAATATATATGATTAAAATAAATTTAAAGTATTGTATGTATTTAGATATTTTAAATATTATACTCTCTCCGTTCGAAAATAATAGAGACGTTTGGGATAGGCACGAGAATTAAGAAATAATAATACCAAAATATCTCTACTTTACGTAATTATTGTGAAAAAAATGGGGATAATTTTGTAAAAAAATATTGATGTTAGTTACCAAAAATATAAATGAAACTATTGTTTTGGCACAGATAAAGTATTTTACTAAAACATATATAATATGAATATCATTTTGTATACAATAAAATTTTACATAATATAAATAAATAAATAAATTATAATTAAGATAAACAAATTTTATAACCAAAGAGGTATTTAAATGTATATTAAAATATTTGTTTATTGAAAAAAAAAATAATAATAAATTAGTTTATAATGGTCTTATACGATGTATAATATTATATGTTATAAAATTAATTAAATTAATTTATATGTATTAAGTGTGTTTGAATTTAATAAATTTTATTAAAAATATAAATGTGTCGATTGGAAAGAACAATAAAAATAAAAAATAAAAATAAAAATGAGCCAACTGAAATTGCCGAAGTAGTATAATTTTTTCCTTTTTAAATTTACATAATTGATTTTAAAAAAAAATAATTATTATAAATATGGTCCAAATATAATTATTTTTAGACCGATGTTTTTTTTTTCATATTTAAAAAGATCTAAACGTGAAAGACATACAAATATTTGTATGTTTTAAATATTTATATTATATACTAAAACAAAAATCAGCCCATCCAAAAATAAATTTTGGGTCCGCCAGTCCATTGTTGGATGCACGTGTGCCTCATCATTTTTGTTATTTAAACATTTTAACGCTAAATTGCACAAAATTCACCTATTATTTTATAAAATTGCACCAAATTCTCTGTATTTTTAAAACTGCGTCAAACTTCCTCGTAGTTTTATAAATTTTGCGTCTAACCTTCTCAGCGGTCCTTATTTAACGGTATTTGACCTAAATGCGCTCAAACTGCAAATAAATTTTAGAATCTCAATTTTCAAACCCCTAAAATTACAAATATATTTATTTTTTATATATTTAGTTTAAAAAAATAGTAAAAATAAACTCTTAAAATCTAAGAAAAATAACTATTTTTTTTTAGTATATTTACTATTTTTTTAGGATAAATATAAAAAATAAATAAATATATTTGTAATTTTAAAGAGTTTATAAAATGAGATTTTAAAATTTATTCGCAGATTGAACGCATTTATGTTAAATACCGTTAAATAAAGACCACTGAGAGAGTTAGACGTAAAATTTATAAAACCACAGGAGAGTTTGACGCAATTTTAAAGTATGAAAAATTTAATGCAATTTCATTAAATCACGGATGAATTTTATACAATTTAACCAACATTTAAAATAGGGTTCCATTTTTTTAAACTTTGGAAATAATATAATAATTTTATTACTTAAAATAGCAAACTTCAACAATAATATTTACGTATTGCAATATTTATTTTTTTATTGTTACACAAAAATATCAATCAACATTTTTTTTCTTCAAAATATAGCATCAATTACTAATTTTCTAGTCTTCTCAAAATTTCAAAACTTGAAAAAGCCTGCAAAAGTTTTTGGTCAAACGAAACGTAAATACTCGAAAAAATACCAAAGAACATAAATGTCACCAATAGAATTTCCTAGAAGAACAACTATACATCATCATATCATAACATAGAGGGTTTCCAATTCCATAAGTGCATCCTTAGAACATAAGTAGATTAGAGTAGAGATGTTGCTGTTCATATTTTAAATTAAAGCCCAGAAAAACAACAGGCAAATCATCAAATAATATCCAGTAACCACCTACCAACCTTGATCCATCCATGGAGTTCTTCGATCTGAACTAGCCAAACAAGATTGGCTGGCTTCCTTGCTCATCAGCTCGATCCCGCAACTTTCTCAAGAACTGCCGAAGGTCCCGATCGGCTGCGCCGGAATGTGCTTCATCATCGTCACTCCAAGTGGATTGCCCTTGCTCTGCCAAGAACACAAGAATTATATTATTCGTCGATAAATAACAACAAACAAACAATAACAATCAATCGACGATCAGAGCATTCGGATCACTACTCACTTTTGAGCAGGTGCCGGCATAGACATGGCAGACGGGGTAGTCGTGGGGGCAGCAACTGTAATGGTCTTCACAGCACGTGGCGCCCTCGAGGGGGCAGCACCCCCACTGGAAGCACGAGTTGCGATATTCGTAGAGGCAGCAGCAGGTGGTTCTCGGGGCGCATTGGGTGTACGCATCGCACACGGATGGGGATGGCTTAGGGGATGGAGGAGAAGGCCCCGGGTTGGGTGGATTGTCGCCATTCTTGGTCGGGTAAGACGGCTCGATGGCAATTCCGCAGAGACCGCTGCTGGAAGCCACGTTGCGCTGCATCCTCACGTACCCCTTTTCACCCCAGCTTGCGCCCCACGAGTTTCGGACAATCCAATAATCGGTGCCAGCTTCGGTGCCGTACCCGACGACATTCACACCGTGGTCTAGGCTCACGCCGCACTTCCCGGTGAATATACCCGAGACATAGAGCTGGAAGTCCCTCCCGCCGCCTTCAATGGCGACGCTGACAGGTTGATGGGCGACTGCCTTTTTCAGGGCCTTCTCGTTGTATGGAGATACATCTTCATATCCATCAATCGACACAACTCTAGCATTTTTCTGCAGGTTTTGTAACACGGGTAAGTTAAAAGAGTTTCGTGACAGATTCTAATTTTAAGGAATTGAAACTGACCCTGTACTGGTCGCATATGCCATCCCTGCCGGTGTAGGGATAGTCTGCGTCGCTATCAATGCCGCCATTTTTTATGATGAACTCGAAGGCGTAGTCCATAAGACCACCGTTACACCCTTCGTTGTATGATGTATCGCAGTCGACAAGCTCTTGCTCAGACAAAGAGATCAAATCCCCAGTGACTATCTGACTTATACCTTCGACAGAAGCAATTGTGGAGAATGCCCAGCAACTACCTGGAAAAGTCCATATACTTTAACAAGATATTGTATCTAAAATCTATAACACATTAGCCACATTTGATCGCATGATCAATGAGAGCCAATTTATCATGTAACTACAAGAAAGAGCCACAAAACTATAGCATGGAAATGTATTCAGAAATTGTGTGCAAGTAGAGAGTCCCAACTCATTCCTTATCATTTTCGAAATAATATCCGGTTTCACCGGTTATCAACCATAGTTTATGCCTAAATTATCTTCAAGAAATCTGACAACTTACACAAGCAAGCAATCTACAGAATCAATGTGTTTGGTGTTTCCAATCCATTTTAAAACCTCGTCAAGAACGATGATCCATATACCAATTTCTTTACTTCTGTTTGATCAAATCAATTCTTAGTTTCCAAGCGCATAAAAAGGATCGAAATTAGCTAAAACTTAGTCAAACTTAGTTTGCCAGACACAGGTCACCCCGATTTGAAGGAAATATGTCTATAAAAATGGCGGTTGAGCTAACAAGAAGTCGAAAACTTACAAAAGTAAATTAACTCTTTCTCCACAAAGGATAAGGATTAATATTACTATCGGAGTTTTCACAATGAGAGAAACAGTATGGCAACTGGGAAGAGGCCCACCTACTAAAATGGATATCTCATTGGCCATCATACTTATGAAAGATTAGCAACAAACTCAATAATTCTAAAATGAACTTTCTGCCAGAGTTCCTACAAATCCACTCAGAAGAGATATTGAATCTGCTAGATCCAAACTCCACGCAACAGAATCATCTCAGAATCTAAATCCAACAAGCTTCTATGTGCTTAAAATTTAGTCAACGCATGGAGAAAACAAGGCAGTTGTTCATCTAATCACAGAAAAATCATTATCCAAATATAGGAAGGATAGAGCGACAGTTACCACAGCTTCCTTGATCTTTAACGGGGACCACAGCGCCTTTCGCTCTCCAATCGATGGAATCCGGCAAGTCGTCGCCAAGCTTAGGATCGTATCGATCGCTCTTAATCCCGGTCAATCGACGTTTCCCGTCGGGTCGAGTCCCGAGGAACGTCTTCCTGTACTCCTCGTTGGTCAAATCTGCAAACCGATTCAAGCCGAGCTTGTACTTCCGGTCCGGCACCGCGTTCTGCTCATCTATGTACCGTAGATTGTCCTTAAAGATCTCGAATCGCTTCTCCTTCTCTCCGATGGCGTTGTACGTCTTTCCATGCTCCGCCATCCACGCCTCGTACATCGACATCATTTCCTCGTCTGACCGCTGCGACGCCTCTACGATGCCGTGCTTCTCGTCGTAGGAGATGATGGACATGTCCGATGACCATGTTTTGGCAACGAAAAGGGAGAGGTAAAGTGAAAACAGGAGCACAGAAGCCGATGAAGGAGAGAGTGCAGCCATGGTTGAATTTCTCAAACCCAACAGGAATAGTTACTTGTAAAGTGGTAGGGAAGAAGTACCAATATAAAGGCAAAAGCGAGGGTAACATAGTCATTTCATATTCATTAGATACCATTATTACTTGCGTATGGAGGAAAAACTTGGAATTAATTAATTAAATATCTTAGAAGACCCGGGCGCTGTATGCCACAGTCTTCCATACCTGTCATGTGGAATCAATCTGGCTTGGAGATCCCGGACCTCCCTCAAATCATGGGGCCATGTGGATTAGATAGGATTGGTGAAGAGAGTCTGAAAGTAGATATCTGACAAAAAAGCGTAGCAATTCACATACAAATTAAATCTTCACCATTCACTTTATCTAACTTACACGACCAACGGCCCAGATCTTCCCGGTGTCGAACTCCAGGACTTCACACATTCCCATAGGTTATAGAAGGACCAGATGAACCTAACCAATGAAGGAAGCCCACAAATTCCACTAGTGTGGGCTGAGACTCTGGACATTTATTTTGTAATTACTATTTACTTCTTTGTAAAAATAATTTAATACTTATACCAATAAAATAAATAAAACATATATATAATATATTTTAATTTAGAGGGTACATATTTAGCCACGTTGTCCATTTCTAGTGGCTACAAAATAGGGATCTTTATTGATTTGCTATTCAAGATATTTTTCTTGTCACATCCTTTTTATTGCCCATAACAAGTCACGCAATAAAAAAATTTCAAAACAGCACTTTGGCTTGCAAATACAGTTAATTAAATTACATGGGAATTTGTTGACCATAATGTACTGAAACAAGACAGACAATTGCCATCTCTCTAGTAATAAATCAATAATTAATAAATATTTAGTTATTTATTTTATGAAATTTGAGTCACTGCCAACATTTGATCAGTTGTTAGGTTCGAAGGTTTTTATTATTTATTTTTTGACAACGGGGTTTGAAGATATTTTTGTTTAAATTGAAGGAGGGTTGGAGTTTTGGATAGGATACGTACCTTACACAACTTTTTTTATTTTTTTTGATAAAAAAATAATAATAATGAATAAAAATTTGAAGATGGTCCAATGAAGATTCGTGGACGTAACATTAACACATGTTGGATGCACTTTTGTGTATTCATTTGAGTTCTTTAATGTTATGTCTTAAGCATATGATATGAACGTGTGTGTATTACGTATACAAAATTTTGAAGTTTTGACCCATATGAGGCGGAGACTCTCTATTTATTCTAATTTTTGTTTTAAATTTTTTACTTTATATAATTATAAACATATTATTTTATTTTTATAATATATTTTTCTTTTGTCTAAAAATAAGCTTATTTAATTTGAACACAAATTTTAATATAATATGTATTTTTTTTTTCTTGTATTTTATAGTAAAAAAATAATACTACTATAAATGTTTACTTAAAAATAGTTATTTTTTATTATAACAAAGAAATAAAAAGTGATCCCGTAAGGGACGGTGAAATTAGACGTGTGACGGTGAGGTCATGAGTTCAAATCTACGATACCTCAGGTCACCTGCCACATCGTCGGACCTAATTTGCAGAGTATTAAGTTCACCTGTCACACATGGTCAGCATGAAACGGGCGAAAATGGGATACAATTGAGAAGGAAGTCACACAATCCCATATCACATCATTTATCATTTCTTTAAATATAATTATATATTTTAATTTTTAAATTTTTATTAAATTAATTTTAATTTATAATTATTTTTACTAATATACTTTTTAATTATTTACTAATTAACAGACTCGGCGTAGAGCGCAATACTACCAAATTTGATATTTGATCTTTTATAACTAAGTAATTCGGCCATGCCCAATTTATTGTTATTTGGGCCTAGTGCGGCCCACAAATACCGAAGCCCATAAAATGCCTCGCAGTTTTTTTAAATAAATACCACCGTATAATTCTTTATTGAAACTCTCGTACAGTGCAAACAAATTAATTTTTTTAAATGTGTTTTTTTCAATGAAAACTAGTTGCTGAATATATTAGATGTGAAAAATATTTTTCTTAAATTGCTTAAAATGTTTCTCCTGAAAGATTGGATGTAGATTTAGAATTTGAAATTGATGTAATGTTTGAATGAAAATTTAATTATTATTATTATTATTTTTTTTTATCTTAACTCAAACAGGTACATGCATGTTATCTCATCCGATAAACATAACACACGTGTGACATATATGTTTTTTTCCCTGCACTATAATATTTTAAGACACAAAAATGAATGTGGAAAACGAAAGCACAAATTAAATTAAATCAAATTATTGGTGCATGCAAAAAAGAACAAATGAAAAGCAATTATATATAATATGTATATAAAGGTGCTTCTCCATTTGTGCACGAGTTGTTCGAAAGCAACATTTCAATCCTCTGTCTCAAATGGTCCCAAAGTATAACCACTGTGCACATTCATGAATCAAATCAAATCAAATTAATTGGATTAACATATGTAGTTAAATTTTATATTATAACATTTGGAATTAATACTGTAATAAAAAGTGAAGAGAGATTCTTGGCCTATATTGATTTGCTATTTCACGTTGGGGTTTGCGACTAAGTCATATTACAAGACAAGAGTGTAATTTGACTGATAATTAATTAATTAATTAATTAATTAATGATTCCAATTATCAATCTTGTATTTTGATTTAACGATGATGATTTGATTGTGTTAGATATGTCTTAAATCTAATTTGTCACTTCTTTAGAGTTTTCAAGAGGTCTTTGGGTTGGGGTCCGGGGGCTCGGAGTGGCCCCTGGCCCGACGGCATGCAGTATCGGTTTTTAAATACGTATTTGATTGAGCCCGTCTGATGTATTCTTTATTTGAATAGACTTAGGGTGTGTTTGTTTGGGAGACTCCCCATATTTTCACTATTCATTAATTTATTTTTTTAAAAAAAAACATTAAATCAAACATTTATTTTTTATTTTTTTATATTATACTAAAAATTTATATTCAAAATATCACATTATACACTATTCAAATTCTAAATCGAACTCCAAACCCGCAAACAAACACACTCTATATGAAATATGTAATCGGTAACTTAGTTGTCTTCTTTAAATCTGTTTTATATTTCTGTCCGTGAACGTAGCCAATAAGTTGTTGGTGAATCATATAAATATATGTCTTTCTTTATATTTATGTTTGTTATTCGATCGTTAATTCTTATGCGTTACAATAGATTGCACAAACCTTAACTAGTTTATTCATACATACATACATACATATAGTTATGGAAGTTTGATTTGATCTTCATCTTCAGCGGTGGCCAAGGTATTCTTGCAATGAGCAATGGCAGCTTGAATGGCTGCCTGAAGTTCTTCAATGGTGCTATCGCCGCCGCGGGTCGTCGGCGTAATGCCGCTCCCGAGCAAAAGGCCGCTATTAGTCCGGGAAGGCATCATCGAAGCCGGGGCCGAGTACTCGCCCTGCAACTCCCATTTCTTGCTTTTCATCGGCAAGTTGCCGGAAAACGATCGAGGCTGCCGCCGCTGCCGCCTCCGGTCGCCGCCACTTCGCCGGCCGTTTACGATGAGCTGGATAATAGGCTTCATCAATCTCATGTAACTCTTCACTACACTACTCATGTCGAATTTCGATCTCCTCCTCTGCTTCTTCCCCCAATGATCATCATCTTCTCGATCATCATCCCTATCCCGATCTTTCGATCTCCTCCATCCGATGAGAGACAAGAATCTCGATTTCTTTCGCTCCATGATTCCATTTTGATTGGATTCTGACAAGTATTTTAGGTTGTCGTCGTCTTCCATGGTCGGGCGATGATTCGAGACCGGGAGGACATCATGGAGGGGAAGCAAGTGTCCGTGGAGGAAAATATCGTCGGCCGGAGATAAGTCGTTGATGGCGAAAGACGAAAATGTGTTTTTAGGAGGAAAGGAGACGGAGAAGGAGAATTCATGTGATGGGGAGGTGGCCGCCGATGCAGCCGGCGGCGGCGGACTGAGTTGTACCTTCTGCCTCATGTGTTGTACATCAGATGATGATCTCCTCCCTTCGGCATTCTCCATCTCTTGTAACAATGTGTCCATGAGGTATTGAGGTTTATGCCTTTAACAGAAACAAAAGGATAAGGATAATAAATGAAGGGTTCCTTTTTTCGAGTCTTTGGCTCCTAACTGTCTTTCCAAAGGCGAATAATCATATATATATAAATACTATTATATTCGCGTGTCAATTTGTGTTTTTACGTTCGTATCGAATTGAGCCATAGAGGTAACACCAAAATTATCAATCCTAACTCAAAATTTGATTCGAAATTTTAAATTCGAACACGACATAAATTTTTTCAGGTCGGATTCAGAATGATTTGATTTAATTTTGTCATTTGAAACTCAAATAAATTCGACACGAAACAGACCCGAAAATTTAAAAAAAATTAAATTAACTTAAAAAATTCATTTTTAATTTATTTTTTAATTTTATATTTAAAATAATATAAATATTATAAATTAAAATAATAATAATAAATAATTTCACGTCAATCCAGAACACGAAATTCGACCTGATTTTTATATTTCTGATTATCAAGTCACCTCGAAACTCAACCAGAACATGACTTGAATTTTTTTTTTTTTTTGCTTCAAGTTTGAATCAACCTGGCCTTTTACAAACGCGAAATATCCAGCTTGAATCTAAAAAATGAATTCAATTTTTTTAATATGGATTAATTTTGGGATTTATAAAAATGATAGGAGGACAAATCCGTCTTTTTGCTTACAACTGATTCTGATTCTGATTCGAGGTTACATAACAGGGCTGAGAAGTCATGTCCAAACCACCATCGATTTCAACAAGAATCTTTCTCCCCTCTCTAGTTTTGTGTATCTGTTCTGCTTGCTTTGAATATGTGTCCACTTCTTACACTCTATTTTATGAAGAAATTTGAATTGGCAAAGACCATTTTTTGCTATTAGTTATGGCACTGATCCTTCCTCTGAGCAAAACAATCTTACAGTACAGAAAATAACAAGGAAAGAATCCCGACAACAATTCTCTACACAGATATAGATCTGTCCAAGGAAAATCAATGTGTTGTGTTTATATGACGATGTAAGAGCAAATATGTCTTCTACACAAACTGTATAGTAAGGACACAACAGTACATTTACACACGGCGAAGGTTAGAAAATTTTCCGAGGAGGCGGGTTGTTGATCGTCGCGCCGTCTCGGAATGATCATCGCATTCGATGGATGAGAATCGCTGGACTATTCACTTCCGCTGCTACTGTATCGACGAGCTGGCGAAACGAAGAACAGAACGAATAATCGGTGAATTCGATTACAAGATTTTTAGAAAAAAGAATTTGATCGTCGGATTGTTCGTACCTCCCGACGGTCTTTTCCCTTCCATGGCTTCCTTCTTCTCTTGGCACATCGTGCAGAGGAAAGGACCGTCCCAAGATCGTATTTTTCTCGAATTGGTCGAGCCCGTGTGTATCGACACGCCTTCTCCCGGTTTAATCTCGACTTGGCAGACGGCGCACATGAACAGCTTGAACATGTTGCACACCGGGTACTTCGAGTCCAACCTGCAGCTACCCGATCAAAATTTAAAAATCGAAAATCGAAATTTCCGACGCAAGCATTAAGAAAATCGAAACCTTTCGGAGAGGGAAGCGGATCCTTCCTCGAAGAGTTCCTCGACGACATCTGGCTCGGCATACTCGTCTTTGTTGTGATGAGATGACGATTCCGACGTTTTCCTACGAAACATCGCCTTGAAGACCCGTTTCCCTTGCTTCTTCGGATGTAGTTTAGGGGGCTCGGGTTTTTCCGGAGGTTGTATGTCCACGACGATACACGTCGTGTCGTCTCTAAGGCCCTTCACCTGTACAGCTTCCTGCAAGAATCGAAAACGGGGTCGGTCGACGCTTAAAATCGATAAACAACTGCGTATTCGTTACCTTGACGATCTGCGACGCTGCAGCGTCGGGCGGCATCCCTCGACAGCACTCGAATGCCGTTTCTGGAGGTAAAGCGTCCCAAACACCGTCGCTCGATATAATAAGCCTCCCACCAGTTGAAGATAACTGCGCGTCGATAGACGAGAATAATTACGTGATAAAGAAACAAAAAGTGTCGACTTTTCCGGCAGGAAACGAACCTTCACTTGCTTTACGTAAGGCACCGAAACTATAAACTCTCCGACATCCATATCACCAATAGATCGAGAAAGACACAGCCCTCCCGGCCAGCATCGTAAAGGACCAATCTACAGCGCGAAATTCCATTCGGTAAATAAAGATCGTGTTTTTAACAATAATTCACGCGCGAAACGTACCTCCGTCCCGCCGCCAGTATTAAGACGGCCAACCTCACCACCACTCGAAGTTATTCGTTCCCGCCTGATCAGTAATTAAACAAATACAAATGTTATCGTCGAAAGCATTGTCAATTAAAAGAATCCGAATAGGACACGACAGGACAGGACGTACTCTTCTTCGCTGCATTCTAGTCGATGATCCGCCGACAAGTAATATATATCACCTTCAGCAGATTCGAGCACACAACGGGAATCGCCAACAGAAGCAACAGTTAAAACCCATCCCTCGATTATTACAAACGTCGCCGTTGTTCCCGAAGTTTGCGCTGAAAACATAACCAAATGCACGACGAATAAACATCTAGAAAGGAAAAGTAGGAACGAAAAACGAATACAGAATTAGCTTCCTCTATACCTATTTCTTGAAAATCTTTATCTGTTTTGACAAAGCCTGCAACGAAAGCCCGGGGCAGAGCAGACAGCCATTCGTCGTTGTTGAGATCTGCAGGAATAGCAGTCAAGATATTGGTCAAGAGATTCTCCTTCGAATATATAGCTGCCGCAGATCCATTGTGACCGTCAAACAACTGAAAAGAAGAATTCAGCACCGATCAACAACAATCAAACGCAAGTAACTAACTCAACACAATAAAAAAAACAGGCCATCGACGACTAGATTAGCAAGCAAGCAATCAATAACTTCTGATTGAACTTCTAATTGATGCTGGAAACTCAAAACAAGGAAAATGCTTGTGTCTTAGATCAGATTCAATTGCATTGGCATACCGCGAATGCAGAGTAGTTTGTGACGCCGTCGCCTAACACCCTTTTGCATTCAGTCTTAACGAATGTAAAATCCTCGCCTTTCTTGCTCTGGCTCGCTTGGCCATGCACTATTTCCGGCCTTTCGACTTTCTCATTCGCCGATTCTCTCTTCAACAACACTGATAATGGGACCGTGTGATGGTCTCCACTTTTAGGCAACATTTCATTCAACACTTTTGCTTCTTTCAATCCCAAATCAAACCCTAACTTCTACCTCTATTCTGAATTCCCTTCGTTTCTGTGTTTTCTTCTTCCAAAGATTTTTGAAATCCAAAGCCTTCTGCAAAACTAATCATTTAATCTTTCTACCTATCTATCTCTTGAGCTATCAATTCAGCCAACACAAATCCAACCAAATCATCCTACACAAAAAAACCAGAGAAAAAAAACAAGAAAAAAGTTACATTAAACAAAACAGAACACAAATCTGCAACCCACCATGAGCAAATACGAAGAATTAATTGATTCAATGATCCAAAGGCATCGTAGCAATGGAAAGGAAGCGATCAGTACTTTTTACGATCCTCACGAAATTGTAAACGGAAAAGTAAATCCAATTTCACCACAATGTAGGTTTTCTCAAACTCGGGATCAATCAGAAACGCAGATAGAGAGAGAGATACCTTTTTCCAGTAATCGGGAACCGGAGATCGATCGATCGATCCAGGCTGGTCTCGGTTTCGGAAATCAAACGGACAGAGAGAAAAATGGGGGAGAGAAACGCTTATGGGGGGCGTAATTGGAGAAGCTGTCCGCCTCTTTCCTTTTCTTCAGCTATTTTTGGGAAGAACTATTGAATCACAATATTATATATATATATATATCATCTCTCTCATTAATAATTACACGAAAGCAAGAAAAGAAAGAAAGAAATCGGAACCGTGTGATGGTTGTTGGAGTTGTTCTTGTGTGAGTGACTCAGTTTTTTCTCATGTGCAGCCCACAACCACATTTTCGTCCGCCATTGCATTTCCTCTGTTCGTTGTAAATAAGGAAAGCTGGAAATCGAGGGGTTTGAAAAGGTTGCCCAATTTCCTGTTCCATCAAAAGATTAAATCTTTTACGGGAATTTTAAGAAAAAATGGATTCTATCACGTAACTGCAAGGACTTACCATTCAGCTAAAGCTCGCCATTAATGATCAGATTTCTCTTACAAACCCTGATTTCTCTCCTTCCATCTCCACCGTCCATCGTCTGAGATCATCCATTTACTAGCCAAAAGAACGGATAAATATTGGGAAAGTCTTTACTAATAATTTATTATTAATGTAAATTTTTTAGGTAACATGGTGTTTGTTTTGTACTGAAAAAATTATCATTAAATCATCAAATTACACCGAATCACAGCCAAACATACCCTGGAAATATGAATTGAATTATTTGCACAAGTCAATAAGTTAGTTTCGTGTCCAAGTTTCCACATGGGTACAGTTTGACTTCTTGTTTGGGACATAAAAAAAGAAACCTTGATTAACTCGACATTTTCTAGATCAAGAAACATTGCCAAGATTCAACTTATAGAACACACAATACATGTCTTTGCCTTAAAGATTACTGGGCTTTTCCTACATTGTTAAAAACTAGTTCAAAAATAACAGTGTTCGAAAAAGAAAAATATCTCTGGAAATCATCAATGCAGCTGCCATGGAAAAACAAACTCATCCCTCATAAACACATTAGGTTTACAAATAGGGTTGTCTGTAATCTATTTAATCTACATGTAATGTAAGCGTTTTCGAACATGGATTTCGGGCAGAGTTAGAAGCATCGGAGGCAGAACCTGTCACAACCGCGATCGTAGGATGCACTTTATAGGATTGAAATGAGAATTCCTTCGATTCGAAGCAAATGGCCCTCTTCTTAAAGAGTGCGACAAGCTCAAATCCCAGTCTTCGACGTTCTTCGGGACACAAGCTTCAAACAGGAACTGACCGAGCACGCCGTGGGCATTGATTTTAGGCGGGCTGGAGATAGGGATATATCGCTCTCTGTGTTCGTCTTGTATCGATCCGACAGCCCTGTCTTCATGATAATCCACAGAGCTCGGGACAAGAAAGTGGTCATTCAAATCTAGGGCGATTCTTTGGAAACTTTGATCTGATTTCGCCACTGCTTTCTTCAGGCTACCGAATGGATCGGAAATCTCGTCGTCGCGTGTACTACCTTCCACGCCCATCTTCTCCCCTTCGAGTTGGCGAATTCTTTGAGAGTAAACATTGGAAGCTTTCCTAAGCAGCTCAGTGACGGCAGACGTGTAGTCTTCGGGATGATTTCGAAAATGAGCTGCGTGAAAAATGCTCGGGGATAAGGTACACAAATACACCAGCCAAAATCGCGGAATTGAAACAATATTATTAAAAAAAGTTTGAAGCCATACCTACGTGCGATGAGGTTTTCCATGCGACAAACTTCACCTCGGCTCCGAGGTCTTTAAGCCTTGCGGCAAAATTGTTGATAACATGAAATGGAGCAAGATCATCGTCCTCGGAGCAAAGTATGAGATACGGAGCCCCCAAATGCTGACAAAATAAATAAATGAATCCATATCGAAGGATAAACAGGCAAGATGATTTAATTTGAGCGATACTTACAACCGTCGAATAGAGTGTTTGCCAATAATCAGCTCGCTGTGATTCAAACCTGGTAAGAAAGAGCGCGTCGAGGCTAGACGCTAGACGGTGCGCAATCCACGATGCGAGGCGTGGAGGCTGTGACATTCCGGTGACAGTTGGGTGAAGAACAAAGCGAGTACCTATGTCGCTCACATAATCGACGGGAGTGGAATCGAAAATGTGGCCGGCAACACAGTCTCTGACGAGCCGACAGTCGTCCTGGACGGAAAGTAGGCCGCAGACTATTAAGCTAAATTTGTTATTTAACGATTTCTTGCTATCGAATTAGGATATGAAATCTTTAATAGAACAAAGAGAGGACATTTGTTTGTTACCGTATTGATTTTCTCTTCAAAGTTTCCCTCGATAATCTGAGCGCAAACAGAAAGAAAATTCTTTAGCCAATTTGTGTTTCTGCACCCAAAATTTCACAAACTCCACTTTTACATCGACAAAAATGCGGCGTACCTGAAGAACCTTGTACATGCAAGCTATAGGGCCCCCGGAAAACGACGCAAACACGACAGGGCACAACCTGAGCTTTAGCTCCTGAACAATCCAACGATAAGCCTAAATCAGATTTGATAGAGCTGTGACACAATCAAACCCAATCGAACAAAATGTTGAATTCAATCGTATAGCCTCTACGGGGGTTATTACTCATTTTTGTACTTGCCGTTATATTTTCTAATTATTTCTTCAATTAGGCAAAAGAAAGGAAAAAAAAATCAAAACTCATATCATACAAAACTCGGCAGCCATGATAATGAAGATAAGCATAACAAATCTCTTAATCTTGCAAAGAACATATCAACAATGAAGAGACAAGCAGAAATCATCTGTACTATGTAGGTCAACAACTATTGGATGAATAAGTTTTTCAAGAATACCAATCAATCAGATCAAAGATGAGCTAATTTGTGAAAGAACACATCAAATTTAACAGGTACTAACTTGAACAAGCTCATTAACAATCTCTAGTGCCAATGACGAAGCTTTATCTGGAAAGAACCTGCAGATTAAAAGCAACAGTTAATATTATAAATACATTAGATTTTAGGTTAAAACAAAAAAAAAAAAAAAAAGTGATTTACGAAGCAGATGAAGAATCCATCTTCATAACGATTGAAGAAATCAATCAAAGTATCAATCGCATATATACAAATCAATCACCCAACCAAAACAAATCTCTTGCAGCAATAACCAACCTAAGAGGAAGAACAACTTGGACTTACAAATTGAGAAATTGGGAGTGGCAAACGAGGGAATTCCATCCAAGCGAGGAGTATAGATCAACATAATTCTTCAAGTGCTTGTCCTGACTGGACATCCATGCGAAAACCACCACTATTCCTTCCACCTTCTCCCTCTCCCTCTGTTTCTTTCCCCAATAGTACCTTCCCCCAAATCCCCACATATTCGAATTTCAAAAAACCTAATTCAAAGACCTCCGTCAATGTGGAGTCGGGTATCGCTCTCAACACTGGGGACTCAGCAGAAACCTTATTGATTTCTCTAAATCTCGAAAGGGCTCCGATGGATTTCAGAGTAATTTCCGAGAAGCGATCTGTGCTTCAGCTGGTGGTGGTGGCTAATGTGTTCTTATTTTATTCACGCAACAGTGAAGCTCTGTGGTGGGGGACGGCCAGAGGCTTTGCTTTGTTTATTGAGGAAGCAACTCATACAGTTATAGTAGCTTCGTATTCCGTTATAAATTACTGTCCTAATTTCATATTCGTAACAATAATAATTATTATTATAATATTTTATACATAATTTTTTTTTTACCTTTTTATCTGTTTTTCTTTTTTTTTTTTCATTTTTACATATAAAATAAATGACAAATTTATTAACTCATGCTAAAAAAAATATTATTTCCTTCTTTACAATTTTTTTTATGTGTATATATTACATAAATGTTATTACTTATCACACGATACAGATAAAATTATTTTAGTCTTTTTTTTTTTTTTTTTTTTTACTTTATTTATACAACACTCTAATATATTACTAATATTCTTAAAACTTTGTGAAAAAACAAACATATGCATAATTAAGAGACTAATGGAGTAATTATCTAGAAAAACATGTAACTATCACACAGTAAAAAATGGATTGAGTGAGTCTAAGTTTAGTCCACAATCAAAAAAATAAAAAATATATATATTTGTAAAAATAATTATTGTATAAGTATAAAATAATTATAGTTATAAAAATTAAAATAAAATTAAATTGTATAATTATATTTTTAAAAAAAATAAATTATATAAGACGGACAAAAATAAAAATATAAACATTTTATATGAAATGAATAGAGTAATTATTTTGATGGTTGAAAGTACCATTTAAACCACAATTTAAACTAAAAATAAAAATTAAGAAATGACATAAAGATTTTAGGGTGAACGTGTGGACAGTAAAATCATAAATTCAAAAATACAAATATTTTTTAAAATTATATAAAAAGCAATATCAAACTTATACTATTAAATAATAAAATAATATGATCATAATATATACTATTTTCATTTCATAATAGTTATTAGTTTGATTAGTGATACGATATTTAAGGAAATATAATTTAGTAAATTAATAATACGATACTTATTATTGTAAATATAAAGATATAATTAATAATTAATTAAAAATTATATTAATAGAAATATTAATATTAAGATTATTAAATAATTTAATTAAAATTAAAATAATTATAAATTATAAAAATTAAAACGTGATTGTATACAATTATTTTCTTTTGTATATATATATATAATAAAAAAAAACCAAATTAGGTGGAACAAATATAAATAAAAAGAATAAAAATATTATATTTATGTAAGTAGTGAAGTTTGGTATTTTTAATAAAATTTAATATATATTATTAAAGAAATTTAGAATGTATTTAAATATTTTTAAATACAGCTATTTATAATATGAATATTGTAAAACATAAAATTTTATATAATCTAATTAATTAAAAATTATTTTAATTTATTTGTAATTAATATAAACTAATTTATAAAAAAATAAAAATAATTAAATATACATAAAATTATTTGTTTATCGAAAAAGTGATATAAATAAATGAATTTTGAATGAATCTACATATAAGATATTAAAATTATATTTAAGAAAAAAATAAATTGAATTAGCTTGTAAAATATTACAAATTAAATTAAATTTATTTATTTATTAAATATATTTAATATTAAATACTCCATCCGTCTCACATACCATATCCACGTATGTCCGTCCCACATATCATGTTACTTTCATTTTTTGGAAAATAATTACACTTTAATCTTATTTTAAACTTTTTAATTTTATTTTTTTAAAATTTTAATTAAACTAATTAGTTATCTTAATCTTAATTTATAATTATTTATATTATCGAATAATTATTTTTATTAATACATTTTTAATTATCTACTAATTATACCATTTCTAAAATACCGTGCCTACAGTATAGACACTGTATGTGAGACGGATGGAGTAATTTATTTAAAGAATATATATATCAACTATTATAAAATAAATTAAAAATATATATATATATATATATGAAAAATCTTATGAAATGAAGAAAATATATAAGTTTGTTTATTTAGTGGTTGAATTTGATTTTTTTTATTTTATGGCAAACAAACTCTATATATATAAAGGAATTGGCCAATAAGGATTAGGCGATTAGGTAAGCATGTGATTGGTATTATTCAATAAAAAGGGAATCAGGTTTGAAAGGTCCGTTTTAGATACAAAAATTTCTTTTTGAAATAATAATAATTAAAAATATTTATGAAAAAAGTATTTAGTATAATATTTTTTAAGAAAAATAATATTTATGCATATTAACAAAAATTTTAAAAAGCCAAAATTTTTATTGGAAACTTTTGTCACGGCTACTACAGTTTAGAATACCAATATTTCTTTTGTTCGATTATTTTAATTTTTGGTCTGGATAATCACGACCATTTGACGTGGCAAATATATTAAATATGTAACGTGGCTGCTTGCAATACGAAAATTTCGTATATTTTCCTTTTTTTTTAATGGGTAATATATATATATATATTTAATTCTAATAATAATATATACTTTTTTTTCTTATTTTTTAATATGAGAAAGTATACACCCTCAAATTTTTATTTAAAATATCAAAATTTTTTATATATTAACCAATAAATACTACTTCCTCCGTCCGACTGAAAATGTGACAGATTTACTTTTTGTACGTATTAATATTATATTAAATTGAAAGAATATTTATTACATTATGTACAATTACTAAATTAGTACAATAATTTTGTTTTAAGACACGAAAATAAAAATTGACAATTTTTCAATGGGATAGAAAAAATATTGTTTTTTTAATCTATTACTCCCTCCGTCCAGAACTACAGTGAGAGTTGTATTTGACACGACATTTAAGGAATATTGATATTATATTGATAGTAGATAAAATATACGGATAAAAGATTTTTTGGACAGATACTGTTATTTTAGGACGGATAAATATAATAAACAAAGACTATAATTCTAAGACCGACGGAGTACACAAATTTAAAACACTACTTTCGTTCGGAACAGAGAGTATAATTTAAAGATAGAAAGGAACGGCACGGATATGGCCATACGCGCAGAGGATATCTCACCATCACGTGATCGTTATCATAAATAAATCAAATTCTCATATTAAGCTAAGCTAATGCCACTCTCTCCCAATAATACATCAAAATGAAATACATGTGTATATATATATATATACATATATATTGGGGGCCAGTTCCATAATTTCTAGAATTTCTATCATCTGAATAAATGAGACCAGTAGAGGCTACCTTAATATTCAAGAATATAATATTTTGTTTCTATTTTTTTTTTTAAAATAAAGAATATAAAAATCAATAGCATGTGATATGGGCATTCCCGGAAAGTACTTTTCATCAACAAATTCTTGTCTTTAATTGTTTATAAAGGATCCTATGTTGTTTTAGAATTCAAGATTCAAAAAGTGGTAGTTTAGCAAGCAAAAATGTCTTAGCAATGGAGTATAGAACTGTTACATAAATTTACCATCATCGAGTAAAGGTGTACAGCCTTCTCTCTCACTGATTGATCTCTTGCACAAGTTTCTCGAGTGCGTCGCTTGCGAGGGGAATGTACAAGCAATCTTCGCCATCTGAGTTTCTTCGAGTCTTGACCAACTCATGGTCTTTAAATTCCGTGAGATGGGCATTTAGAGTGATCTGGCTGCTCACGAGGAAGCGCTCCCGGCAGGTTGTGTACAAGTTGTTAAATGGCATCCCTGAAAGAAGCAAGACTTATAGATGGAATGTTAGTTACAGCACAGATACGCATAATTTAGAGAAAATTATTGTGGCACTTGCCTTCCTCCTCAGGATTCGCGAGCTGATGATCTGCAAGAACTTTGAAAACATTTTGAGCATTAGGTGTCAAGCTTTGTAAGACTATCGAAGATGTCTTTACGGTTTGAGTGCTGCTACTGTGTGTAAGAATCAGCGGGTAGAACATTCCTTCGACCTTGTAGGGTACATAGGTTGGGACATGGTACCAATACCAATTGAACTGAGTGTGAACCATCTTCTTGTCCCATACTGCCACAAGAAATCGTCTTAAAAAAAGTAAGAGAAAAAAGGACCATAGTTTACAATCACAAAACTACCACAATAAATAAGAAGCTACTCACAAAGAAGTGCATTCACATGATCAATGGAAGCTACGATGCGTATGTGTGAACAAGCTGCCAGTCTGGCAAGATGTTGTTGAGTTTCAGAATCACGCAAACCTGGCCCATCGATATTGTGTACTAGAACACATATAAAGCATTCATCATCATCATCTTCCAAATGAGGACCATCAAGAAATGAGATAAGATCTCCCATGGATTGGGTATGAAAAGGTTGCTGGTTTCTGGGAATATTTCCTGAAGTGCTTTTCCGGTTCAATTTCAGCTGATCCCATAGAAGCTCAGCTAATGCAACTGCAACCTTGTAATTCCACAACCGTGATTTGTATATAGAATGATAATAGTCCAAAGCAAACTGTCTCTCTTAACAATTCGATGCATGAGAATATTCGCTAAGGATGGATATTTAAACAAAGAAATGGATAAAAGTCATAACATTAAAACAACTTAACCATTTCAACATAGCGACGAAATGAAAACTATGAGACACTTGAGATTTCAGAAACCACTGGATCTTTCGAACGTAACTTTGTATCAGTTCCATCAATTAAACCTAGAGTTAGGAGCCATATCTTCATATGTTCATTATACTTGCTAAATTATAAACATCCCATACACTAGCTTTATTATCCAAACATCTATCATGTGTTTGAGGGCAAAATTATTACCACAATTCCATAAATTGTTACATTTGCTTCAAATGGAATGGCCGCCATTACTTCATTAAGTTATTTGCTACCACAGCTGTTATCATACAACTTTTTCTAACAATAGCAACTTGTAAATGAGAACATGATATACTAAAATCTTTACAATCCTTTGAAACAGATCCAAAAAATGCAAAGCTAAACAAAACCATCAAATGTGCAACACACTTTCAAAGGAATACATAGCATCAAAATTGCAATTATTTCCAGCAATCCAGAATATAAGGTCACAACATCCATTGAAGAACGATAGAAAAGTGATGAGTTATATCCAAACAAGGTTTATACCTGTTTAAGGTTGATTGATTGAAGATACCCATTAATCACTGCAACAGAATAATCAGCCAATGTCGCCGAAGCAAAGTCTTCAATCAATGCCTTCTTTGACCCAAAACCATACATCAATAGCCCAAAGCCACACCTTTTACATAACCAATAATCACCGAAATCAATAATATGCCAGAAAAATAGCTTCCGAAAATAATTTCAAAGAGAATTACCTCAGCATAAAAGCCCACTCGGAGTAGGATTTCTTATAACCGTTCATCAGTTCTTTAATTTCTCTCTCGTGCTTTGGCTCAACATTTGCATATGCCTCTCTCAGCTCCTATTAGCAACTTGTAAAGATTAGATTCTTTTCCGGGAATCTAATGAAAAACTGCATAATAAAATAGCAAGCAAACTACCTGTTCGTCAACGACGTTGATCTCCGAAAGTTTGCGGGCAGATTTTTTGCCTGTGCCTCGCAATTCTTTTGCCAAAAAGTAGTTCCTTGAGAAGCCGAACTCCTCCTCTTCGACATCGTTAGACTCCATCCCGAGCTTTTCCTCCTCTCCGACTCCGAAGTAATTTTCGCCGATGCTGTGCCCTACTAATTTTCCCGCGTTTTTCTTTTTTGCTGTTCTACTTGGTATATGTATACGCTATATATACCCGCGCATTTTAGCAGAGTTACCGAGGCTCGCTCTCCGCGCACGTTAGAGACGACCTTCCCCCGATTCGCTGTGGCCGGCCGAGACACGCCCCCTCGGTTTCGAACGTCGGTCCAGACCGGTGGTTTATCGGTTTCGAATCGATGAAACCTGCCGGTTTTCAGTAAGATTTTGATTTTGATTTTTTTGTTTTAGGGTTTAGCAGTGTTTTGAAAATTGTTTGGTTAGGCTTCTTTTGTTGTTTATTTAGGGTTTAATAATTTTTATTTTTTAAAAAAAAAAATTACATTAGCTAATTTTTTTTTATATATTTTATAAAAAAATTATTTAAAATATTATACCAAATGTTTATTTATACATCATAATTTTAAGGGAAAAAATTAATTTTCGTCTCAATATAATTAAAATTTATCAATTTTGGTCTCAATATAAAAAAAAATTAGTCTCAATATAAACAATTTCAGTCAATTTTTGTCTTATTATAAACAATTTCAATCAATTTTGGTGTCACTGTTAAAAAAATTAACGGAAATTGCTGACGTGGACACGACGAATGAGATGTTAGACTTGAAAAGTACACGGTCTTGTACAATTATACACGGTCATGTTGTTATATGACCATGTATATTTCAGTGTATAATTATATATGGTCATATTGTTACACGGCCATGTACAATTATACTGTCATGTACATTTCTTTTTTAGTTTAAAATTTATTTTTTTGTTATATATTTTTTTAAAAAAATTATTTTAAATTTAAAATAGTTGATATAGCTAAAATGGACAAAATCAATAGTAATTATAATATAATTAAAACTTATCAATTTTAATTCAAATATAAAAATTTATAAGATATATTCTTTGAAAGATTTTGTCTAAAATTTTATTATTTATAAAAAATTTATATTCTTATCAAATATAAAGATTTTTTTTTTTTTTTGATAAATAGTACTCCCTTTGTCTTAAACAACGTGCCTCATTTGTGTTTGACACTGGAATTTAGGTGGAGAATTTAGATGGAGAGTATTAAGTATGGTAATTGGAGATAATTTGAATATTAAGTGATATGATTAAATAAAAAAATAATTATTTATATTTTTATTTGAGGGATGTGATTAAATATTAAATATGTTTTTATATATTAATATATGCATATAAATATTATTAATTATTTTTAAATTTACAAATATTGAAATGGATTTAGGATAAATATAAAAGAAAATGTTACATGTCTTATTTTATATTATTAAAAATATCAAAGATTGTTTGATTGTCCAACATTTCTCATCCCTACCGCAACTTCCGATCCGGTTTCTCTGTCAATTCTCTTTGTTCGCCGCCGCCGCCATTTTCGTCTTCCATTCTTAGTTGTCTTCGTCGAAATCCGTGCGACGCCCGCCCGCCCGCCCCCGTCGTCGTCTTTGCCGGTGAGAGCTTCACGTTAGATTTCCGATTGAATGAACTGGAATGTATTCGTGTCGAGACTTTCTGGTTTGAATGTTTAGGTTTTTTTTCGATGGTAATTTCTGGAAGCTTCGTTTATATTTGATTCATTGATTAAAAGTTTTTGGGGAAAATTTGAACAATTCAATGTGCTTGATACCTGTTCGATGAATTGCCTAGAAATGTTTTTTTTATTTTTTTTGGTGAAAATCTCGCGATTGCAGAAACGGTAAGAATGTTGAAGTTCCTGTCGAAGGTGAGGATCGAATTCAACGCACTGGACCCGCGATTAGCGTCGTGTATGGAGTTTCTGGCGCAGTGCAATGCGCGCAAGGCCAAGGAATCAAACCCTAGCTGCCAGATTCAAGTCAAGCGCCGCACCGACGATTTCCCGCCCAAGATCACCGTCACGTTCGTCAATGGGGTCGAGGAGAGTTTCGACGCGACCTCCACTGCGGCGCAGCATATCCGCCAATTAATTCTTCAGAAAGGTCAGAGTCTAGAGACTGAGCAAATGTTCCGCGAAGCTGGTGAGAAGTGGCCCGTCGATATCCCCGAAGAAGAACTGCGGCAGCCATTTACTGGAATCAAGGTAATGCCTTCCATAATTTTTTAGTTTTTGGTATTGTGATGTGATTGATCGAATTCTACTTTGTCCTCTGCCATGATTATGTTATTTGAGTTGTTTTGGGGGCAATTCGTCGAACATGTTGTGTGCCTTTTGTGTGGCGAGATTACTTCAAGAACATTCCATATTTCGACTCCTCAGGATCAGGAATCCTCTTATTGATTTCCATCGAGCTTTGCTTATGAAACTAATGTGAATCTCCATTTTACTATAGCTATGGCATTAATGTGGTTTGGGTTCTTCGATCATATGTGAAGTTTTTATGATATCATCTTCTGTGTTTTCGTGTAGCCACGGAAAGCAGAGGAAAAGCCACAGTGAATTTCAGTGGTGAATTTCTGGAATTTCGCAGCAGACTCGCAGGTTCTTCTTAACATGTAAGAACTCCATATTTTTTATAATGTGCATCTTCTTTGTAAGATGTTGGAGTTGCAATGACACAAAAATAGAGGCTTTCTTCAATTATATTCTAACAATTGAATCTTCCAGTGCTACCTGTTTATTGTTCCTCATTACATGCTTTCTTTTTACCATTTTGTTGATTTATTTCATAATTTACAAAAAAAATATTAATATATACAATTAATTTATACATATAAGTTAAAACGATAAAAATATTAAAAAATTTTACACACATTTATTATCCAATAAAATATTAGTATTATTTATTAAAGTGAGTATGAGGTTTAATGTTTTGAATAAATTTAAAAATTATGTGTCTTCTGAGTCTAGTATACAAACTATTAGAATCTGTCAAATTTACCTAAGAGCATTTGAAAATAGTGATTGTGGACTTGCGATGCTATAAAAAGTAATGCTAAAAAAAATCAAATTTTTTTTCTCTTAATGCTATTAATTTTAGATAAACGAAAAAAGATATTTCAATCCATTGTTAAAATTATGGAAAAAATTAATTTTAGTTCCAATATAATCAAAATTATAATATAAAAAACTCATCAATTTTGTTTTCTAATTTTTTTATTTTTTTTATATATTTTAATATTTTTTTTAATTTAAAATAGTTCATACAGGTAAAATGAAAAAAAAAAATCAATAATAATCATAATATAATTAAAATGTATCAATTTTAATTCAAGTATTTATAAGTACATTTTTTTGAAAGATTTTGTTTATAATTCTACTCCCTCCGTTTCAAACACCATTTTCAAATTTAAAAATAATTTATAATATTTATATACATATTAATATACACTTCACTTTATCTCAAATAAAAAAACAAATAATTATTTCTCAATTATCATATTTAATACTCTCGACCTAAATATTGTGTTTGGGACCGTGGGAGTAAATCTTTAATCTAATATTTAAAAAAATAAAATTGATAAATAACAAAAATTTATAAAAATCCTTGGAACAAACGCATCCACTATGATTATGAATAAAGAATAAAATTAATAAACACTTAAATATGCACATTACAAAAAAAAAAAAACAACAGAATCTGTACAATGTATATTCAATTTCTAGTCATCGTGTGTCCACCAGAGCTCTGCTTTCTTTTTACAGTTTCGAGAGCTGCTGAGAATCATGGCTATCTACTTCTGTACAGGCTCTTCTTCAATGGTGTATTGTGACTTGAGCCTTTCCAGGAACTCTAGAGTTTCTCTGTAAGAGGGATCAGCCTTGCTCAATGGCTTGCAAGAATTTACATGATCCGTGGAATCTAAAGCCTGTTTATGAAATCACCATTTCGAAAAAGGGGGCAACTTAGGATTCAGCTTAACAAGCTTGCAAAGAGATAAATGATCATGGGATTTAGCTAGTTTTAATACTTACGACGAGCACACCAAATCCGGGATATGCCGACTCCATGGGAACAATCTCCATTCGAAAAGCCCAGCCTCCATAGCCTTCAACAATTGGAGTGACCTTCATCTGCAGCCAAGAATCAATACAATTTAGACTACTATGGATAATATGAAACAGAGGACATTGAAGAAACTGAGGAAGAACAGTGATTACCTCGCAGAAACTGAGGACATCGACTGACTTTTTCTTGAAACGGTGGCGCAAGAAATCATTGAGCTCGACTAGCCTTGGTGACCCGCTCCTCAATTCTCCTATCTGGCCAAGAAATGTCCAATTATCATGAGTATGAAGTTTAGTTAGATGTAATGAGAAAATACTTGAGGATATATATATATATATGAGTGTCGAAAACTAACAGAGGGAGCAGGGCGCAACACAAGACCCATTTTCCAGGGCATATCAGCAAGCTTGCTACCGAAATGGGGACAACTATAAAAAACCTGTAATACAAACTACCAGTCATGCCTACGCATTAAAAATAAAAATTATGGCGAGGATAAATTCCTGTAAAGAAGACAGCTTACAATTCCAACGGTGTTATTGACAAATTTATCCCTTTTTGTCGCATTAGCTTGGTGCAACATTTGCTTGACAACCAGGCCTCCCATGCTGCACAAGAAGTGATCATTCGAATCTTATACAATTCAACCAGAAACTTCAGTACACAAAGCTAATGTATGTATATAAACCAAAAATTATCATAATCATCATGGTTTCCTTGAAAAGGTTCCGACACTGGAATAATTATTAGGTCGTATTTTGAAATTAACAGGATTTTCTCTACAAATAACATGTTCAAAAGATTAAAATTTGCATAATGAAAAATGTGATCTTGCCTGTGTGTTACAAATACGACTGGTCGATCCCCAATGCCTGCAGCAATGAGTTTGTCTAACAGCATTGAGCTAACCTCCTGTAAAAGCAAAGCAAAAAGGAATCCATAAAACAAAAATAGTGTAATGAATTAATGACACAGCACAACAGAATAATCATAAACCACATGAATGTTTAATTCCACTAACATCCTACTTTTGTAATGGACAGGAATGTCAATAGAAAGGCCAACATAACAGGAAGGCAATGCAAGGCTTCAGATATCAATCAAGATCAAGAAATATATTTTTGACATTATTAATCGTTTAAGCATACACTAACCTGTAGAGGAAGACTGGCTCCAGACCACTGTGTAAGGTTAGTCTACAATTTGCAACAGTGGGCAGTTAGTTTGATACCAAAAATCCAACCATGTCTTACAGCTTCTTAATTCAAAACTTTCCACAAGATATGAAAATGAAGTTGAAGAAATATAATAAGGAAAGAATAAAAATAAATCAATCAATCAATATTGCTACAGAAATTGTTGAGTCCAGCAAACCTTGTATTTGAGACTGAATATGCGGGCATTAGGAAAGTCTGCACCGAGCCATTCTCCAGGCCAAAATGTTCCTTGTTTCCCAGCTTCTTCATCAATCTTTTCAACAAGGCCAGACTTTGTTGATGATTTATCCTCGGATACCCGCCAAGTTTTGAAGGCACCTCCACGAAGACCATGTACAAAAACAACATCCAATGGAGGAATATCGGGCAAATTTTCTGATCCAGAAGTAGAGGTAGCTGAGTACTCATCCTCAAAAGTTCTCAAAACTTGCCTATTCTCCATATCATTAGAATCTCCATCAGTTTTCACATTTTCAACAGTGTTTGACAGTTTCTGACTTGTACACTTCCAATGAGGTAATTCAGGATTAATTAAAAATATCATGTCAGTATAGCGTGGGCAATATTGTTGTTTTTGCATAGAATTGGTATCAATACTACCAGTTCCTTCTGCATTACTCTCGACCATATCAGCGCAAAATGCATTTAATAATGTTGCTCTGGCATAACTCTGAATTTTACCACCTCTGCAACCAGGAATTTCCCCTCGAGCACATTCCTCAAGCCATTTGCACAAGGAACTATCTTTTACAATTGCCTTCTTGACTTTTGGAAGTACAGAAAGAATAGAAAGCAGACGTGCTACGTGCCTTCGAATGTGAGCAGTGTCGGGGATCTGTTTTGAAATTTCATAACCATCAACTGTAGAAGGGGACGATGCAACCTTGCCTTGTGCCTCAGGAGCTTGTGACGAATCGCATGCTTCAAGCACAGCTAGCTGCTCGTAATCATCTTCCATCAAGAACCGTTTGAGAAGGTAAAGTAGTCCAAAGTCTGCTATCTTTTCTTGACAAAGAGGATCATCAGTACATATTTCAGTAAGTGCCTTGATTCCTTTTAGAGTGGCAGATACAGCATCTGCAGCAGTAATCTTCTGTGTCTTTTCCCTCTTAAGGTTCTTTAATGATACAGCAAAGGGTTCAAGAGAGAGGAGATCTCCTAATGAAGATGCCTCGGCACCTTGAATGGCCCGTCCCAGTTGCGGCTGAGCTAAAATAACAACAGATTTTGCCAACTGTGTTGCAGCTTGACTTGCAGAAGTGGCATTAGAAAGATCGATCTTTGTCTGCCAGAAAACAATTTTCATGAAATTAGAGGATAGCATAGGTGAAAAGAATTAACTTACATCAGTTCATTATCAGAACAAACTATTTGCAGCCGTGTAATTTTTTATTTTCTTATACTCACCTTAACCTTATCATCGGCGACCTTGGCACTTTCTTCTGTCAAAGCCTTCTTTCTATGTGCGAGGCTATCCAATATTATCAAAGTTAACCATGCTTGAGAAATGGGAATAGAAGATGGCCCATAATCATCAAGGACATAAGAAAGAATATTTATAGCAGCTGAATGAATCGTGTCAGAAGTTTTTCCGAATACCCATGAAAGTAAAATTGCAGACCACTTTTGACTCTCCTCAAGTGACATATGCAGTCCCTTGGAACTGATTAGTTCTAAAGCTTTTGCCAATGATTCTTGAACAGTTTTCTCCTTGACAGTTTGTTTAGCAGCTTGTCTCATCAAATGAAGACCCTTATGGGCTGCTACTTCCCTGGCTTCACCGCTTCTTTCTAGTGAACTCAATAATGCCGACAAAGCAACTTGAGCTAATGCTATGTCCTGATCTTTGCTAGCTTGAGATATAGTAGAAAGAAGACTAGAGCCCCAATCTGGAACAGAACCATTCAAAGGCAGATTATGGTCCTCTAGAAGCAACTGAACCAACCAACTGCCATGCCATTTTACTGACCTCTCAGGTGCCATCAGTGTTTTCATAACTGCATGCCCATCCCAATCTAATTCATTAATATGAGCCCTATTGACGTCAGAAGCCAGTGCCCAATTAGCTAATGCCCAAGCAGCGAATGGAACTGCCACATGTTCACAATGCAAGTCATCCCAAAGACCAGGAACTACAGCAGAAGAAAATTTCATTTGGGCTGTGGATCTTTGATTCTCATTGTTGAGTAATAAGCTCTTTTGAGGCTTCACGGCATTTGAGTTATAGGAATCAGAATGATCCGCTTCAGCAAACATGCTAGTTCTTGAAAGCCCTATTACTGAGGTGCCTCCTAGAACTTTGATCCCAATCCCCTTTATTCCTGTTCCACCAATATCATCATCATCATCAATTCCATCCCCATGCTGCTCGCCCAAGAACATCCCGCCTTCTTCAATTACTTCTATAGCTGCTGCAATATCTCCAACTTCAGCAATTTTTGGCAACAGAGGCTTAGAAGATAATTTCTCAACATTGTTACAATTGGAAGTGACAACATCCATAATTGCAGTGACAAGCATGCTCTTGCCTTTATCAGAAAAATCAAATGAACTATGTCTTGATTGCTGCTGCCACAGAAACACATCACAGTAACATCAAAGTTAATATAGTTCTCCATTAAAATTAATTCTAAGCAGTTCTGTTAACTGCTTTGACATCGAATGTTTTTATCCCAAACAAAAGATGGAAACAGAAAATTCCTGAAAAATTAATTTCCAAAACTGTTTTTGAAAATTATATAGTACAACAATTTAAAACTCTCATACCACATGATCACCAATACGTAAAGCATAATCTATTGTTGGATAATACCCATATATTCCAACATCTACAGCATAAAAAGGCTTACCTTTTTCGACCGGCGAGGTTTAGTAGAGACTATAAACTTCAACAGATTTGGAACAGCTTGAGGCCGACCCAAAACAGCCTCGCACAAATTCGGATCAGCAATTAAGTACGCCAATGCCCTAGCCGATTCAGACTGGGCTCCAGTCCTATCCTTCGCGACAGCTACAGATTCCAACAACCAATCAACCACCGCACCACCACCGGCAGTAACGATCGCCGCTCTCCGGATATCGCTGGACGCGACAATGTCCGCTAACAGCCCTGCCACCCGAAGTTCGAAACCGGCTCTAACCTCATCGTTTGCGGAAGACAACAACGACCTCAAAGACTTGCATAAAACAGAGGCTGCAGCGCCTGTCTGCGTCATCTTATTAATTACCTTCTTAATCGACTCATCCGATTTCTCTACATCGGATATTAAAACAGTGCAGGCGGAGGCGGCGGCGACAGCAGCAGCAGACACAACAGCAAATACGGAGGCCTTGGAGAAGGAAGCATAAGAGAAGGGTATAACCTCAGGGTGATTTTCACGCAAAAGCGCAGGAACAGGAGACCCATGCCGCGAATTCTCGATATAAATTTGGGGTTCGGAGGCAATATCGGAACTCCTTGAATAAGAAAAAGAAGACGCCTGAAGTTGGGGCAAACGGCCAATGCACCGCCGCGATAATCCGCACAATCGCAGCATAATTCTCTCCGATTGTTCCCCAATTCTACTAACTCCTTTCCTGATACCATAACACGACGGTGCCAGATATATAGACGCGCGCAAATCCGGCGCGGAACGGAAACGACGGTCGTAGAAGATATTAGATTTTGCCTCTGCTTTACATGATTTAGAAAGAAGATGCGGCGAATATACGAATACAAAATTTAATCCTAATCCAAATCCAAATCCAAATCCAGACAAACTCAATTAATATGGGCCAGAAAGACTAGGCCCGTTTAAAAACCCATTTTTGGTTGGGCCGATCCGTCAGGCCCAAGAGCAAACCGGAAAATAAAGACGCAGCAATCCCTAATTTTATTATTTTTCTGTCAATTGCAATTTCTCTTTTTTGGCTGAGCTGATCGATGCGAATTCTGCGATTCGCCATGATTTGAGGGAGAAGATTCGAAAAGGTAAGAGCTTCGAGGCTCGTAATGGATATGCTGTGGTTTCGATCATTTTTTTGTTTTTTTTGTTTTTAAAAAAAAATTAATTATTATTTTTTTCGGTTTGCCATGTGAAGGAAGCTGTCGTTATTATTGCGGCCATCATTGATTGATTTGTAGTTGTTCAAATCTCTGTGAAGAAATTTTTATCACTGTTATTATATAATTGTTGACTTTAAAAGATTCCTGAATTTGTGAGCTCTGAATTCACTATCCCTCGTAGAAATTTCTCAGATATGAAAAGGCAAAACACAGAACGGGTGGAATTGAATTCAGTTATGCAATATACAATGTCTGTTTTCTTGTACAGAATTGGACAATTGATAAACACAGAATGGAAGAACTTCGATTCAATTCCAGACAGAAATTCAGTTTTCCCTACTTGGAATTGATGAATTCAGCACATTTGTTGATGAGATTCTTTGCATTTTCACAAGAAGGATCGAAGATATGGAAAACATGATCCTCTTCGGGAGTCTCAAGGTACTCAGCTTTGCCCTTCTCTTCCATCAAAGCCTTATAATAAAGCCTCCCTCTTTCCCTCAATATATCATTCCCTGCAACACAGACAAGAAATCCGTACGATCTCGCCAACGCCGGAAAATCCTCGCCGCCGGCGAAAGGATTTATCAGCGGGTCGTCGCAGCCAAGATCAGAAGGGCAGACGAATCTCCACCAATTATCCACCACACTTTTGAACACAGGACTTTCGGCCTCGACCCCGATCGGATCCTCCCCCCAAAAGTATGGATGCACCATCACAAACCCGGAAATCTTGAATTCTTGCAACCTCAGATTCTTGATCGCCATTTGATGGCATATATTGGCTCCGGCGCTGTCCCCTGCAAGAAAAACTCTGTCAAAGTCTGCTAATTCCGTCAACCACGGCTCGCCGGCGCCGCCCCCCGCCGCCCATTGCAGGGCGGCCCAGGAGTCGTCGTAGGCGGCGGGGAGGGGGTTTTCGGGGGCCAGGCGGTAGTCGACGGAGACGACGATGATTTGGGCCTGTTTTGCAAGAAGGTTGAGCATGGCGTGGTACTTGGGCTCGGCGGCGGAGGCGATCAAGAAAGCGCCGCCGTGGAAGTAGATAAGGAGGGGGAGCTTTTTGGGGCTGTCGGGGTTGGGGTGGTAGAGGCGGGCGGAGACGGCGGTTTCCGGCAGGATGAGGATGTCTTTGGAGAAGACGCCGGTCTGAGAGTCGAGGCCGGCCGCCGTGGTCTCCGTCGCGACGAGGCGGTCGATGCGGCCGTCGGAGTAGACTTTCATGTACGGAGGGATGTCGTGGAGGACGATAACCTCGGAGGTGTTTGTCTCAGCCATTGTTGGATTTGTTTGTTTTTTTCTCTGTCTGCTGTGCTGTGGAGAAGTGTTGTGTTGTTTTATTGTGAGGGAGGAAGATCGAGAATAGTGTTTTTATATAGCTTTGGTTATAGTGTTCTGACTTACTTGATAGTCAAATATTTTATTGGTCCATTTAATTTGTACATTATTTTTATTTTTATTTATTTTATATAATTTATTTTTTTAAAAAAAATATATGTAATTATATATTTTAATAATATTTTAAAATTTATAATTTATTATTTTTAATTTTATTAAATTATTTAATATTTTTATATTAATTTATAATTATTTTTATTAATACATTTTTTAATTACTTACACATTTTATAATATCTAAAATTATGTGTTTAAATTAAATGAGACAAATTAGATTAGATGAAACTTTGTGCTAAGGTAAATTAGATAAATTAGCTGGAATAAAGGGAGTGGCTCATATCCGAGCATGTATTTTGACAAATTAATGTAAAATAATAATAAAAGTTTATTAGTTAGTGAAAGTATGTAAAAAAATTTAATGTTTTTGCCATATAATTTTATTTATGAAGTAATTGTACGTGTATAATGATATATTTATAATTTAAATGTATTTTGATAATAATATGTAATGTTTTTTTTCTAAATGATTAAATGAATACACTTTTAAATAAAACATACGATAATAGTACAAAAATATTTTGAATTGAAATATTATTAATTTTAGTACCGTAAGAATGTGTTTGTTTGAAAATTTTACATCCAATTTTACAATTTATTATTTTTTTTTGAAAATATATTAAATTAAATACTTATTTTTTATTTTTAATACTATTAAATACTTATGTATTTTATAAAATATTTTTACTTGATGTCACAGTAAATAAATTGATATAATGCTCATATTCATTAAAATTTGTTAAACAAATAAAAAGTACCCCCTCGTCTAAGCTAAAACAATACAATTATTTTTGGCGCGAAAATCAATAAATAATAGTATTTTAATTATAATGAGTAAGTAAAATTAGTAAAATGACATTTTTGTCCTTACTTTTTTGATATAAAAATAATGATGTGATGTAAAACATGGATATTTGTGGAAAAAAAATGGGGTATTTAATAAAATAGTTACTTTGTAATTAGACGTCCCAAAATAGAAATACATATACTTTCTAACTGGATCGATGGAGTATTATATAGTGGTAACTAAAATGTTTCCATTATTTTAATTAATTAAATAATTATAGGGTGTGATGTTTTATTTGATTTGATTTAATAGATAGCTATAAAATGAAAAAGTCAGCACTCAATAAAAAAGGTCAAGTGTTTAATGTGTTCAATAAATAATTGTGTAACCTAATTCCACATTTCTTATCATTAATACAATAATATAGTATGTCACACCTATATTAATTAACTAACGTATGATGTGCTCCCATTAACATATTAGAAGTTGTCAATTGTGTGTAACTAAATATGAATTATTTCATTTATATTTAAATGCAACTAGCATTAATAATAGGTTAAGGGTGTGTTTGTTTGGGGGATTGGATTGGATTTACATTATTCATTTAATTTATTTTTCCCTCCAAAACATCAAATCAAACACCTATTTTTTATTTTTATATTATACTAAAAATCAATTTTACATTCAAAACATCACCTCAACACTTATTTATATCGCATCATAAAACTATTTAAATTCAAAATTTTTACTATTCAAATCTTAATTCAAAATCCAAACCCCCAAACAAACACACCCTATAAAATCTTTAATCAGATGAAAAAATATCAACGGTAATTTTTTCTGCATAAATTCAATGGAAAAAAAAATGATTAGATAAATACAATCCAATAGGGGTGGGCAAAAAAACCGAATCGAACAGCCGAATCGCTGAACCGAACTGAATTTTCGATATTTGATTTAGTTTCGATTTTTTATATCTTTTTTCTGTTTGGTTATATTTATATTACTATTATATTTTAAAATTTATACAAGTAATTATATTCGGTTCAGTTTTGATCGGATATTTGAAATATTTGCAAATATTTTGATTTAATTAGAATTTTAATTATTTTTTAATTTCGGTTAAATTCGAATTATTTGCAAATATTTTCGGTTAATCGAAAATTCGATAAACCAAAATTTTCAATTCGAATACGATTTGATATTTTGAATATTTATTCGATTCGATTCGAATATTTTGATACTTGCGTATTTACAAATATTTGAAACATGGCCACCAAAGATTTGAAAATCATTGAAAAAAGAAGGGGTGCCCTTAGAAATAATTGTAATTAGTAAAGAAATTGAAAACAATCATAGTGACAACGATGCTGGGGGAGATCCGGGCCCGGCAGAAATGAACGGTGTAGATTCATCCTGGAAAGCAGTCACTCGCACGTGCAGTGCTTAAATCCACCACTCATTCGGAAGGTCCAGGACCTCAAGATCCCGAAGCAGTTTGTATTTAGGGCCGTTGATGGCGGATGGATCAACGGTTAGATTTCAGTAGCTTCCAATACTGAAATATACGTACATATATGTTCAACGGCTTTTAAATAAAGAAGAAAGAAGGATGCCACTGGAAGTTAGAAATAAACATAACATAAAGTATGAACATATTTATATTACTGTCAAGGTCAAAGTTGGCCAAATTACTTTGATTTATTTATTTAATTTCCCTTTATTAAAAGCTCCCTTCCAACTTCTTTGATTGGGACGCTGACGTGGATTGCTCGAATTTATTTATTATTTATTTATATAATCGAATTCATAGTTGCTACGGCAAAGTCACTAATAAAACAAATTTAAAAATCGAGCATGTGTCATATTCGATCAAGTTAGTATAGTACTGATCAGACAGTTTAATATATGTTATACAGATAACCATCTATATGTATATAACACATGTTATTTTATAATATGTTATATGTTGTACTATATATAAATATATATTAATTTGTATAATATATATTGATTTTATCAAATTAAGGCTATATTGATTTGACCAAATCAATGCATTAGCAGGTTAAAATATATATATATATATATAAGTTAAATAAACAATCATATAATTTTACAAAAATAAGTAATAAAATACAGTGATATATAATACTTCATTTTGTCCAATTTCTATTATGCTAAAATATATTTATATATTTTTTATGTGATTATTTTTTTTTATTATAAATTAACAAATTTGTCCATAATGGTACAATAAAAATTAGAAGTAGTAAATGAATAAAAGGTATAGATGAGCCAAATGTTCCGCATGGCCCAATATCGATGATCAATTCACTAATAGAACTAATGGGATGTTTGGCAATAGAAATTATCGACTAGAGTGACAAAAATTGACCCGACACGATTCGATACGAAATAATTGGGTTTTGGTCAAATATTTCAATCCGATTATGTATAAGGGTTGACACGAATCCGACACGATAATAAACGGATCGAGTTAGGGTTGACGATAATATATTAATATTGATTAATATATTTATTATATATAAAATAATCATAATTTAATATTTCTTTTATAAATTAATTTAAACTAATTACGCTCAAATCAGTTAAAATTAACCTAACACGACAACAAAACAAAAAAATAATTTAATTTGAATCAAGAAATTAGACTTAATTATGTATACAAGTCAACATGAGTCAACCCAAACCCGACACGATAATAAACGGGTTAACACGAACCCGACACGATAATAAACGGGTCGAACTAGGGTTGAGTAATTTAACCCGTTTAAAATATTCAACCCGACACGAATCGACCTATTGCCGACTCTACTATTGGCAGGGAAATGAAAATATATTTTATTTTATTTTTCTCGTTGAGAATTGAAAATAAAGATACAATTTATTTTTCATTATCTATGTTCAATTATCACTAGTATAAAAAAAATAATAAAATAAAATTGGAAAGAATTAAACAGTTCAAAAAACTAACTCAGGTTTTTTTTCTAACCAATTATAGAAATCTGAGTTGGCCAATTTTAGCTCATTCAACACTACTTCTAAGGACCCAATATTAATCCTGACGGGGGCCTACTTCAACTTTTAATTAACATGGACCAATTTAAACGGCCCAAATCATAATGGGCCCATACGGCCCATTTAATATTTTAAAATACCACAATTTATTTTATCATATAAAAACATACAACTCTATTTATTCTCAGGAATTATAATTCGAGTTTTCATATTTTAAAAACATTAAGTGTTGAAAATTTTTAATAAGAAATTGTATTAATTTTTATTTCAAAAAATACAAAAAAAGGAATATTTACAATATATAGACATTGATTGGAAATAAAATGCAACCTAACATTAGTATAATTTTCTTAAATACAAAAATGATTATTTTTATAATAAAACAATATAATCTAATTAATATTTTAAATATTATTATTAAGGTTATTTATACACTACTTTTGTTTTCTACAACAATTTCAACGAATTTTTATTCCTTGTAATATTTACTATGTTCTTCGTTTTAAAAAAAAAATAAAAAATATTTTAAATATTTCTAAAATAATTCAAATCACCAAAGATGACCAAACAAATGGTATATTTGGTTGTATTTTTATATTACACTCATAAGTATTTTTTTTAATATCATTTTAAAATACTATATTTTGATTTAAATTTCAAAACAAATGGTATTTTTGGTTGTATTTTTATATTAAACTCATAAGTATTTTCTTCTAATACTCCTTTGGTCCCATGTAATCTGGATGTATTACAGTAAACACGAGAATTTAAGTAAAGTATAATTAGTAAGTAATTAAGAAGTGTATTAGTAAAAATAATTATTATTTAGTAAAAATAATTATAGATTAAGATTAAGATTAAGATAAGTAAATAGTTTAATTAAAATTAAAAAAATTATAAAATTTAAAATTTAAAATGCGATTAAAGTGCATAATTATATTTCAAAAAATAGAAATGACAAGTTACGTGGGACGAACGAAAATATAAAATAGAGACAAAATATGTGGGACGGAGGGAGTATCATTTAAAGTACTGCTCCCTCAGTCTCATAATTATATATACATTTTCTTTTTACACGGAGTTTTAGAAATATTAGTATTATATTGATATATGAAAAAAATAAAATAAAAATGACTAAAATGACCTTATTAGTATTGTGTGATATAAAAGTAATGATATTTGTGTAATATATTATAAATTGTAAGAATATTTGTAATATTAATAGATAATATATTTACTAAAAAATAAAATTAATACTTTTTTACGAGACAAATTAAAAAAAAAAAAAAAATTATGGAAATACTTATGTATGTGTGTGAGTGTGAACAGTGCAGGTGCACATGCATCGTCATGATTCCAAGATTCTCAAGTCAGAGTCAAACAAATCGTTGACATTAACAAACATACAGGTAAAGGCCATCCATCACTAACCTACATATTTGTCATTAATTCTTGGCATTTGTAGGACTATTTATAACCCACAAACTTAACATTAAATACTTTAAATTTATTTTATTTTTTATTTTTATTTTTTCTTTTCTTATGAATGTTACATTTATTCTGATATTAATATTGACTGAAGTTAATAAATTAATATTTAATGAATATTTTATACTACTTAATACTCTATTTGTCCTATAAATATAACATGGGTAAAAAGTATGGATAAAAGACTCTTACTTTTGTGAGTGTATTAGTTTAAAAAATAGTGGCAATTGTGTAATAAAAATGAAAATAAGAGTAGTTTTATTATGGTATGGTTATTTATGAAAATAAGACTAGACGAACAAAAATGGTAAACAAGACTATTGTATTAAGACGGATGGAGTACTTATTTACAATAAATATTATTATCTTTGTTACACTATATTTTTTATTTATTTTAATATCTAATTAATTTTTTCAAAAATTATCCTTTTTTCATTTTTATCATTTTGTAATATATTTTTAAAATTTTTGTGCTAACCCAAATAAGTTAATTTTAATGGACGGAGAGTAATATTTCTCCTGGAACTCTTTAATTATAAAATTATTGTTAATGAGAATTCACAACTGTTATTCATTAAATGCGTTATAAGTAACTTTCCTGTGAATCTAATAAAGAAAAAAAAAAAAGAGCAACAAAATATAATTTGCATTGTTATTGCCTTATAAAGAAAAAAAAATCCCTAAAAAAAACAACAAAGAAGAATATAATTCTGAAGATAAAAAAAAAAAAAGAAGTCATTTTCTTGCTATATTTGTTTATTTAATTTTTTATTAAAAAAAAAAAAAAGAAGAAAGCTTACTCCTTAAATTATAAAAAAAATGACTTTTTTTTTTTTTTACTCATAGGAATATTCTGAATTGATAAAATAAGGCATTATATTATAGTTATGAGTACACTTCCACACCATCATGTTATTCTTTACTAGACGACTTTATAATTATTTTTATAACCAAATAATATAATCCTAGTTAAAAAAATAAAAAAAGAATGTATATATTCTTTTTACGCAAATAATTTAAATTTCTTTTATTACTGTTCATATGTAGTAAAATATATATTTTGAAATAAAAAATCATATTAAATATGAAGTAATTTATTATTAATTTTCTATTTAAAAAAATTTAAAACTCTTGCATATACAAGAATCCAAATTCTAGAAATAAAAATGTAAAGAGAATCTAGAAATAAAATAGTTTATGTTATTTTGGGCTGTCACTATGTACTTTAGTATATATCCCCATTTTTGGTACTGTATTTTTGTGTCACTTTACTTCTTTAGTGTATGAAAAATAAAATAAAATAAAATAAAATAAAATTTAAATAAACAAAATAATTGCAGTACTAGGGAAATTTATTACGAGAAGTACCCACGCCAGTTTTCATCGTATGTACCAAAATACGAGGTTAGTTTCATTTTCTTTCATACACACTGAATCCTAAAATTTCCCAATTTGGATTTTTAAAATATTATTAATACATTGTTTAAATAAAAGTAATAATATTACCTAACAGCTATTAATGCGTTACCTTATTCAATAGACATGTCACACAGCTAAAAAATTGTTACGATTTAATTTTGGGATAAATTTGAATGTTGATTAAAATTTTAAAAAATAAAATAAAATAAAAACAGAAATAGATAATTACGGTCATAATTATCTTTATTATTAAAAAAAAGTGAAAAAAAAGGAAAGGCGGAATGGCGGCCGACCACGGACCGAATCCAACACGACTGTATCATCACGAATGGACGGCGGAGATTGAGTTTGGGGTTGGGAGATCCAACGGTGAGCTTAAGTTGCGGTTCATCTCAGGGCTTCCCATGAAAACCTGGAAGGGTATCCCTCAGCCTCCACACACCCCATTCTCTCTCCAAAACTCAGATTCACCAAACCTATACGGGAAACCGCCCGCCCTCACATCGCCTCCTCCACTTTCCAATTCTTCAAATTTTCCTTCGAATTATTTAGGGATTGTGATGGAAGCGAACAGCGCCTCTGAATCGCAACAACAGAGCACTTCGAAGGAGAACAACGGCAATAACAATAACAATAGCAATAGCAATAGCAATGGCAATGGCAACAATAACAGTAATGAGAGCGGCGCCAAGGCGGTGTTTCCGATTCCAGTAGCGGCGCCGGTGCCGGGGCATCAGTGGATGACGGTGCCGTACCAGCCGGCAATGGTGATGCCGCACGGGATGATACCGGCGCCGCCGCATTACGCGTCGCATTATATGCCGTATAACCACCCTCTCCACCACCCACCGGCGATGCCACACCACCCTCCGCTGCAGACGCAGAGCGTTGGCAATGGTGGGGGATCCAATGGAGAGAACCGCACGATCTGGGTCGGAGACCTCCATAGTTGGATGGATGAGGATTACCTCCGCAGCTGCTTCGCTACCATTGGAGGGGTATATTTATTTTCTGATCTTATCTCTTTCCGTTTCTTTGTTATTTCTTAATTTTCTTCTCCATGTATTTGAGTTTGTGTATGTAAAAATTTCCTGTTTATGTTAAATTTTTGCGAATGTGCTTGATCTATTTTCTTCTATAAGTTTGATGGTTAATTTGATGAAGTAGGGTGATTTATGACTAATTGGAAGCTTTTTAATTCGGAAAAGTGTGGCTTGGCCTTGTGTTCGAATTAGTTTTGTGGGCTAATAATGTAATAGTTTGGTTCTTGTTTGAACACGTATGAAATTGAATATAACATATCAATGTGGAGGCGTTTAAGTGAAAGTATCTTTGGAATTAATTCTCAGTTAATCCCCACATTGTTCTTGTGAAGGTTTGAATGAAAGTTTCTTTTTACTTGGAAAGTTTGGTTGTGTAAATATTGCATCTCTATTACCAATTTTGTTGATATATTGGTGCTGCTTATCTGTAGCTTGCTTGGCAATTTCTTGATTTTTTGGAGTTTTCTGGGTTAACAGTCACTTAGAGATTTCTTGTTATTTATTGTTTGCTTGTACTTGAAGACAACAGTTGCTGTTTTTCATCTAAACTAACCTTTGAATGAATTTAATGCTTAGATGTGAGAAGAACTGCAGATATTTTAGATTATGATTAACCTTTTTATCTGGTTTTAACTTTTTTGCCAAAGTCAAAATGGTTATTAATGAATTCAGAATGGATGAAGTGTTTCTCAACAATCTCATGTTTGTGAGTTATATTAATGTTTGCTAGCATTTAATTGAGTAAGACAGAATATAAATCACATTTAATGCATAACTATTAAAGGATATGGAAATACTTGTGCCTTTTTCTTAACATCAAATGTTTGCATTTGAGATTTGATATTTCTGGCTTAATGAATCGATGCTGTTAGTTGTCGATGCACACAATTGGTTTTTTTTTGAGTAAAAATATTGTTGTTTGTAGTTGTTCTCGGAGTATATACGTTCCAAGTGACCTCGAAGGATTGTCTAGTGCTAACTAATGGTTTGATATGATGCTGTTCTGTGCAGATTTCCTCAATTAAGGTTATTAGAAACAAGCAAACAGGATTACCTGAGGGATATGGATTTGTCGAATTTTCAACACATGCATCAGCTGAGAACGTTCTGCAAACTTACACTCATCTTGTGATGCCGAATACGGATCAACTTTTCCGTTTAAACTGGGCTGCGTTTAGCATGGGTGAAAAACGTTCCAGTAATGGTTCTGATCTTTCTATTTTTGTAGGAGATTTAGCTGCAGATGTTACTGATAGTTTATTGCACGAAACTTTTGCTAATAAATATCCCTCGGTTAAGGCTGCTAAAGTTGTCTTTGATCCCAATACTGGCCGTTCAAAAGGATACGGTTTCGTTAGGTTTGGAGATGAACATGAACGATCAAAGGCTATGAATGAAATGAATGGTCTTTATTGTTCTAGCAGGCCTATGCGCATCGGTGCAGCTGCACCAAGGAAGTCTTCTGCATATCAACAACAATACTCTTCACAAGGTATTTGCCGAATCTTTTCAAATCCGATTTTAATATTATTGCATCGTAGCTCCATGTATTCAATATCTTTCATTGAGTTCTTATTATACTTCAAACAAATTTCATGTTTACTATGTTCAGGATCAAAAGAAATTTGTACGTCTATTTATGTTAATTTCCATTAATGTATTCTTTCTCTTGATATTGTTTTGAAATTCATTTACTTATTAGGTGGATACTCGAATGGCACAATGAACCACGGCTCTCAGTCTGATGGAGATTCTGTCAACACAACAGTCGGTTATTACGTTCATATTCTTGTTAATGTTGTTTGAAGAAAAATACTTTTACCCTGACCTCGAACATTTTCAGATTTTTGTTGGCGGACTTGACCCTAGTGTTACTGATGAAGATCTGAGGCAGCCTTTCTCTCAATATGGTGAGATATTATCAGTCAAAATACCCGTGGGAAAAGGATGTGGCTTTGTGCAGTTTGCCAACCGGTAATTTACCAGTTCACTACTAGTTGAAATTGTTCAAATTTTTAATTATTCTCTCGGTTGATCAACTGTGACAATTTCACATCAACAGAAATGATGCTGAGGATGCTTTGCAGCAGTTGAGTGGCACAACAATTGGAAAGCAAACTGTTCGTCTCTCTTGGGGACGCAATCCCGCGAACAAACAGGCAAGTTCATCTTTTCATCTGACCATCGAAACTGCTATTAGAAAAATTACATCATATATAAGTTTATCTTTTCATCTTAGGGTGTGTTTGTTACACTGCAATAAGGACATGAAAATAGAAATAGCTCTATCTTTTTGTTTGGTTGAGTCACATAACTGAAAGTTAAAAAATTAAACAATTTCTCAATTTTCGATTTCTCTTTGTCTTCTACTTATAGAGAAATCTATTCTTCCAAAAAAAAAAAAGGTTCGTCTCCGTGCAATTTCATTCTCTTTATCAAATCATCTTAAATTTAATTGGTTGTGGTTTGCAGTCGAGGTCTGATTATGTGAACCATTGGATGGGAGCATACTACGGGGGACCTTTCTTTGATGGCTATGGATATCCGGTGCCGGCGCCTCATGACCCGAGCATGTATGCTGCTGCTGCTGCGACGCCAGTTTACGGCGCCTACCCCTTCTTCGGTACCCATCAGCAGCAAGTAAGCTGAGGCTGAGGCTGAAGCTGAAGGCATACTCCAACACCAACAGCAGCATCTCTTGGATGTGTAAAACCAAACAGACGGATAGACAGACAGATGGACGGCGGCGATGAGGACGACGGTCTGCTTGTAACTGTGGATCGTCGTTGTCATCATCATCATCAAAAACTGAATTTTTGACATGCATAAATTAAGATAGGTAGACTTTCTCTTTCTTTCTCTCTCTCTCTAGGGTTTCAATATGAGACACATGATTTGATTAGTAGTATAACTCAATGCAATGGTGGGAGTGAGTTAACTCGGGACAACGTATTTGAGCTTCTTGGATGGATTGCAATAAATTAACATGCTCTGCCATTGATATATTTATTTTTTTTGATCGGAAGCCATTGATATATCTATTGATTGATTGATACAATTATATATATTTGCCGGATGTTCGTGTATGTTGTTTTGATAATCAATCAAAAAAAAGAAAAATGATAATAAAATTCAAATTGGCTTCTGTTCACGATTTTAGTGTCGGGGGCCAATAAGTCAATGAAAAATACAAAATATTTGTATACATGTATACAATAAATAGTACTCCTAAAAATTATTTAAAATGTTAGGTTCTGATTAAATTTAAATTAATAATTTTTTGAAAATAAATAAATTTTAAAAAATATTTTACATTTATATATAATTATATTAATATATTACAATTGAGTTGAATTTGAATTGAAGATTTTAATTCTAATCTAATTCGTTTATTGTCGTTGTCGGATTTATATCGGAATCAGATTCTCTTCAGAAGTCTAGAACTTTCATTAGGAAGGTTGTTGGAAGAGCAAGAAGGATGTGAATGCAGGTTTAATTCACAGGAATGATAAAGTGCACACATTTTACAACCAGGAAATCCAGATGAGATTTGGGAATAGTCGAAATATAGACAGATATAAATAAAATAATAAATGATAATGGAGACAAGTAATACTAAAACCTCACTGTCACTACATAAAGCTTTTTATTATATGTTATGTGCACTTAACACTATTGTGCAACAATCAACATACGATAATCATAAATTGAGATGGATTCATCGAGGTATGTATAAAATAGAAAAGTATTAGGTTATTTAAAATTGAATAGTAATTAAATAAATTGAATAGACTACTCTTATTATTTTTTGAGAACTCTACTAAAATAAGATTAGAATTAAATATGTTTGTTTCGTAGAATACTTTGAGAATTGGTAAACTCCGCCGAATTTGCAACCGGAGTGTCATCACAAATTTTGAAATAATTTATCAGATTTAAAACCTCAAGTTTTTACTTAAAACCTCAAGTTTTTACTATTTAAATTATATCAGTTTTCGAACAAAATACATATTGTTTTTTCAAAACATATTTCATTGTACATTATTCTAATTTCAAATTCAAATCCAAAATTTTCCAAACTTATAAAAAAAACATATTCTAAAATTTGAAAGCTATGGGTTTCCTTCTTTTAAATTACGTTATTACCCTTAATCTTATCACAAGTTTCCTTCTTTACCCCGCCTTGCCTTGCCTTGACCCGACCCGACCCGCCTGTCAAAACCCTAAAAAATCCTCCGAGTCCAATTCGTCTCCACCGCTCGGGCTTCTCTCCGTCGTCTGCTCCTCGCGGTAAGTTCCCCATTCCCACCCCTCTTATAAATTTGATCTTCTTCGCGCTCTTTCACCACACAGGTTACTGTTGATTTATTTGTTGTTATTCAAGGTTTGGATTCACGATTTTTTCAATTTTTGGTTCATTTGGTTTCTTGTAAGTTTGTAGGATGTTGTGGCCATTTTTGTGAATTGTGAGGGACTTTCTATGTTTTTAGATTCAATATCCACGCCGATTTTATTTTCCCCCAATTTACCAAGGAGGTGCAATGGCGTCGGGATGGGGAATTACAGGGAATAAGGGGAGGTGCTACGATTTCTGGATGGATTTTAGCGACTGTATGTCTCGATGTCGGGAGCCTAAGGACTGCGCCCTTCTCCGTGAAGATTACTTTGAGTGCCTTCACCACTCCAAAGAGGTATATCCATCTCTCTTTTTCCAATTTTAGAATTTTTGCACGATGTTGAATCTGGATGTGTAATGCTCATATGATGTTTGACTTTTTAATATCAATACCCTTTATACCACTCTAGGGATTGTTCTTCAATCTGTTCTGAGAAATTCTTGTGTTGGAATTGGAACCGGAGATCTTATATGTAAACCATAGGCAAATGTGTTTCCAAATCCTATAGAATCCAGGAAACACCCTAAGTTCCTTACTTAGAAATTCCAACCAGAGCAATTGGGCAAACTCTATTAGAGAGTGTTTGATAATTAGCTTATTCAACAAATCTTTTTAGCTGTTTGCTAATTTAGGGGGTTTTGGCAATGAACCGATTTGATTAGCTGAAAGTGTTAGGTAAAATAGCAGTTTGATTTCAATTGTTTATACTTAAAATGACAATTAATGATATTTTATATTTTATTTTAAAAACATTTAGATGAATTTTTTAGATGTGTAGGATCTTTTTAGAATTTTATTACTATTAGTTATTGAAAAGTACAAAAGTTTTATTAAAATGTTTGCTTTTGTTAGAGTGTGTTCTTTTTGCCAAAAATGACACATATTTTGGCCCAAAAAATTAATATATTAAATACGTTGATTATTTTTATATTATTCACTCAATTCCCTATACTTCACGTAAATAAACATTTCTTTTAAACCATTTTACAAAACAAACACACATTTTTTGAATGTTGTGTAAGAAAATTAATGTATTTTTATTGAAAAATATGAGTATTCTTTTTCATTAGAAATAGTATAAATGTAAAAGAACAAGTAATTAGTATATTTGTTTTTATTAGATTAATTTTTTATTATATTTTTTCATTAAACTTATAATTTTAAATAAATTAGATTAAAGAAATATATTCATAATTTGAAGTTGAAACCATTTTCTTTGGTTCATAATGAAGTGTGGTTTAGATATTTCAAGAGTCACATTTTTTGTGAACCAATCTCAATTATACTTGTATTATTTTTCATGTTCTTCACATATCAATAGATCGGATTTATTACCACATGGTTTATTCATTTTTCAGTAACACCTATTGGCAGGTAGTGTTAAATATAATAAACGCATACCGTTCTGTATGCAGCTGAAGGCCAAACAAAATGAACTTTCATTGTTCTTACAATTTGGTTTGTAACACACCCAGCATGATTCCTCTTGCTTTCATGGTAGTTTCCGTGCATATCATAAGACTTAGGGTTGGTTGGTGTCTCTCACGACTGGTCGTAGAGCTTTGGCATTTGACGTAGAGTATGCATTTTATATACATTGTGTGGATTGGTACAAGTTCGTCTCTTACTGTTTTGATCGTCATCCCAGTTAATATATTTGATGTTTGAACTCAATATAAGTCCCCTCCCATTTTCCATCGCACACTTCTTTGCTGCTGATTGTGTTTCTTAGCTAAGCATCCTTTCTATGTTTTGACAAGTGACAACCTCGTCTGATTGTAAATACGGTTCTTTGCAGTTCCAACGAAGGAACCGGATCTACAAGGAGGAGCAGCGCCAAGCAAGAGCAGCTGCTGAGAAGCCCAATTCTGGCGAGAAAGGCAGTGATCATCACTGAGACTCGTATATTAAGTTATGATCTGATGAAAGGGGTGTCCGTATGAATTGATTTTCTTCTAATTGATCAAAAATAAATGAGAGACGATGTATTTGTGCATTGTTGGAATTTTAATACATCCACATAAGCTGTAGCTACGTTACAGGGCTCCGGTGTGAAATTTTTCGATACATTTGAATCACATGCCCTTTCCATTGCTACGGGTATATATATATATATATATACACATATAAGGGAAATCTTTGTTGTATTTGGATGTCCACTGTGTTGTTCTTACAGTCGGTTTTATCATTCATTTTGCTAATATGTCAGATTCCTTCAAAAACTGAATTTTGACAAGTTATATTAGGTGTACTACGTTAAAAAAATTTGATTAATGGACTTACATATATTAGTTGATTTAAAATAATAGTTTGTACATTTTGTCTATGGTGCTGGAAATTTGGAAAATAAATTGTGTAATTGAGATTAGTACAGATTTGTGTTGGAATTTATCAGAATTTAAGTCTAAGTCCAGTATCTATTGCGTTGTAGATCCTGTTGTAATAATTAAGATAAAAATAAAGTAAAATAAATCTAATTTTATTTTTCACAATAGTCGGATTCAAATCTACAAATAATGGAGGGTTTTATCAATAATCTTATTTATATCTGTTATTACTCATCATTCCATTAATAAGTTACCGAATTTTCTGCGGATAGGAGGTATACTGATTGTGAAGGTAACAATAATAATAATAATAATAATTTACGTTCATTGCTAATAAAGCAAGGGAACAAGGCATGCTACCAGTCTGAATTAATTATTTTTTATAATCATAATATTCTCCCAATTTTAATTATTTTGTTTCAAAGACAGAATAAATACAAAGCAATTCATATGATTCTCCACCTTACAATTAATTACTGTATAAAAAAGATTGACTTTATATATTAGTGAGTACAAACTTCAAAGCAGATAGTAATAACTATTATTGAAAAAAGAGTGAAGCTTGTTTGTTTGCCTAACTTTTATAAAAATATTTCGAATTTTACAATCAGTATAAAAATGCATTCATAGCATATTATATATACACATATTAGCAACCAATTTGTATCAAACTTCAAAATATCCATACATTAATATAAATTTAATCTAATAATCATAAAATAGGGTATACGATTTACCAGTCTTAATAAGTTACAAATAAAATATACTTATAATAGAATAGTGATGATTGTAAATCACATAAATACGCATGCTTAATTTAATTATTTAAATCTAACCTTTTACTCTAAGTTAAATTCTACGTTACATTTTGAGATGGGCCACCAATTTTTATTTCTTTATCTGTTTTTTCTTACATAAAAAAAAAATATATATATTTTTAATTAAATGTGACAAAACTTTTAAATAAAAAGCTGCTCCTGAAAATCTCCTCTTAATTTCAATGGAAGTTACTAGTCAATACTATTTCAGTGCCCCGACCAGTCCTCACAATCTCTATCACTTTTACGAAGGCTTCGCCGGCGACGCTGCTTCCGCCGCCGGCGGCCGGCCGGCGGAAGAAAAGGCTACCGATGATGATAATGGCGACGACGATTTTGCATTCGATGTGAGGAAGGAATCGGAAAAGCTTTCCCTGTCTGCCGACGAACTCTTCGACGGCGGCGTGATTAAGCCCCTCCGGCCATCTCCGCCGCCAAAACTCCCGCCGGCGGACGGTAACGACGTCGTTATCGGAGAGACCGCCGGAAACCGGTCAAAGGGGCAGCTGCAGAAGAAATGGAGGCTGAAAGACTTCTTCCTTTTCCGGAGCGCGTCAGAAGGACGCGCCGCCGCGGGCAAAGATCGGCTGAAACAGCACTCGTCGACTCTCGGCCGGCGGTCGAGCTTCAGCCGAGTCGAGTCGGCCGGCCGCCCCATCTCGGCCCATGAGCTTTATTACACAGTGAACCGGTCGATGTCGGAGAATTTAAGGAAGAAGACATTCCTGCCGTACAAACAGGGTATCGTCGGCCGCCTTGCATTTAATCCGGCCGTCCATTCACTCGCCAACGGCTTCGGTTTTCCGCGTCGATATAATTAATTAATTAATTATTTATTAAGTTTTGAAATAAATAATTTAATTGGGCCAAATTTTGTACGGATGAGTTAGGCCTTTCACTATGGGCCCAATTAAGCCTACCAAATTGGCCCATTTTATATCACTACATTTTTGCCTTTGGAACAAATTTCAGAGTAGGGCCCTCCACATCCTTCTCTTTATTTATACAAGAAAGCATGAATAATATCGAGCATTATTTTAAATAAATGTGTTCATTTAATCTTTTATTTCTATACAAAATTTCAAAAGGATTATTAAAAAGATAATGTTACATTCGTCTCGAGACACTTCAAATTGATCATGAACGAAGTCTGAATTAATGAAAAAAAATCTAAGGATGTGTTTTTTTTTTTGTGAGAATGTTGAAAAAAATAATTATATAAAATATAGAAAATTGTATAAAAAATATAAAAATAGTGAATTTACGTCGTGTATTAATATTTTTAAAAAAATATAAAAAAAATAAAATTAGGAAGAACAAAGCCTAAGCTCTACTCAAAAGTAAAAATATAATCTGGCCTACACGTGTCTGTCAGCATACCACGCAGATGCCACATAGGAATTGAGGACTAAATTGAAATTTTTTTTTCACTAACGAGACTATTTTAAAATAGTCTTCGGTCACATAATTAAAATGATAAAGAGTTTTATTACAGGACAAAAAAATAATTTACTCAAAAATAAATGAATACTTTACCGGGAGATGAAGGAAATATCATGGTCTATCTTTTGTTATATTTTGTGCCATGAGTCATACACACATCAATAATCGTTTTTTTTTTTAAAAAATAAAAATAAAAATAAATAAAACATACAAACATCAAGTCCTATATGCTCATGTCTCAGAACAAATACAACTAAAATTATAAAAAATTTATCGGTGTGTTTCTTCGGGGGGTTTGGGGAAATTTGAGTTTGTGTTTGATTTTCATTTGAATTTGAAATGAGTTTGAATTTATGTGTTTATGTTTGGGTTAAGTTTGAAAAGTTTTGATACGTATTGATATGATGGTTACGAATATAATAATATAAATGTGTATTAATTTGTATAATTTAATTATAAATTTATATTATATCTACATATATTTTAAAATTTTTATTTATCTTTATTATAAAAAATTTTATACTCTAAAAAATAATATATATTTTATTAAATTATATATATTATACAAATTTTAATTTACATTTATAATTTAATTTATTTATTTATTTTTTTTTTAAAAAAAAGGACAGAAGCATGTCAGCGTCTGTCTCAAAAATCGGACAGCCCAAGTTTGGACTGGTTCATTGTGCAAAGTCTTCGAAGAAATGAATTATGGTTTAAGGATGAATTCTAACTGTGAAGTCGTGAATTTAAATTTTGAAGTCTTGTCTCAGTGTGACTTGTTTTATCGAATATTTTTACAGTTCAATAGCTAATGATATTTAGTATATATATTTTTATCATTATATTTTAATTTAATATAATAATATTAATATAAATAAGTGTAACTTTATCGTATTTATAATATATGTTGCTGTCAAATTTATTTAAAAAAATATATATCTTATATTTTCAAGGATGAGAATGAAAAAAATAACTATATATTTTGTAGTTGTATCAAGATAATAAACAATTTATGTGTTGCAGAATTCTGTTGAACAATACAAATATTTGCTAGATTTTGTCGATAATTATTGCATCCATACGATGAAACCAGGAAACTTCTTTCGTTGATAATGATGACATATATATATAATAAAAATATACATATATTCTTAGGTGCTTAAACAACATTATCTAATTTATTTATTCATCTATCTATTTATTTATTCTGGGATAAATAAATAAATACATAAATATATTTAACACCTAGTTATTATTCCTTCCATCCTATATTATTTGTTTCTATTTTTCATTTTCGTTCGTTTCACATAATTTGTTCTTTTTCTTTTTAAAAAATTAATTATATATTTTAATCATATTTTAAAATTTAAAATTTAATTTTTTTAATTTTAATTAAATTATTTAATTATATTAATTTTAATATATAATTATTTTTACCAATATATTTCTTATTTACTTCATATTAGATGGCACGGGACAGAGGCAGTATATAGTACTAGAGGGGGCCGGGCGGGGGCCGGTGCGGTGACAGAAAGGCCAAAGTCGGTGGGATTTCAGAAACCACAAATAGAATCACGTGCGGTTCTAACAGGCTGGAGTGGGCCCAGCGCACGTGCACGCCGTTGAAATAAATTGATAAAAAAAAATGTTCCACGTTTTTTTATGGCTGATCTCAGCCGTTAAATTTATCTAACCCGATCGATCGCCATGCAAAAAGCAGTCAAAGTGCATCGGCGTGGGATTCCATTCCTATTATTAAAGTCGCGTTTTTAATTTTTAAAAGCAAAACACGAGTATATATATATATATAATTAATTATAATGCTGCAAATTGTTTTTGATGACGTGGAATTATAACTGCTAAATTATTTTTACACATAGAGGTTTTTGATCATCGTCTCAACTGATTTTGGCATGGTTATAAAACTGGATGCAGTGGAAAATTCAACTTAGATATTTCTGTACATGGAAAAGCCTAAAATGTTGGTATTACAACATTTGCATGCATGTAATTAAATTTTTTATTAAATAAAAAATGTACGTAGTGAGAAAGAAAGTGACAGGGACAAACTAGCTAGGGACTTGCAACTAACTGCCACATTCAAAGAATGCCTAACACAAATAGATCAATTGAATCTTAATTATTCTTATTAATTATGTATTGATTAATTAATTAAATAATTCTGAAGATATATAGATAGAGTTAGTGAGTCATAGTCCTATGGTTGTACGGACGGGGAGGGACAAGCTGACAAGAATATAGTCCCAAATATTGGAGATATTTGTATTTGTAGCCCCTTATCTTCCCTATATTCAATGTACCGAAAATCGCTAAATCACTAAAACACGTTTACCCAAATAAAGGTGTCCTTGATAAACGACGTCGCTTTCAGAAACCCGTTTTTACAAAAGGCACAGGTGCGTATTTGGATATTGACTTCTATTTTTTGCAACCAAACGCGCCCTTACACCTACTCTTTTATTGCTAATGGCAGTTTCCCAGAACTAACCATTCAGCTTCAATGCATGAACCCTGCCCTGTTAGTTAATCATAATTCATTACATTTACACCCTCTCTCTCTCTCTCTCTCTCTCTCTCTAGTGGATACATTCTGTCTGATTCTCTCTCTCTCTCTCTCTCTCTCTCTCTCTATATATATATATATATATATATGATTGAGAGATATTGTGGGAGTTCAGTCATCAGTGGTTAATTTAACTGCCGAATTAAAGTGATGGAAATGTTCAATAGATGTTCGTCGGGGGGGTCGTCGACGTCGGATTCGTCGGAATCGTCGGCGGCGGCGAGGAACGGCGGCGAGGAGTCGGACAGGGTGAAAGGTCCCTGGAGCGCGGAGGAAGACAGGATCCTGACGCGGCTGGTGGACCATCACGGCGCTCGGAATTGGTCGTTGATTTCGAAGTACATAAAGGGGAGGTCCGGGAAGTCCTGCCGCCTGCGGTGGTGCAATCAGCTCTGCCCCAGCGTGGAGCACCGCCCCTTCTCGGCGGCGGAGGACGAGACCATAGTGGCGGCGCACGAGCGGTACGGCAACCGGTGGGCCACCATCGCGCGGCTGCTGCCCGGCCGGACCGACAATGCGGTCAAGAACCACTGGAACTCCACGTTGAAGAGGAAGCGCCGGGTGCAGCAGGTCCGGGACCGGGGAGCCCCTGCGGAGTCCAGGACTCCCCGGGGAAGCAACGCGGCCTCCGCCTCCGATTCCCGCCCGCTTGAAGACGACGACGATCCCATGACGGCATTGTCTCTGGCGCCGCCGGGGATGGGAGGCGGCGGAGCCGCCTCTCCGGCGACGGAAAATATTGCCGGAAACTTGCCTGGTCCGGGCTTCTGGGATGTGATGAGGACCGCCATAGCCTCGTTTCCAGAAACTTCTTCAGGCTTTCGTTGATAACAAATTAACCATAATATATATATATATATATATATAATTACAGTTTCTGCAGTGGTAGATATTATTACAACTTAGCTAATACAACATTACATTACATTTAAATTAATTATTCCATCCAGTATTTTATTGTCTGCAAATTCAATAATTCATGCTCATGATGCAATATATATTTCGACCTGTTGTTCTAATTAGTTCTGATTCATATCTTCTTTTCACAATCTTGTAATTCAAAATATTCTTCTTTCATTTCCCTAATAATTTCCAAACCAGCCCTAAAAATCAATTATTTAAATATATATATATATATATATATCTAACGAACTCCTGCTTACCCTACTATTTGATCACTTTCTAAAAATATAACCAATTAATCGAAACATCATTTTCAAAATATATTTTCACTAAGAATATATATATATATATATCTATCCAAAACACATTTGGATAAATATTAAGTGCCTTTTAACAGAAATAAAATAAAATCTGGCTGATGGGCAGCCCTTTTGGCTGTTTCTTATTTTAAGAACCAATAGTAATAATGATCATATATACATAAATTAGAGATTGAATTAGGAGAGTGAGAGCACTATATTCTATAAAATCTGTGATGAATAATGTAATTAATTAGAAAATGTCAAATGATTTTTGTAACTATTGTAATTTAGGGAAGAATAATATATAGTAATGAATTAATGGGTGGGCAGTTGCCATATGTTGATTGATTATTGAAATTAATTTAACTAATTAATTGCGATCCATATATAAATAAATTACAGAAAATGTGAGTGGAGGGAGGGAGGAGTGAGTCAATTTTTATTACCAAGAATGAAGGAAGCAAAGCAATAATGCACATAAGCAAACTGTAGAAGAAAGCCCATGAATTTAGTCATTCTGTCAGCAAGAAAACGACGCCGTTTTGTGACACATACATATACATATATATATATATACATACATACATAAATACATATATATGTCGAGTACTCAAAAGTGAATATTCCCACTTAACCTTTCCTTTGTCGGCACACCCTTTCTTCTCTTCTCTTATAATTTACATCCACGTTTTATGTACTAAACATGCCTCTTTTATACCTAATTCTCTCAAATTAGAAACCCCTTTTATCCCATCCCAAACTTTAATAATAATAATAATAATATATTTTTTTTATAACGTGAAAATTCGTAGTCGTTATTCTGCAATGTAGGCCCGACAAGCGAATCATGTGTGGCAGGTGACCTGAGGCGTCAGGGGCTTGGACATGTGACCGTAACACCACCAGACCATTCCCTACGGGACAATAATAATAATATATTTGAATCTAACAAAAAGGAGGTTCAATTATGAATTGGAAATTTGGATAGTAAATTTATACTACTTACTTACACATTCATTGTTTGTAATACTATAAACCCCTCTCGCACTACAAAATGATTGTAACCTATACCGGATAAAGTATATCATTGTTAGTTTCATATGTTATATTTGTATTGTATTAATATAAATTATGTATTATCTATATGGATATAAATCAGCTGTTGATCCAGTTAAGTTAGTATAGTGATTATTTGATCAAATCAATATATATTATAGAGGTAACCAATGTATATTTATATATCTTATAACACAAACATATGCTCATATACGTATAAAGATATTCTGGTCAACCATATGACATATGCTGACTTGATCGGATCAGTATAGAATCTATCTGCCTTCTATATATATATAATAATGTTATATATTGTCTGCTTGCAGATGATGTATTATTAGTACTGTACTAAATTTTAAAATTAAATATACTAACCACCCCCCTCACACTAATATATATGTCATTTTCTACTTTGATTTTCTTCTCCTATCGGGGATAGCAACGGCGGTGACGATGGCGGCGGCAGAAACATAAGAATGTGAAATATTCACAGAAGAATTGTTAGAAAAGGATGAAAATCAAAAATTTTAAGCTAATTATTGTATATATGTATAGATAAAATTTTTAACATTTCTTTGTTGATGAATACTATTTTATAATCTTGAATAATTCTGCCAAACTTTAGTGAATGTTGACATCTACATTACCCTTTTACTAGACAAAATTATTTATTAGAAACATTTTATACGATTTTTGAATTACAAAAAAATAAAATACCAACTTTTCAAATTACAACCAAAATTATAAATAGTTTTGCCTTTTTACCATTATGACCTTTCATTTAACATCCATCACTATCAAATCATTAATCTATTAATCAAAGTAATGTGTGTGATTGTTTTTCTATAAGCTTCTAGAAAGAAAATTCCACTTTATTGGTCCAATTAAATAGTCTTATATTAATTTTCTTAAATTCTTTCTAAATTTGAGGTATTTTTAGCACATGCTTTCATGCAAAATTGGGGGAGTTTAATACTAATTCGGTCTGGTCTGGATTTTATTTACCTTTTATAATATTTAAATATTAATTATTATATATCAGAACATAATATAATTTTTTTTTAAAAAAATACAAAAATATTTCTATCAGCGTCTTATAATAGAAAGACTTTTATAAAAAGTTATACAAATATAATGATATATATATATTTTTTTTATGTTAAATACAATTACGTCAAAAAATAAATGTAATTTTTAGATGAGGAAAGAGTATAATTTTTCTGAAAATGGGCTTTGTATATTTGATGAATAATTGGGCTTGAGCTTTTTCCAGGCCCAGGCCCAAAATATACATTATCTGTTCGAATTTAATTCCGGTCCCTATATTACGTACAGATTGCGAGGCGACCCCTCCTTCCTTCCCAATCGTGATCTCTCCACGGCGACGGCCATCGGTGCTTCCCAACCGATTTCTTCATCTCCCTGCCGGGGAGTTACCTCTGTCTTGCTGCATCCTACGCCGAAGGCGACTTTATTCCACGGATTTGGAGCTAACTCACACGCTTCAATCACAGTTTTGCACTTTCGAGCTTCGGCGGGACGGGTAATCCAGCGGATCACTTTGCATTTCATCACTTCGTCTTTGCGATCTATGTGTGTTTTAATTTATATATAGTATCTTAGCGAGGAAGACTTAATTAATTTAGCCTTTATTGTGAGGATCCTGCTGTCGATTCAGGGTTTTAGGGTTGGGGATTCTGAGATCGGGTTTCAATTGTGACGATTTTAGTTGTTCCGAGGGTTATTGATGTAATCAGTGCGTCAATTGAGCTAAAAAGGAAACGAATCAGGTTCCTTGAGGTCACTGTAGGGAGAAATATTAATGTTTTAGTTGGTCGAAGATTGAGGAGTAAGAAGCAGCAGCCCTGTAGAAGACAGTGCCGTACTCTGATAGCAGGGATTGTAATGTAGAATAACCAGTAAATAATTCGTGGTTTTACGATCCTTAATCGTCTTCATCCTTGGGCTAAGCCATATCCATAGCTGACCTTGGACACTTTTATATTTTCCCTTTTTGAGAAAAAAAAAAAAAAAAAAATCTTCCTTAGAAAAATAATGGTGGTGCTACATGATCTTCAGATGCAAATTTTAAGCATTTATTGATTCAGAGCTGAAAGTTTTTGCTTTACCTTGATTGGATTCAGTAAACTTACCACATTGCAATTTAAGGAAACTTCCCATAAATCTCTTAGCTCTATTCTTCAAAGGTGTATTGCCATCTGTATCTGCTTCATGTATTCATTGCAATTTGTAGCTTGAGCATATCTATCTGAGCTGTATATATATATATATATATATATTTATGTATGTCTTGTTTTGATTTTAATGCGGCACCATGTCTTTAGATGGCATCGCTTCAAGAAAGTCTTGAAAAGTTCCAAAAGCAGCAAGAGAAATGCCAGTCGACTCTCACCAGCCTTGCAGCTAAAGCAGGATCATCAAAGTCTGCATCTTTAAAGCATGTCTCGGCTGATGCAAAGTCTCCAGCACCTCCGGTTAAGTTCTCAAATGACACAGAAAGACTTCAGCATATAAACAGCATAAGGAAAGGTCCTGTCGGAGCTCAAATTAAACGTGTTATTCAATTGCTCTTTGAGGTACAATTTCTGTCTTTTCCCCGTCTAATGCATCATTAAATGTTTCAATCACTTGTAACTCGACATTGATAGTATTATGGTAACCGATTTACATGAAATCTGTGGCCTGTGCAACTGGAGGAGGAATTAGCTTGTGCAGTTTGATTCCTAATATTGAAAGCTGTATTTCCTTTTTAATTCGAAAGTTATGCAGTTCGATTCCTAATATTTTGATATTTCTATCCTCCAGTCAAGACACGCATGGACGCCGAATGAAATAAATGAAGCGTGTTATGTGGACATCAATGCGAACAAAGCTGTCTTCGACAGTTTAAAGAACAATCCTAAAGTGAGCTACGATGGAATGCACTTCTCGTACAAGGTAATAATCTCTTGTCTTGCATTAACCATTCGGACAAATAGGCTTCGAATTTACAATCTCTCCCATCAAATAACAATGCCTGTTTTATTCATGTAGTCGAAACATGACGTGAAGGATAAGAGCCAGCTTCTTGTCCTAATTCGAAAATTTCCTGAAGGCATCGCCATTATTGATCTCAAGGACGCATACCCAACAGTGATGGACGACTTACAGGTAACCAACCTTGTGAATCAAAACAATTAGTGATGTCTAAGAATTGAAGGCAACCGTAATCGATTCCATAGAGCATAATTTGATAAAATAAAAATCTTTTTTGTTTTTTTTGTAGTCGTTGAAAGCTTCGGGCAAAATCTGGCTATTATCGAACATAGATTCACAAGAAGATATTGCTTACCCAAATGATCCAAGAGCAGTTATCAAGGTTGATGATGAATTGAAGCAGTTATTCCGAGGGATCGAGCTCCCCCGCGACATGCTTGACATAGAAAAGGATCTTCAGAAGAATGGGATGAAACCGGCTACCAACACTGCCAAGAGGAGGGCCATGGCCAATGTTCATGGCATCGCACCCAAGCCCAAGACGAAGAAGAAGAAGAACGAAATCAGCAAGAGGACCAAGCTTACCAATGCTCACCTTCCAGAACTCTTTCGGAATCTCAATGTCCCCGGCTTGTGAGTTCTTCAAGACCCGGTGATGATGCCTTAATTCATATGTAAGTTATGTAATCTTACTGTTACACTCTATTTAACAAAAGATCGATGTAACCACGATCCTGTTGGAGAAGATTGATCATCGATCAATGTGTTGTAGAACACCTACTTAATTGTGGTTTTGTTGTCCCAAATATAATGTAAAGATCGGTATCATATTTATATGAACAAATTGTTACACAAAGTAAGAAAAGAATAGTTCAATATTCGAAAGAAGCAGACTTTTCCTACCATTTCACGTCGAGTGTAAGCGCCTCGGAAGGGACAAGAACAGATGGAAACTTTGTGAAGGAAATATTCGACAATAAGCTACTCCAAGCTAATGAATCCGCGACGATAAAGGGTCTAACCTTTTTGACGACTAGAGGCTTTAAAACCTCGCCTTCGATTCTTGCAAGTACTTCATACCACGAATGTTCGACAGTAGGTTTTGTTCTCCAGTCGGCTAAGGTGCCCCACCGTTTGTCGTTGCTTCTAACATCTCTTTCTATTTGCAACTGAAAGTGGAATACATACGATGCTCTCATCCTAGTCCTTGTCGATCCTAGAACAGTACTAGGTTTGCCAGTCTCGTTCAAGAAATTCCTCAGAACTCTTTCCACCATGGTTACTCTTGAATGCAAGGAGCTATAGGGATATTTAGGTTTCTTGTGGTTTGGCCAGAGATAGCACTTGTCGGGCAACAATTTTATCGAATTGTTGGATAAGAATGCAGTCTGAATAACTGTAGCAGGTCTTTGAGTTCGGTAAGCAACCACGGATGCAGACCCGAGAATACGGATAGGCAGTGGGGCTTTACATAAACCGGGGAAAATGGATCCAATCTTGTGCCATTTCTGAGAAGTCACAATACCGTAATGGTAATCCGAAGGATGGAATATGAGAATTTCTTCGGCGCCTTTCACTTCAATAGTTATGCCTTCACCAACTGATATTCTCCTCAGGCCCGAGTATGTAGTAGTATTTAACTGCCACATACAGCAAATAAATCCACTCTCAGCTCATGTACTGTGATTAAAATGTGAATATAAGCGCACGAGATTGAGAAAATATAGCAGCGAAGATGATGCCAACCCGGACATGATCAATGAACAAATCCTAGTAGCATAGGAAAATATGATAATGGTGCAACTTTAGGCATCTAGATGCCGGGAAGGATAAAAGGAGCGTTCTTTCTTACACTAAAAACTCTCCAATATGTAAGTAACTCGGCGGATTTGCCACAGGGTTTCATATGTCTGTTCACTTTGACAACACCGAAGTTTCAAGATTTACAACTTGATACCTAACAAAAAATCCTCAATTACCCTCTAGTACAGCGTCAACAACATCTATAGACATGTAGAACAGAAGTCTAAATGCTGAATTACCATGACTACTAGAAAAAAGATTCTGAGAGCCAATCAACTATTTTACTAGGAAATTCATCAAGGTTGAAGAACCTAACTTGTGCTAGCGCAACCGTAAAATCTAATCCGTTAATAGAAAAATACTCACTTTAGTAAATATAGTAGTGACCAACATGTATTAACTTTTGGAATGCTAAAACTGAAATTATTTCTAATGTGAATCATGTACTAGGATGTTGGCGGCCGAGTATACATTAAAAGGTTTTCTCATCTCATATGAAACATCATCTTATTATCTACAATGTACGTACACAGCCAGACAAGGAGCTATTTCAACCATAGGAAAATATATATCCCCCCTATACAAATTAAGCTCAATAAATACGTATGGACATCGGACATTGATTGTGCGATAAGCCTAACTGTTTTCAAACCCATAGATTGAGCATTTTCTTCTAATGCATCCCTAGTTAAAATCCACTGAATGAGGAGTGTGTTTAGTACATGGAAATGGAGATAGAAAAATAAAAATATCTACATTCCGCTTATTTGTTTGAGTCGGAGAAATTAAAATTGAGAAATAAATAGTTTCTTCTATGTTTTCATTTCTTCTAGATTTCCTTTAAAAATATATTACTCAAATCTCATAAAAAATCATATCTAAAATATTATCAAAAAATCAAAATAAAGAAAAAATCACTAACTAAATATGAGAATATTTCTTCACAGCTTCACTGATCTCTCTCTTAACTTTATTATCTCTTAATCGATTCAGTCAATCATTTTCAACCGGCGGTATATACTCCCTCTAGATCAATTCATTCAAGTAGTTGTATTTCTTTTACATTTATGTTCAGAATTCTTTGTTTTACCGAAAAGAATTAATTCTCATTACCTGTGTAATTCCTTTTCTCTCCGATCATGGTCTGCATTTTCATTCCATTTTCTTTACCAAACACACCTAAATTCTTTAACTTGTTTCTAAATGATACTAAGCAGAAAACTATAGATCTAAAATTTGTCAAACAAATTTAACAACAGATCATAAAAGTTTGATGGGAAGATAAACATACCGGCAAAATAAGTGAGAGACGATCATCATCTCCAGCAGCCTGCAATTCGAAAGGGCCTTCGATTTTAAAGCTATCAATTGCAGTCTTGGCACCAATCTTCATTGCCAATTCTTCGAAGGTCGATGAGCCATTTTGGCTTGAGGCCACCAATTTCTTCCATTCTGACACCTCCTTGTACATCTTAAGAACTACTTCTGCTTTTCTAACTCTAACCCGAAATTCATATCTTTCAACCTGCCTGTATTTAGCTTTTTGCGTATCCACTCCAGAAACCCTAATGTCTTCCAACGTGCACTTCTCTTTATTAGCAATCGCATCCAGTACGCCCTAATGTAAATGCCGAAAGTTCAATAATCACTCTAAGTCTTAAAATTCAAACAATTTAGCATTCGCCTAACTCAATTAATCAAGTAATAAGAAGAAGATAAGCAAACAAATTCTCGATCGGGGAAACATGGAGCCTAACCTAACCAACAATTTGAAGCAATTAACTTCTTTATAAATCCAAACTTGATCTAAAATTACCTGCAGAAAATTCGGCGGTTCAGGTGGAGCGTTGGATTCAGTGAAGGCGGTGACTTTGGGATGGAGATAATGGGAAATGTTGAAAGGGCGACGCGATGGAATGATTGAGGAGTGGATTAACGAAAGGAATTGAAGAAATAGTAGCGACAGTAGCGCCAAATTTCGGCGAAGCATCGCAGTAGTATCACGGCGCATCAGAATTAATGGCGGCGGATCGAACATTTATTGAATTGTCAACTGATATAGTTACTACAGAGGACGCGCGCTCCCTCGCCGGCGAACGGCGGTCGGCTCGGCGATGGTACGACACCCCATTTTGGGCCGTTTTGTTAAATCGGCGAGATGGGCTCAAAGCTTTTATTTCAAGACTGGACTCCATTTCGTAACTGTTTTATTTGACATTCTTTATTTAATTTTTTTAATTTTACTGTCATTTACAATATATTTAATAAATATAAATAAATATTGTACAATTAAATAGCTCAAGTCGGACGAAAATGCCTACCGTGTCGTTTTCTATGAACACAAGAATGTAGAAGAAATATAATTAATAAATAATTAAAAATATATTAATAAAAATATAATAATTTTAAATTAAGATAATTAAATAGTCTAAGTAAAATAAAAAAATTATAAATTAAAATGATTAGAGGGAGTATATATTAATTTCATTATTTTATTTTTTTATTTTGATATCTTTTTTTTAATTAAATTTTATTTATATTTAAATATTTTTGTTTTTTTTTATAAATTAATTTAAATTAATCATAAATATATATATATATTGATTTATTCGTACTATATAAAATTATAATCTTAATAATTGATATTTAAATGGGATATATATTTAAATTTATATATTTTAATATTTTTTAATTATATATACCATTTGTTTTAATACTTATCCATAAGTAATGAGAATTCAGAATCAATCTCACAAAAAGAAAAGATGGATTCTTTGGAATCTGCTTGAATATTTGAGTTAGCATTTATAAAAGAAATGGTATTATTAAGATAAATATATCTAAATAATTAAAATAACATTTTGCATCAATAAAAATAAAATGAAAGAAAAGCCATAGTCAAATTCAATGCCAACCACCATTTTGTAACAATGTAAGAGAGGATAGAGACAGTAGAGCTCGAGATTAGGACAAACGAGGAAGAAATCCTCCTGCTTACTTATGAATGAATAATATGTTTACACACAGGCAGCAAATTCATAGAGAAGCCAACACAGCTACCAACAAATTAATAGCCATTTCATTTCATTTCATTTCATAGCCCTATCACCAAACTACCATCATCAATCTCTACTTCACTCTCATCCCATTTCATACCTCTGACGACGACGATGTTGGCTCTCTTGACAGGAGGATTTTGCGCCTGGCGGGGCAGCAGGCATGCCCGCTTGTGTTCATGAGTTTCCCCGACTGAAAGTTGCAGATAATTAAAAAGGCAGATACACAGAAGATACAGAAGCAGAAGCAGTCGATCTACTAAAGTTCGCCGCCGTTGGAAGCAGCCTTGGCGAGGGGGGAGGGGATCCCCGGATCCATCTTAGATAAAATTTTGAATATGCTCAAAAGTAAGTTGTTGAATCGTGTCCTGATGAATGAATCGGGTGTGAAATCTCTCAATTCAATCGGGGCCGTCATGAAAGTGCAATGGCGCCCATAGGATTTGACGGGATGTGAAGAGTGTCGGATACTTTCGAAGGAGGCCAGTATCGAAATACGGATCTACCAATGATGTTGTCGATCGGCAATGAACCCCTGCAAAGATCACAACATTAAATGCACCAAATGTTAAGAACAGAGCAATTATGAAATCAAATCAATGAAAAGATGGGAGTGGAATTAGAACTAGTTACCAGTTATGTGAGTCGAAACTGTTGTTACGGTTATCCCCCAAGACGAAAACATGGCCTTCGGGAACATCCTATGGAGCAGAAGAAATATTGATTCAATTTATAACTCTATCGACAAGATTCGACGTACTGTAAAGGAAAAACAAGTATAAAGCAATACCATATGATCCATTTCGTAATCAAGTGGCTCCAAAATGTAATCCTCGTCTTTAGCTATACCGTTGACAATCAATTTCCCATCATGAACCTGCGCACAATATTTCCCGATTAACAGATCAATTTCATGTAATGTTTAACACAAGCAAACTCATTAACTAAATTTCTTACTTCCACAGAATCGCCCCCTACTGCTACAACCCTTTTGATAAACACATCAGATGAACTGAAACCATTTTCCTGCAAAGCAAGTAAGAACAAATTATTAATACAAAACATGAATTTCATTAAACAACCATTATGATGCCATACAAAGGCCAAAAGATACCTGAAGAATTAAAGGTGCTTTAAAAATCACAATGTCTTTCACTTCTGGATTTCGAAAAATATACGAAACCTGCAAAGGAATTTTAAGACTCAAAACCTTCAGCGTGTTACACATCAATTACCAGCATCATTTTAAAGATCTTCAAAATGATGTAAGATTATTGATCTCACTACTCACTTTTGATGAAATAACTTCCATCTATTAACATCTAATATTGCAGATAATAACAAGCCACAAGATCTAAGGGATTTAACAACAACAAAGCACAAATGAAGAGCAGTTGCTCCTTTTCTACAGTAGAGAAAATGTTCAAAAACTGATATATATACATATATATATATACAAATTCTTTTTCTTTTCTGGGAACAAGCATCTTGATCAACGTCAAGACTTTAATCCAAACCCTATTCTGGAAATACGAAAGAAACCACAATACGTCAGATAAACAAACACAAGCACAGCCTTTCCTGTTTCAAAAACGTATAATTATTCGTGAAGGATTCCAGTTCAAGACCTACTTTAAACATCGAATCAACAAATTAAATACTTCTAACAGAACTTAATTAATATAATTATATTTTTCATTCAAGCACAAAGTACCTTCTCAGCTAGAATCCTGTCGCCCACGTCAAGAGTCGGGTACATTGATGTTGAGGGAATCGACCTGGGCTCAGCCAAAGTCGACTTAAACAGAATGCTAACGCTGAAAGCAGTGAATGCTGCCTTAACATCCTGAGAACTTAAGCAATAATTCATCAATTTTAACACCCAGCCACTGCGGTTACTAACACCACTGCTCTGCGCCAAAACCTTCCTGCTGACTGAGCCGACATTCTTGGCCATCGCTAGAGCTTCCGAACATTCACTACCATTATCGTTAGAGCTAACACTCTGGACTGTTGCAACGACTAAATTGTTGCGCTTGGTATTATCAAGTGTTCCTCCTCTATCCACCTCTCTAATCCCCACCTCGTTGCAAGGGGACAGATTAGAACCGGATAAAGAGGACAGAATTGAACCCGCCTTAAACGGCGAAATCCGCAGAAAACCTGTATCCGAAGAAGCCCCCATTGACTGCTTCAAGCAAGAAATCAATTCTGCAGCCAAAGGCGGGATCGATTGTGTACTGCCACAAAGAAACTCTCCGGTCAGAACCGAATGCACAGACGATCGATGATTGACTCGATCGGGAGTGGATCCAGGGCGGCGGAAGTCGGAGTTGCCTGAATCGAGGCCCTGCGTTGCAGAGTGCTGGAAAATCCGTGATCGAGCGGCGCACTCGTGGAAGAGCCTGGAGGCAGCGCATCTTCCAGGAGCGGCCGTCGAAGCGGCGAAGCTTGACGCGATGGAGGCCGTGTAGGAGACGGTAAATCGAATCGCCATTCGGAAAATTTGTAATAGACAGACGAAGAAGTAAATGAAAATTTCGAAGTCTGTGATGAACCGTGAGATGAGCGAGAGCTCTACAAAGAAAATAACAGCGCCATGGAAATCGAAATCAGTACAAAACCCGAACAAAAATGGAGGAATCGGAAGGGTGGTTTACAACAGCCGCGGCGGCGAAGGCTACAGTTAAAGAAAACGGAAAAGAAAAAAGAAAAACTCCGGCGGCTGCGGCGGTTGCGGCGGCGATCGGCGGAACTTCCCCGACGAAAGGGCGAGGAAGATCACAGTACGGCGGAATCAATGGAAAAGGCAAAAGTTCAAAGGAGCAGATAGGATTTGGAGTTTAATAGAAAAGAATTGGACCAGGTCTAATATTTTAATACCATAAATGCCCTCCCACCTAAGGTTAAGTTTCCAAAACTATAGGGGTAGTATAGACCTTTCGTATTGTTTGACTGCAATAGTGGGGTGAGAGAGACTAGAGAGGCTTCTTCCTCACGCCTTCCTCATTATCTTACCAAAATTGCTTTCACATTGTGAAATGACTAAAATATCCCCACGACAATGACGCCAACTCGCCTGCTTATTTTTTACTGTATTATTTTTTTTAATGAAAAATATTTATGAATATTTTGTGTTTGGCATAGATAATAGAATTTTAAAAAAATAAAAATAAAAAATTAGAATTCAATTCAAATATAAATAAATATTTTTGATAATTTTTTTTTAAAAATAGTAAATTAGATATATTTTTAAAAATTAAATTTTAGTGTAATTTTTTAAAAAATAATAAAATAAATATATATTTGAATAAAAAATTAATTGTAATATTTTATAAAATTGAAATAATATTATTTAAAAATATAAAAAATTATGTAATACAAAAAAAATTAAAATTAAAATAGACATATTAATCAATATTCAATTCTTGTATGAAGAGCAATAAAATCATTTTCATTTCAAAGATCAAATTTATTTGTACCAAACACAGTCTTACTTTCCGTATGCAGCAGCCAGCAAATAAAGGCATTACATTGATGGTGACGTAAGGGCTTACGCCATAATTAAACGTAAATATTAAAAAAATGAAAAAATGAATGGATTTAGAAGTTAGAAGGGCAACAGAACAGTTGACAGTCAACGAAGAATGCCATTTTTGTTGCCCGATTCATCGAATCTGTCTCAGTGATTCCATCATAAACTGCCCAACTAAAATAATTCACATTTCTTTGACTTTTAAAAACTGCGTTTACCCTCATTTGATGTTGACTTTTTGTAAAACTAATCTGTTATCCAATATTAATTTTTTATAAATATTATTAAAAAATATAAATATATATTATTTATTTGTAAAAAACTAATAATTTAATATTGTATTCGTCTTAATATAATAATTTTTTTTACTATTTTTTTTTTTTTTAAAATAATAGTTTATACAAATATCACTATTTTTTACACTAATATAAAAAAAATAAAATTTTCTACTCATATATTTTACCAACTATTAAAATATAATATCAATATTTTCTAAATTTTGTATCCAACTCAAATAATAAAACTATAATTTTAACATATAAAATATTATTTTTTATATCAACGCTGAGTGAACAAACTGTCATAATATCAGCTTAATTATGACAGCACTTGAACTGCGGCAATTTTATGACAGCACTTGAACTTGTCACGGGTCCAATCAGCATCTGACAAGTAAGCTAAACTAGTGAACTATGATACAATCACTTATTTTCAATTCCTAGTTATGCTGCTTAATTTTAAATTTAATATCAGCTTAATTACGACTATTAAGTATTAAATCGAAATATAGATAACAAAAGAAATTTAAATAGTAGGCAAAATTTATTTAATTTTAGTTTTTTCTTTTGTTTCCTTTTTTTTTTAAATAAAAAGTAATATAATGATATTTTTATTTTTGTTTTTAATGTAAAAATAATAATGTGATATAAAGTAAAAATATTTGTAAAAATATATATATATTTAATGAAATTTTTATTTGTAATTAGACGTTTTAAAATAAAAATATGTATACTTTATTTAAAAGCATAGTTTCAGTAGGTTGAGTAACCGCTTCGGCTATGAGACTTGTTCTGTAATGATGATAACTATTGTTATTTTCTTTAAATTTGAATTTTTATTTTCAATTATTATTATTGCTATTATTTGATAACATGGAAATTTATTTCTCTGAGTCGAGTCAAGTGCACTTTGGATAAAGTCTCAAACGAACTTAATACTGTACAAATTAAATTCAAGTAAATTTGGAAGCTACTGAGGGTTTGAACCTTGTTTATTTTTTATTTTTATCTTATATTTTTGTATTGTTTTCTTATTATTTTAATATCGTACAAATTATTTTTGTTTAATTCTTATTCATTTTATGCATGAATTTCTTGCTTCTTTGTGTGTTTTTATTCAAATTTGAGCTTTCCAAATCAATTTTCGATCAGATAGGGTGTTTGTTCGTTGTCGGGACAAAATTCCAAAGACTTTATCAAGAAAAACCGATGTTAGGGCAACTAATTGTTGAACATCTTCCACCTAAAAAATGTGAGAACTCTCTTTACTTACAAAATCGAAAGACCTCTCCACACCTATTGATTTGAGTACGAAAGCTAATATAATTTCTTTAAACAAATCAAAAATATTTTTGAGATGGAATAGAATCCCATCTCTCGTCGCCATGACCATCCCTAATTCGCATAAGCGACAGCTGATGTAAGTCCGGCGACATTTCCGGCACGCTCCAGACCTTCACCGATTTATCCAAGCTCCCACTGTACACCACCCATCTCCGATCATCTTCCCCGTCCGCCTCCACCGCCAGGCACTTCACCGGCCCCGTGTGCCCCGTCAGCACCGACAGACACGTGTGCACCGCCGCCGCCTCCTTCCGCCACACGCAGATCGTCATATCCGCCGACCCGCTGAACACCAAACTCCCCGCCGCCGCCAGGCAGAGCACCGCCAGCTTGTGCCCCTTCAGCACGCCGCCGTGCGCCATCAGGTGCTTCTCCACCTCCCAGAAATTCACCGCCCCGTCCGACGCGCCGCAGTACACCACCGTCCCCGGCGCGTTCACCGCAAGCGCCGTCACCGCGCACTCCTGGCTCAGCAGCGTCTGCGCCGGCGCGTGGCGGATCAGCTTCCCGACCTCCTCCCTCTTCCACACCTTCACCGTCCCGTCCGCCGAGCCGGTGAACACCACGCCGTTCGCCGCCGCCACCACGGAGTTGACGGCGTCGTCGTGCGCCCTGACAGACTCCATGCACTTGAAGTCCTCGGCCCGCCACACCTTAAACGTCCTGTCCCACGACGCCGAGTAGAGCAGCCCCTTCTCCTTGTTCATGCTCAGGCACGACACTGCGTCGCCATGCCTGATCCATGCCGCCTTCCCCCGCCGCGCCGCCACCGCCGCCCGGATGTAATTCCTCGGCTTGATCGACGCCTTAAACACAGCAAAAAACGTCGGCATTGTCCCCACCCGTTTATGGCTCCCACCGCCACCGCCGCCCTTCCAGACGCGGATCTTCCCGTCCTGGTGGCCGGTAAAAATGGTGTCGTCGGAGATGACGATGGCCTTCACGAGGCCGCTGTTGGACTTGAATGCCGCAAATTCCTGCATGTTCTTCCAGACGCGGATGTTCTTGCTGTCGGAGCCGGTGTAGAGGAGGCCGCCTGTGGCGGCGAGTGAGTAGATGTGGCCTTCTTCCCGGACGAGGGATCCGACGAGGCTCGGGGTGTCGGAGAACGTCGAGGTGGTGAAGGGCGTCGTCGTCGTCTGGTTCCACGGGGACATCATCATCGGGGAGCCTTCCCCGCTCAGGCGATTGGGGTCGTAGGCCGAGCTCGTGCTGCTCCGGCCGTCGTCGGTGCCGCCACCGGAGACGGAGAACCTGTCCTTGTCCTTGCCGTCGGCTTTGGACATTGTCGTCGAATCAATCCTCCTGTCCGTACGAACCAAACGAATGCAAAAGCATACAAGAAAAAGAGAGAACTAATAGGAACTATTTATTTATTTATCTATTTATTATATTATGATTGGGAGGGAGATTTTGTAGGAACTATCTATAGAACAATACATACAAAGCCGTAGATATAAGATAGCAGACGATGTAATAATGTGTAAATAAATGAATGGTAACAACAAGACAAACATATCGACAGAATCTAAGCTCACTCGTTCCTCCTCTAGAAAGAAGCCAACAAATCCTTCATTTCCGACACCGGCGGGATGTTTTCCGTCGGGTATATCTTCGCGACCAGTTGGGCGAAGCTCTCGTACTTGTCCAGGAACTCCTTCTGCAAGCGTATAACAATCGATTTCACTACATCATGATTGGGTCGCTAAATTAAGGCATGCACACATCGAAAACAAATACCTTGCACTTGTCCCATAGGGACGGCAATAGTTCCTCCGAGTTCAAGTTCTTCTGCAGTCTCTTATACATTGCGCTGATAGACTTGTCCACCTAAATAACAACGCAGAGAGCATTATTATTTCTATTATTGATCAGACAAGACGCCGAAGAATCTCAAGTCGTGCGTGCATACCCCAGATAGACTTGATTTTATGACCTTCCGGAGATCCATTTTCGACAATCCTAGCTGAAATGGGATCTGTGGCACTTCTCAAGTTAGTCTCAAATAGTTCTCTTAAAGTTTAGACCAGCTGCAGATTTGTTTCATAACTCACCTCTTCTGGGGTAATCGTGTACATTAAATCCTCAATTCTGCGAGCAAATTGGAAGAGCCGTTCGAATTGCTGTCCATAGGACAACAAACAAGATCAATTTGCACATCATTCACCAAAGAAGTAATCATGTGATTATCATATGAGATGCCAAAGACATTTGACTTACATGATATATAATTGTGCTTATAAACCGTGTGCAAGCTTGTTCATATGATTCACTTGCTTGGTGATAGAACTTTGCCAGAGTCGGCACCACATTGGCCAGGTCGTACAGACTGCATGTTCCAAAAGTTTGATGAAGAGAATGAATCGGTAGCCGTAGAAGGCATCAAAAAATGCTAGGCATATAATGGGAAACAATATAATTAATAGCTGGAGTGGCACCTGTTCTGAAAGGCTGCATAGTTTTCTAAAAGTAGAATGTCCGCATATTTTGAGTCGGCCTGTGCAATTTTGTCCAGCGTCGCAAACATTACAGTAACCTGCCAAATTATATTCAATATATATATATATATATGTAAGTACATATAAGAAATAGCAATGACGAAATAAACAACAAACCATTATGAAAATGAGTTTTTAAGTGGAGGAGCACTAACAAACTTCGTGTAAGCCTGATCGACCAGATCCCTCGATTGCCCCTGAATATACTGCTCCATTCGGGTTGCAAGTGTGGCAAATCTAAGCAAAAGCTAAACCCAATAAATTCATTTATATACACAAAACAGTAATAATAAATTCATTAGCGGAATGGATAATTGAGGAATCCTATGGAATATAATAGATGAGTACTTTACCTGGGAATATAAGACAAGACTCCCACCTGTCGAACATTACGTTCATTCTTTTCAATTTGGTGGCAAGCTTCATCTACAAACTGCAATACAAACACCTCATGTGAAGATACGCCGAGTCAAAATCCGTTTAAACTTACTATTGGATTTTAACCTACTCGATTGAACTGCGTAGAAATCCTGTTTTCAAGGTCATCGAGCAATATACGAACAAATCCTGCAGCGTCAGCTTTTTGACCAGAAATATATCGCTCAGTAATCCCATGCATAGATATACAACGCAAAGGATCGATCTTGTAGGCCCAATCCACTACAGCATAGAAATCCTCCTAAAAACTCAATAGTAAGAGAAGACTGTCTATTAGAGTCAGGGAACAGGATCCATAGGTCATGGAGATATTACCGAATAAAAATAGATCATACCTGTATTCCATCAAGTAGATCACGAAGTGATTCATTAAGTGCCTGCAGATCTGCAGACTTTTTACCTACAATAATCCGAAATAAGGACAGTTAAAAACAGTGAGCTAAAGCAAAATTCAAGAACTATAAACTGCTACCAGGTTTCTCGTTGTCATCAATATCCAAGATGCCTAAATCATCGTCGTCATTATCATCATTGGGTATGGCTTTGCCGCCTTTGGCAGTGGCTCCTCCTGGTGGAACAAGAGCCGGAACTTCAAAGCACATGAAATGTGCAAAGAAAGAGCTCTGCAGTTTTTCAGTTAAAGATCTAAAACTCGTTATCTATATGGGATAGAGAAAGATGCAAACACAGAGAGGGAATGAGTTTCAAAAGCAATTTTTACCTCATCAACAAGGAGCGGGATAAAAATGGTAAGCATTTTTGCATAAGCCTCGGAAACAGTAGAAGTATCTGCACTGCTTGCACTTTGACTAGAGCCCATTGAACCATCAAGCCATACGGTTGGATTCCTTGAAGCTTTAGTGCTAGCACGAAGTTCGTTGGCAAACTCACGAGCCTGTATTGGGACATATAAACAAAATTTAGGATCAGGAACCATATAAATTAAAAGCAAAAAGTTTGTACTTATATTTTGTCATCAAAAATAGAATCAATTAGTATCGCCGAAAAATTATAGCATTTATTCCTGACCTCCCGACGTAGAAGTAAATTCAGAGAGCTGCAGTAAGCTTTTCTTAAAGGGCCCAAGCAGTTTGGATCTAGACTCTGAATGTAAAACCAATGAAGTGTTGATTCTATGAGAAATCTGATGCGAAAGAATAAGCGTTTCATCAATCCGCACATACATATATTCTTCACTGTACCTTCAAGTGTTGCAGAAGTCGAGCATAGGTCCTGCACTTGTACCGCAAGTCAGCATGATCTGGTCTCTTCAGTTGTCCACGCTTTAAAGACCGAATATGAGCAAAAAAATTATCAGTTACCTTACGTCAACAGTAATAATTGCTTATCAATGAACTACTACTCCAGGGCAATACCTGTGAGAAATAGCTCTTATCACTTATCATGAAATCAACCAAACTAGCAAAGTAGTTCCTTAGAAACTCAGATGCTCGTCTGACAAAAGTGTTTCTCAACTTTTCAAGTTCCGCCTTCTTCTCTTTAACCTGTGAGTTTCATCCATCATAGCAAGAGAAAATATACATGTAAGGAATTTAATATGAATTAATATTGACAAAAGAATAAGTAAGCCAAATATGCTACATACAGATTTCATGCTTGCATAGCATTGGTCCAACTTGGGAACCTCAAGATTTCGTAAAGCATTTGTCAGCCACTCGCATGCTTCTATGTTCTGAAGCATGCGAGCCTCATCAAATGAACCCCCAGTAAGACAGGCTGCATACTGAATTTGACATAAATCAAAACAATCCAAAATATTAGTAATAAGAATGAGAAGAAAGACTTCTAAGAGAGACTAATACTGCTGCAGAAAATGTCATTTCTCAAAACTTAAAAAAGGACATGGTTATGATGAAAGACCTCAGATGGAATTCGTAATCTTTCAAGAAGCTTTTCGAGTTCCTCAATCAATGTTTCATTGTTCACTGACTGCATTTCCAGCTTGTTATTGCGGATTTCAATCTGCATAGCCAAAAGAGGGGGAAAAAATATAAAAAGATCAAATTGTCTAATGTCCCTTAATATGATGCAGAAAGCTTGATTCCTGATGGGGTTTAGTATCCTATTGCAAACAAACAGTTTTTCACAAATGATACCCAATGTATTGAAGTATGTATACCGATTCTATGTCCTCTCTCATGTGCCGAAGTTTTAGATTGAAAATTCCCAACCATTCATCCATCTCATCAACATAGTCAGTGGCTACTTCAAGCCCCTGTAATATCTGCAGAACAAAATACATACTTGTTTAATATAAATATAAAGAACCAATTGTCTTGCCAGGAAACAAAAGAGAACCAATTAGAAGCTTTGCAGCACCTCGTTGAGAGACCGAAACAAAGTAGAACAAAGCAGCAATACCTTACACAGCAGTGATAAAATTCTTGAGTCACATTACCTCATTTATTAGAGGTTCATTTTCCAAAATGGAATGAACATTTGCTGCTTCCAGTGCTTGAAGCTCCCGCTTCAACCGTTCAGAAAATGCCTCTGCTTCACCGATGCCCATGACATAACTGCACGTTAAGGATTCTCACTAAGAATAGGTACAGAGAGAAGGAAATAAAAAAGATCCCGATAGTTCAGAAAGTCCAAAAATTGGAACAAAGTAGCATTGTCTCTGAATCCAACAAAAATCCATGAAGGTAGGTAAGACAGCGACCAACATAGCTATTATGGATAAGAACATTAAATGAAATAGAGTAAAAACGTGCCAATCAGTAGATATCAAATGCACCATTCTGGAATCAAAGCATTTTGCATGAAAGACTTCACGATTGAGGATTAATGGGGTAGAAAATGAAGGACAAAACTAACACATTATTCATTCAACTATAACATACTTAGAGACAACAGGAAGACAAGGTTATCAGGCAGGTAACTATGTCGACAGCATCAAGCCAACCAGACCAACCTTCTTGTATTAAGTAACAGGAGCCAGGAGTTGCACCTCCATAGCCCCTGACCCAGAAGATTCTGTTACTGGCACTCTCTGATTTCAGGTAGATTACTACTGGTTATAACCATGGTGATTATGCACTGTTCTTTTTATCTCCTAGTACATTTTCTTATAGGCATTTCACCCTGCTTGCATTGATTTCACTGCTATATCTATTTTTATCAAGACACTAATTTTCTAATACTATTTACAACAATGTTTTTGTTTTGGCATCATAAAAGTGAATAGGAAATGCATTGTATTGTTCATTTGACTAGTTGCCACCAAGTCCATTCAACAAGGTATTCTTTAATTCTATGATAAAGGAAGTACATACGTGCCCAAAAGAGCCTCCATATCCTCTTCCTCTGCTTGAGACACCAGCTCTCTCTCAACTGTAACTTTCATGTCGCGTTCTACAGCCACAGATCGATCATACCCAACTTGAAGAATTCCTTGCTGTTTGGGAACCTCAGGTGTATGTTCCTGTAAAAGATATAAACAGAGTTCAAATTCCAAATATCAGTCAACAACATCATCCAAGATTGTATTTAATCAAGTGAATAATTTTCATTAAGCAAGAATTTTGTTCAACTTAATGTGCATTTTAAAAGGGTTTTATTTACCACAAGTTCACAAAAATGAAGAAACAAAGGGAATATAATATGAACCTTAGCCCAAATAGCCATCTCAACAACATCTATACCAATAACTTTAGGAAGGCGATCCAACACATCCTTGCAGATGTTTAAGATGCAATGCAGAAAACGATTCCTAAACCATAAGAAAACCATCAGAATATAAAAGGGATATAATCAAATATGGCTGGAATCACATAAACGATAACATACCTGTCATCAACATTGCGCATAGTCCACTGAGGTGGGGCAACACTCTGGCTTCTAAGGTTGTCAAACCCCTTCATGACAATGATAAACATTAACCAACTTGAAGCACATCTTTGAAACGCAACATGACTGAAATATATTTTCGAATAGATCAAGAAGGAAAAGATAATTACCAGCATAAAAGTGCATCCAGTCGGATCATTCGTTACAACTTCAACTTTTGTGAGGTGCTTCAGCTTGTAAAGTTTTGCCGGCTAAAGAGGTGGGAAAATATCAAATGACTCAGTCATAAATGCTTAAGAAAGAACCACTTTAACAAACTATCACTTCAGGTCAGTAAAAGAGGCATAGATAACATTATACTATACTATACTATACTTTCAACTATTATTCTCTACCACATATTTTAATAGGATGTCGAGATATTCTTGATTCTACATGGACCATGATGTTCTTGTTATTGTTTAAAAAATCTAGACATCATTTGCCTACAGATGTACACATACTCCAGTAAAATATCATGGTCGGTGCAACCATTGATATAAAACGTACAATGATTATGAATAAAAAATAACTTTTAACATGGCATCCTGATACTCACTTCAAGAACACCTCCAGTGGAATATTTTAACACACGAAGAACAGCTTTACTCTGTTGACCTTTTGTTTTTGCTGCAAACAAACATGTGAAGAAACACCCCACATTCATCAGTACATGGAACATGGATTTACAAACGCTAATCATTTATAAGTTGATATATATATATATATATACATATGTTTACTTCATTCACTACTAAATACATCGGGATATCCCCTAGCATATACTCCAGCTTTGATAGGAACACATTTTAGGTTTTAGCACAAAACCACACGCTTGAGACACTAATCAAGCCCAAAACTTGATATAGTATTTTAAGTTAAGCTAAAACTTGACTCAGTAAAAATCACTTGAGCTTAACCTTGACTCAACTGCACTTGATAAGACTAAATATAGAAGTTCAAATGGAACTCTACAAACCTGGAAATTTGAGAATCAAATGACTAAAGAATGTAAAAATCGTTGAGTATTTGTTATTGTGACTAGAAAATTACTTATAAGGTGTTGCAAGCTCAATAAATTAGTTCGATTCACCATTGTATCATAATCAAAAACAAGAAAACTAGCTAAACTTTTGATAAGCACTTCCTTGACATCAAAGTTGCGCTTTCGAAAGAGTGACGATCGCTTCAACTAGCAATTATAATCCACGCAAAAAGTTATAGCTCAAAATTCCCACAATCACAACCGATTCCGATAACCTCCTCGACCAATTAACTAAGCAGCCAACTTTACGCTAATCAACACCAACACCACAATGCACAACTGGAACTAACTGATCAAATCATGACTATAACAATCTCCACACGCCTCTACAGAAAACACACATCTATCTGCCAAAGCCCTAGACCATCTTACTTGAAACGGCGAGAACACGAGGCTTCGCCATATGGCCGCGCCCCAATTTGGAAGATTTACCCCAGATCCCGCGGCTCTTGGCCACCCTAATTGACATCACGATCTGATGCGCTGTCTCCTCGATCGCCGCCTGGCAAGCCCGCCGCAGTTCCTCGTCGTCGGCGCTCGATTTCGCCATTCCCCTCCGAGCAGTTAGTTAACCGGAAGATTAATCTCCGGCAGACGTATGGAAGAGCAAAGAAAGGAAATGACTTAAGACTGTTGTTTTCCTCCCCAAGTCTACAGAAACGGCCTCAACAAAAACATAACAGCAGACCCAAAACGACGTCGTAGAAAGCGGTGCCAGCTGTACCATCACCACTGTAAAGAAAAACTAACCGTTTAAAAAGGTACGCTGTAAACGAAGGGATCCATCTGGCGTTCAGGTCCATGGAGTTTCCAGGAATTACTTTTTTTCATCTCACTTCCTCTTACACTCAGATATAGTCATACCCATATCCAATAACCTCCAAGAATTGTCAAAAAAATCAAAACCCCTATCCAAAATTAATTAATTTCTCATTAATTCTTTGACCCGGAACATAATTCGATCTCTACATAAGCTATTTGTAGTGCCCAAGAACAAGAATGAACTCTCCTATCCTGGAATAACATAGGATCTGTCGACAGGGAATTTGAGGTGCAATTTTATTACATAACTGGCAGCCAAATTATCCTCCTTTGCAAAAAAAGCATGTCCTCGAGCAAATGCAAAAGCCCCTGTGCCCCCGACAACGTCCATCTTCTTGATCTCATCATCCTCTTTGTGGGCCAAATAATTCTTGGCCTCGACGCTGACGCTGCCGGAAAATTCCTCTGTCTGAAAAGTCAAATAGACAATGTTGAAAGCAGAATGGGCAAAACTTTCGACAGGGATGATAAAACCCTGGGCATTCCCGACAACACGCGACGTGTTCTCCGGCCCTTCCGTCAGCGTCCGGTGGAAGATCAACGCGGCGTCCGGCGGCGGCGGCGCCGCCGCCGTGGGGCGGGGGGTGAAGTGGGGTTGTTGGATGTAGAAAGAGAGGGCGAGGAGAGGGCCTGTGGGGTTGGTTGTGTAGGGTTGGGGAGAGAAGAGGGCGAGGAGGATGACGACTGCTGTGGCAAGAACCACTGCTGTGCAGTATATGATCCTCGACAACATCGATTGTATCTTATAAAAATTTGATGATTAGGGTTTGGGAGAGATTTTATTATTGTGTTTAATTTTTGTTTCGATATTGGGATTGGGACTGAATGTGGGTTTAATAGAGGCATTTGTGAGTGTGTTTGTTCGTCTGGTGACCTAATCCAAGAAGGTTATGGGCTGCACCTAATCCCACTGTAAGAGTAACGACAACAGTTTCTTCTTGATGCAAGAAAAGACTTTTTTTTTTTTGAAAAAAAATTCGAAATGAATCTTTGATGACAATAAGAATGAATGTGAGTACAATAGTATCAGCAATATTTTGTAAGAACAGTTGCGTTGGCATTAGTGTAGTAGAATTAATTTAGGGAGTGTTTGTGCTTGGGGGAATTTTAATTTTGAGTTTGAATTTTAGGATATGTTTGAATTTTTGTGTAGCTTTGGCTTTGAATTGGAGTGTGTTTTTTTTTTTTTTTTTTTAAAAATTTATTGTGAATTGATTTGATGGGTAATAAATATAATAATATAAATATATTAAATTTAAATTTTCAAAATTAATAATAATATTATTTGAGTATAAATTTATATTATATCTCTATTTTTATATTTTTAATTATTTATATTATAAAAAAAATTAGTCTCTATAATATAACATATATGGTATATATTTTATTAAATATTAATTATTATAATTATCAAATAATTATTTTACATGAGTATCTGCACAGTAAATACACATTAAATTTGGCCAAACTGACGCTGAAGAAATACATTTAAGGGTGTGTTATTTTGGGGATTTCCCCAAATTTCTACTATTCATTCAATTTTTTTTTTCTCCAAAATCATCAGATAAAACATCTATTTTTCATTTTTTATATTATACTAAAAATCAATTTTACATTCAAAATATCACATCAACACCTGTTTATATCACATCATACAATTATTCCAATTCAAAAATTTTACTATTCAAATCACAATTCAAAATCTAAACCCCCAAACAAACACACTTGATTAGTAAGAGCATATGCAATAGCCAAAAAAACATAAAAATAAAAATAAAAATAAAATAATAATAATAGTGTTCATTGTATTATATATTTTGACTCAAGACAATATTAATTTTTTAATTGTTGGATGTAGTTTTCGTGATATTAAGTTTGGTCGAAAATTTATTTTTACTTTTGAAATTTCAAAAACTTTATTATATGTATATATATATATATATTATTATTATTTAGTAAAATATAAATTAAAAAATTCAGATTCAGAAGATATTGAGTCAATTTCTAGTGATTTTTGGAATTTTCAAAACTTTCTTGCATATACTGTATTACTTGAAACTACATATTGTCTATTTATTTTAATTGACAAATCAGTACCATTTGTACAAGGTTAGATGATTCCTCGTCGAATACATTTTCATTGACTTAAGACATTCTCGAGAACCTTACTAGAATAATTTTACTATGCTACCACAAAAACACCGTAAAGAAAACACATCAAGGCCTTGATTTACCCCAATCGAACATGTATATACGAGAGTAACATATGATATTGAACCGTATTTAAATTAATTTTACCATAAATATATAAAAAAAATTTATTTTATTATTTTTGATTGTATTAAAATTATTCACTCTATATATATATACAATTTTTTTTACAAAAGACTTACATCAAAATACTATCTAAAGAAAAATTCAAATCAATCTCGGATTGTATATGTATATAATATATACACACCATATATTTTACACACTAGTATTTTTTATTTTTTTTTTATGACGTGGGAACCCGCAGCTGTCACCAGAAAGTACTGAATAAACCCCACTTCCAACCTAATACCCTGCAAACCAGACTTTGATCCTGATTAATTAAAGATTTATTTCCCCAAGCTTTTAAATATGATCAATAATATATTTCCCATAATTCTAATTATTAATTAATAGGCTTCGAAGTCTCTAATGGAGAGCTGTCCCATTCTCGGCACATTATTATTCTCCGAACGCCGGAGTCCCAACGTCAGCGACACTTCTCCGCCGCCGCCGCCGCCGCCGTTGGTTCCTCCAAATCCCACCTCTGTATTCGCCAGGTAACACCGGTGCTCCGCCGCCATAATCATCTCATGGTAGGCGGAGGACGGCGGCGCCATCTCATGCTCGCCGCCGATCTCCTGATCATCATTAATTTGTTGCACGGCGGCCGCGGCGGATGATGATGCGTTGTTCGAATTACTTTCCGGTCTCCTTCCGCCGCCGCCGGCGTCATTTTCCGGTGCCGGAGATTCTCGCTGTACGTCGTCGTCGTCGTGAAGCTCCTGCTGGTACATTTCTTCCACCATTGGCTTCCATAGACGAACCCTAGCATTTATGAACCAATTGCATACCTGGGACAGCGTGAAATTAAATAAATCAAAATAATAATAAAAAAATATAAAGAACAATAAATGTTTCTGCATCACTGGATTCTTCAGCTTCAGGCCTCTGATGAATTCAATGGCTCGTGTAGATGATGACAAGGAAAAAGTTGAGAATGTTTTTTCTTTTAAATTATTATTATTACAGCAGCAATCTGTCAAAATTACTCATTAATGGCTTCTTCATTACAGAAAACCTAAAACACATATATAATACTACAATTCACGCAAACCGAAGGAGGAAATGAGAGATCCCTTTCGAAAGATACGACAGTATCGATTTTGAAATACATACATACATACATAATGAGTGAATACCTGACTTTTGGATAGTCCAGTCTGCCTTGACAGCAAATGTTTGTCTGCTTCACTTGGATACCTGAAATCATCAACCCCAAAATCAAATATATTAAACAAAAAATAAAACCCTAATTAATAATATATATATATATGTGTATATGAGAGGGCGAATATATATATATACGGATGGAGGAAATGCTCGAAGAGCCAGGCTCTCAAAATGTTAACAGATCTTTCAGGGAGGCCACGCTGGGGGCGCCAGGAGTCGGGGTCCAGGATCCCCATATGCTGCAAGGCTTTCTGCTGCCGGAATTTCTGCTCCACCGTCTTCAGCCGGGGAGTCTCCCCCTTCGTCAGCCCGGTCCCGCCGGTGGCGTCCTTTTCACCCAGCGCGTCGCAGCACGCGCTCAGCTCGCCGGCGACCGCATCCTTCATACACCGGAAATGGCGGGACATCGCCTTCCTCGCCAATCCGGTGTACGGCTCCGCCGCCCCCTGCCCCACCACCGCGTCGAACGACTTCACCATCGCCTCCATCTGCTCGCAGTATCTCATATACCTCGCATCCACCTGCAAATATTAATTAATTAATTCGAACTCAGATTTGATCTGGAGAAGACGAACATGGCGCCGCCTGAAAATCTGCAAATTGTTTGGAGCTTTTCCGGCAGAAGGAATGTCGAAATAAAGGTGAAGCATTGATTGCATGTGAGCAGAAAACAAATTCAATTCAGATTTTCAGAATCAGGCAAATCATCATCATCATCTCATACCTACAATATACATATATATATATATATATTATCTGTTAAAGCTTCAAAGCAGTACGGAAAACATTGATACTTAATTATACAAGACGACTTTTTTTTGGTGCTTTTAACAAAAGTCTGAGCTGAGCTGATCATCAAAATCTGCGATGTCTTCTTCCTATAATTCATCACTATACCTTAATTTTAAAAGCTGTGAGCTTTGAGATTAACTATAACTAATAAGCAAAAGGAAATGGTCCCCAACTGGAGACTGATTGAAAATCAAATTTTCCTAGAATTAATTTATTGTTTCTGATCATTTCTTTTTAATTTTATTATCGATCGGATCAGTGAATGGAAGAGAATCTTACAACCTATACTGCAGGCATGTCTTTCTTAGCTCGACATGTATCACTCTTGTCTTGCTAAAGAACATCAGTACTACAGCTGCCCTTAACTTGCATAAATTAATATATATATATATATATATGCATATAGTGATAGAGAGAGAGGGGGGAAAAGGGGGGAGAGAGAGAGAGAGAGAGAGAGAGGGACCTCTTCAAGCATGGAGAGTAGTTTAATCTTTCGTCTCTGGTAATCAGATCTTTCAGCGGGAGATAAGGGATGGAGATCTTTGGAAGAAGACGATCCAACGGCTCCTCCATTCCTGTCCGAAATTGAGGAATTAGGGTTTCTAGCCTGATTCCTGAGTTTCTGATTATTCTTCAATTGTCCTCTTCCAACGCAGCAGAATTCTTCAAGAATCTCCTGTGCAGCCTTCAAGTACCTCGAATTCCGCAGGTAGCTTATGCTTCTTGCAGATTCAACATACCCAACATGAACCTGATTGTCGTGATGAGGAGGAGGAGGATGTAATAACATCTGATGATGATGATGATGATAATGATGAGGATGAGGATGAGGATGAGGAGGAGGAGGAGGAGGAGGATTACCCCCAACATCCTTAATTCCATAGACAAAGCTACTCGAAGCCACAGCGCCATGGAAGGACAATTCGCCATGGCTAATGCTCATCTTGTCCAATTTGTTTGCTTCCAGGTTTCTCATCAGAGAAGAAGACAGTGACAAGGACAGACCTTGCCCCTCCTCGGCTCTGCCCGTACTGCCCGGAAACCATGTGAATTCAGGAGGAGATACTATGTTGGATTCAGGCAAAGAACTGATTAAATGAAACCCTTGAAGAAAGTCTGTGGAGCTTTCAAGGTAAGAAGAGTTGCAGGAAGAAGAAGATGGAGCTAATGTAATTTGAGGGGTATTGTTGTCAACAGAAATCTGCACAAATAAGTAACAAATTAATGACTCCAAAACCAACCATTGTTGCACAAATTCAAGAAAATCAAAAACAAAACATGATTACATACATACGATTGCAATTACTTTGGAATTTTTTATTTTTTATTTTTTTTTCTGATCTCACCTCATCTGCAGCAGCTGCCTCATTAACTGCACCTGGCAGGTGCTGTTTTTGTGGCCATCTGTAGCTTGCCTGGATCTGATCATCCAACACATCCGCCGCCGCCTTCCGCCACCGCAAGTTCACAATTTCCGTCAGCATCCCGCCGGCGTCGCCGCCGTACGCCGCCTGCTGCTGCCCTCCGGGGGGTAATTCATGGCCAGTTTCTTGGGGTAAATTATTAGGCCCCAATCCTTGCTGCTGATCTCTCATCATCATCCACTCTCCTTGCTGCTTCGCCACCGCCACCGCCGCCGCAGATCTTTCATAACCATTGGTAAAGCTGTAGATGCTGCCTTGTTGGAAGCTTTGGGACATGAATTTTTGGTACAGAAACCAGAATCTTTTTTTTTCTTTTTTTTTTTTGAGGTTGTAAAAGGAAACTCAAAAGCTAGCTAGGGTTGCTGTTCAATCTCTCTTCTTCTCCTGTTCCAAAAAAACAGTAAATTATGGGAATCGAATTTTGTCACTTTGGCCATACACACAAAAAGAAAATTATGGATCTTGCAAATTTCAATAATATAATAATAGTAATAGCGATAATCCCTTCATTTCTACCTGGGATTTCTTCCAGGGTTTTTTCCAGACAAGTACAGATACCTGTGCAAGAAAATTAACAAGGTCCTGGAACAATCCTTTTCTTTCCCTGAATTGTGATAGAGAAATCAACACCTCATCTCTCTCCTGGTTGCAGATATATAGAAGAAATGTGTTGATCTCTGTGCTTCAAAGGAATCTTAGGGAGAGCAGCAGACAATAGAGTCATGAGAGAGAGAGAGAGAGAGAGAAAGCCAGTGAGAGAAGAGATAATGAAAGGGGATGAAGAGCCCAAAAAAAAATTATCATTAAAGAAAGGAAACCCCCAAAAAAAATAAAAAAATAAATAAAAATAAAAAATAAAAGAAAGAAAAAAAAAGTAAGAGGGTCACTCTCACTCTCAATGCCTCTTCAATTCATCTCTTCACTTCCACAAAACCTACTTTAGAGATTAATTTTTGCATATAAAAAAATACAGCCACAAACTTATCATTCATTCTTTTGAAGCTTTTATAATATACTAGCATAAGTTAAAACAAGAAAGTTGGAACTAGTGAAAGTTGAGCCAAATTATATGACATGATCTATATATATAACCATGTTTTGATGGATGGAGCCAATTATATAAAAATTAATACTATATAATAAAAATCTTTCACTAATTATTGTCACTTCCAAAGTGGTACTAAGTTTGGTAAAGATATATATATATATATGTGTGTGTTTGTGCCAAGTGACATTTGTGTATCAAAATTTAATAATTGTGACCTTAGGAGCCTCAAAAGATTATTAATTTTATAACTTTTAAGTAAGATGGAATCAATTCAATTCAATTCATATAAATTAAAAATCTTTCATAGAGTTGGAGTTAGCTGGGATTCATACAAGTGTCATTTAGATTTCACTTATTGGGAAATATGTTTGGCACTGACAAACACACTCTTACATTTACACCCAATTAGTACAATTTTAATTTTTTCTTGAACACCATAATATCATATATATATACATATATTTATTTATAAAGTGTCCTTTATTGTAGCCATCACTACACACTGACACTGTTTCACTAATCCATGCATGCAAACATCATATATTGGTTTTTGTCTGAATCAACATAGTTTGCTACCCTTTTCTTGTACAAATTTCTAAATTTTATATATATATATATATATGTATGTACAGTAAATATTTTTATTTATTTATTTTAAACATGGGTTGTAAGAGGTAGTAGCAAGTTGGGTAGCAAAAACAGGATCATGAAGGGACCACATTTCACATATATATGTTTGTGTTTTTAAAGGATGTCCTGTTCATGATTCAATTTTCCAGTGGCCCATAATGGGGGACTACCAGCTACATATTATTTATTCATTTATTTATTTTATATATATATATATATACTAATTAATTTCTAGGAAATTAAATAAATAAACATTAAATGGACCCCTGATGGAATGTTGTTTTGATATAATTGGGTGTGGTCGTCATTTTTAGGACGTGCTGGTTCGGGTGCTGAAATAAATTTAATATTTTATATAAGAATGATAATTTCTGAATTTTGGCAATGCCATTAATATAGGGACATGAGTATGGTGACAAAATTATAATTCAATCATAGTAATTAAATACTCCTATAGGGACCTATGTATTGTTTTTCACTTGAGTTGAGTTGTGATTCTCATAGCCATAGGCATAGGCATAGGCACCTCAACTGTCCTATCCTCTCTAGTTTAATTTCAGTCTCTGCATATTATTGCATTTGGCCCCACTATTTTCCAATTATTGCTGCACCTGCCCCACCAATATTTCTTCTTGAAACCTATCCTCCTTTTTTTCGTTTATGAGTATTCTTTTTCTTCCCATTCAAATTATTTGGCTTTTACAGTAAATTAATAAATAATACTCCATTCGTTCCAAAACTATGATCTTATTTGAGTTGGATACGAGATTTAAGAAATATTGATATTATATTGATAGTTGGTAAAAAGTATAAATAAATGGCTTTTTTGCCCTTGTGAGTGTATTAGTATAAAAAATAGTGATATTTGTGTAATAATAATGAAAAAGTAAGAATAATTTTATGGTGATATGAATATTTATGGAAATGAGACTATTGTTTTGGGACGGACAAAAATGGTGAACAAGACTATTGTATTGGGACGGAGGGAGTACTATATATATATGGTTCTAAGGTCACTACTTATTTGTTTATTGATATTTAAATATTAATTACTCTCTCTGTTCCAAAATTATAGTTTTAATTGGGTTGGACACGAAATTTAAGAAATATGATATTATATTGGTAGTTGATAAAAATTATAGATAAAAAACTTTTTTGTCCTTGTGAGTGTATTTGTGTAAAAAATAGTGACAATTGTGTAATAAAAATGAAAAAGTAGGGGTAGTTTTATGGTGATATAGTTATTTATGGAAATACAACTATTATTTTGAAACGGACAAAAACAAAAATAGTAAATAAGATTATTGTATTATGACAGAGAGAGTATTAATATATCAAAACGTAGTACATGATTAAAGAAAAATGACAAAGAATACTTTTATCAGTATTTTATAATACTAATATAATGATATTTGTAAAAAAACAAATATAAGGATATTTTCAACGTTAAGTACAATGACGCAAAAAATAAATATAATCCTTAGAGCCGGACGAAGAAAATAATATTATTGATTAGCAGATGTATATATTATAAGATAATTTTGATATTTTTATCGTTTATATTTTATATTAAAATTTAAAAAGTATTTTGCTATTAATTTGTTTAGTTTTTATTTGAATTAAAAAAATATGTATTTAAATTTTAATATATATATATATACTATTTTAATAAGTATTTTGTAAAAGAGATGGAAATATAAAATTTTGGATAAATATTATACTTATGATGTAATTTTCGGCAAAGAAAATTTAATAGCACGGTGAGTACATACACATGAATTTAAGGGGATATAATTAGTAGATAAATTAAAAATATATTAATAAAATTAAATTTAATATAATATAAATAATTATAAATTAAACTAATTAGTCTCGTACAAATTTAAAAAAATATAAATTATAAAATTTAAAATATAATTAAAATACTTTCTCCGTCCTATTGAAAGGTTGTCATTTTTTATTTTCGTCCATCCCAAAATAAAATTATCATTTCTTAATTTAGTAATTGTACTACCTACCTAACATAATAAATACTCTTTCAATTTACACTATATTACACAAATGTCATTATTTTTATATTACACAATACTAGTAGGGGCATTTTTGTCTTTTTCATCACAAACGACAACCTTGTACCGGGACGAAGGAAATATATAATTTTTTTCTAAACCAATAAAATGACATAATATATGAATAAACTAAAATGAAATTTCTCACATTATAGGGCGAAGATAGTAATAAGAAATTTAAAATATTTTTTATAGAAATAAAAAAAAAAAATGCTAATTTAAAAAAGTAAAATATTTAAATTAAAATAGTTTTTTTTTTTTTTATATTTTGACACAATTGCTTCTTGTAGCGAACATTTTATATTAATTACTGTTATTTATTAAAATAATAAATTTATTTATTTATTATAAATAGATATATTTGTATAACATACAAAGAAAATCCTGATATAATTATAAAATTAAATATATAATATTATGTTTTTTTAAAATTATTGTAAATTAACAATAAAAATAAGTGGGAGAATACGAGTAAAAAGACAATTAAACTCTGTTTTTCCTATTTAATCCAACAACAAACTTAAATGCAAAGCCCTTACAAAGGACAGAAATGGAAAAATGGTGCACATACTCAACTCCATCTTCCAGAAACATCCCCAATAAAGTTTTGTTCTCGATTCAATCCAGTGATTCTTCTCTGGATTAAAGGCGCCAGGAGGGGGATTCCTTCAACGATTTTGCTTTGCGTCGAGTTCGGGTTCTTTCGTAAATCCTAAGCAGCATTCACTACCACCACCATCTCTGCGAGATCATCTGCCACTCCAATGTAATGTACGATATAGTCCGAACAATTTAACATTTAATTCGACTGTTTTGTTACCTTGCAACATTTCTCATGTTTGCTCTCTTCGAGTTGCAATTGCTCTGTGGGCTTTGATATTTGATGCGTTTAGGGTTCTTTGCCCTAATTTTTACTTAGAATTGTAGTTTGCAGCTTATAATATGTCTTACGATTAATAACTGAATTTCATGGGGATTAATTCACTCAGACACAAGGGATTATTACAAACCCTCTGAATCAAGGATTTGTAGTGTAGTGTAGATTGTACCAGATTTGAATTTAAATTCTCTCTGTTTGTTTGTGTGCCCTTGTTCATCATCCTGAATTGATTTATTAGACAGTTTAAATTCGGGCAAGGTTATCGTCGACTTTGAGCTGGAAATAGTGCAACTTAATGGGCTGGCTTAGTCGAATTTTTGGAGGATCAAATTCAAGGTATAGCTGCAGCTATGAAACAGATACTGCAGGGAATCTATCACCAGTGATTGAAGATCATAAAGGAGAAGGCTTAGTAATTGGTGAGTCGAATTAATGGACATCAGCTGATATATGATCAATCATATGTAGTATTGGAACTATGCAAGAATCAGACACTTTATCATATTTAGAATCAAAACTTCAAGATGATGAACTTGCTTGGGGTGTTCGGGAGAGTTGGGATACCGAGTCCTCGAGTGGGACTGCCTATGGTTACGGATATACAAGTGATAGCCTTTATCAGCCCATTTCTTTCCCCTACGATACCAGCTTCGGGTACATATGTATTTGTCGATCTTTCTGTGTCAAGATAGCGTGCAAAAAAAAATGTTTGATATCTAATATTGCTTTGATTTTCATCCGTAATAGGAACCGTCTTGGCAGTGATGCATCTTTATACTCCGGTAGGATTTGCGCCGGTTGCAATATGGATGTCGGCTATGGAAGGTATGTGAGTTGTATGGATGCTTTGTGGCACCCAGAATGTTTTAGATGCCGCGGATGTAGCCAACCGATTTCTGACTATGAGGTACACATAGCTCGGATGTGTTTGTTTGTGGGTTTGGATTTTTGAATAATTGAATTTGAATAGTTGTTTGATGTGATATAAACAAACGTTGATATAATATTTTGAATGTAAAATTGATTTATAGTATAATATTGAAAAAAAAAAAAGTGATTGTTTGATTTAATATTTTTTGAGGAAAAAAGAATGTGAATGGTAAAAATATATGGTAAAATTCACAGAAGAACACAACCTGAAAGATTGATCTTATTAGTTGCTTTTACATAGCCAAAGAAACGAGAAAACGGGCTTCACAATCTAATCTATTTTGACTCCTTTGTTCTGCAGTTTTCGGTGCACGAAAGCTGTCCTTATCACAAAACTTGCTACGAGGAGACTCATCATCTGAGATGCGATGTCTGCAGACATGTTGTATGATTTGGACTTTATTTGCAAGCTAAAATTTGTTGTTTCAATTAGAAGAATCCGATGTTTGTTCTTTCCTGACAGATTCCAGCCAATGCAGTAGACGTGATTGAGTACAGGGCACATCCTTTTTGGTCGCAGAAATACTGTCCTAAACACGAGCACGATGGAACTCCTCGATGCTGCAGTTGTGAGCGAATGGAAGTGAGTCGGAGTAAATAATGCTAAAGAAAAAACTTAATTTTCTAATGATTTGATCTTTGCATTGTAAGTCATGGAACACGAGATTTAATGTCCTTGGTGATGGGCGGAAGCTCTGCTCGGAGTGTTTCGACTCAGCAATTATGGAAAGTAACGCCTGTCAGCCGCTTTATCGAGATATACAGAAGTTCTTCAAAGGCTTAAATATGAAAGTGTTGCAGCAAATACCGTTGCTCTTGGTTGATAAACCGGCGCTGATCGAAGCGATGGGCGGGGAGACACACGTAAGATCATGTGTTATATGTTCATATTAAAAATTGTGTGCTCTACCGAAGTACTTCCTCCACCATGTAATAAAAACATTTTCCTTTTATGATTAAAAAAAAAATGGTATTGTTTTAATATAAAAGAAAACATAAATAAATTTTAATGACAACCAGAAAAAGAAAAGTGAAAATAAATTTGAATAATAGGAGTATATTATAGGCTATAAAGGAGTATTTCATGTGTTATATATGAGTATGTGCCGTATTTGTATTATATTAATATAAGTGATGTCGAATGTGCAACTTCTTGTTGTTTATTACCAGGGGCATCATCAGGACATGCCCGAGACTCGCGGGCTTTGTCTTGCTGAGGAAAGAACAGTCAACCAGGTTTTGCCGCGTCCGAGGATAAGATTTGGAATTGGAAATCGCACGAGAAGTCCTGCTTTTAAACCAACATTCAGCTGTGAAGTGACGGCAATCCTCATCTTGTATGGTCTTCCGAGGTACTTTCAGACATTGTTTCGATCTTGTCTGAATCCTGTGTAACTTTTTGTCGATTCTTGATCGTTGGATTCATCCAGATTACTGACTGGAATCATATTGGCCCATGAGATGATGCACGCTTGGCTGCGACTCAACGGTTCTTTCGATAACTCCCGAACGCTTTTCATATTTACTTAATGTCTTAATGCCAATATTTCTCCTTTGTCCGAAGGGTACCAAAATCTGAGACAAGATGTCGAAGAAGGGATATGTCAAGTCGTCGCCAGCTTGTGGTTGGACTCGCGGATCGTCGAATCTTTGTCCAAAAGGGATGGCGCGACGACCACATCAAAACAGGGATCGATGTCTCCGTTTGAGAGGAAACTCGGCAAGTTTTTAATGCATCAGATGGCGACAGACTCATCTGATGTTTATGGAAATGGCTTTAGAGCCGCGCGTCGCGCCGTGGTCGGGTTCGGGTTGCGGAGAACCTTGGACAGCTTACGCAAGACTGGACATTTTCCCAGTTGAATCTGATACTTTACTCTACTTGGAAATATTTTATAAAAATTGAAAAATTACATTATATTAATCATCAAAATAAAAATTATATATATATATATAAGCAATATTAATGTATTAAATTTAAACTCTCGAATATTTAAAATATTTCGACCAGGATGAACTGATGATGATAATAGTTCATTTCTACCTCGTCAGTTTTATTTATTCAGTTTTAACTCATATGCAGTGCTGCAGTTTAATTATAACTCTATTTTTCACTATTATTTTTTAAATATTCAATTTTTTTTATTACTTTAAACAATTTTTTATTTTTATAATTTAAAATAAAAATTTTAAAAAATAAAAATTAAATTTATAATTTTAAAAATTAAAAAAATAAAAAATAAAACAACGACTAAAATCAAAATTAGCGTTGAATTTGGCTTGTCCAAAAAAAGCGCGTTCGGTCGGCTCGGGTCGGCGATCGGCCCGTCCGAGGTTGGCTTCTTGCGCTGTGTGCCTGTCCCGAAGGAAGTCTATTGTTCGAAATTTGCGTTCCGTCCTGCGCCGCTCGCCCCCCAGGGGCGCCGCGGCGTCGGGCGGACCCGATAGCGTCGGCCGCGCTCCGCCCCCCGCTCGCCCTCCCGGGCGGCGCGGGGGGCTGGCGCGCGGACGTCGCCCGTCCCCCCGGATGTGGAAAGCCCGTGCGGGCAGGACACCCCCGGCGCCTATGTGCCCCGATTTCATTCGCAGCGGCGTCCCCGACGCTGGCTGCGTGCGAGCGACGTCCACCGCCGCACGGCCGGGTTGGAGATGCACTAATAGGAGGAAGAAATTAGAAATGGTGTGTGGACTGACGATGATGATCACTCCTTGAAGCGTTGGAATTGTGGCAGTCCGTACGAATTCCTTTTATAGATTTAATACACTTCATAATTTATAACACGTTAGACATCCCCCAAGAATTTCGTGAAAATTAATGTTCAAAGAATTCTAGTAATACACAACAGGCTGACCGGCGCCGGCGCCGGCGCCGCCAGGGCCATGGAGACCTGGATGGCTGCCACGTCCAAGGCTATTGCCTCGTGGTCGGTCACGATTGACCAAAAATCATCCTCCAACTTACGAGGAAATGACATTTCTGAGCCTTCTTAAAATCGACTTTTTCTTTAAAAATTTGTTTTTGAATGCAAAGACTTTTCAGAATGTCAAACTTATATCCGTTTATATCGTGTGTTTGTAATTTTAAAAAGAATAAATAACTATAATTTTTTCGTACAGATAGAGTATTATTTTTTAAAAAATAATATAATTTTGAATTTATATTTGTTGAAATGCAAACTTAAATTTTTCATTAAAATATTAAAAAAAAAAAAAAAAAAACTCAAATTTTATATAAATTCTACAGCCTGATGACTCGCACATTGATTGTGATTTTAGAAAGCCTTCGTAATATGCGCAAGTGTTTCAAAGTTTCTTTACAGTAAATCCTTTTGTTACAGGCAGTTCAAAATATTTTTAAAAAAAAAAAAGAAAAAAAAATAGTGATTGATTTGAGAATAGAATTATTAGATGCAATCCCAAATTCCAAATAAATTTTACGAAAGAGGCTAAGTCCAAAGATAACAATTTCTAATGTTGAATTAGTCCAGTTTGATATAGTATTATTTTTTTTGTTTTTCATTTTTGCTAATCTTGGAAGCTCCAGGACTCCGACTCCAGGCCCGTCCGCACTGCATCTAGCAGCTGGACTTCCCGGAGCTCCCAAGAATCAACCCTAGCTGGAGAGGGGAGGGCTAGCCACGCAACAGGCAAAAGAAAGTCTGTACTCCTTAAAACCGAAACTCCAATGATTAGGTTATACAAAAATCAACTTAATCCAATTATGAAGAAAAACAAAAAAAGTGGGGAAGGAAATGGCAGATTGATGCAGCAGGGAGGGAACTGAGTCCAAGAGACAGAAACGACAAAAGGACAGCACAAAGGTTCAATTGTTGGAGCCAATCCGCCATATCTATCCCCTCATTCAAAGGTTGTTTCAGATTTCACCGCAACCTAAACATCACTACTTTTCTATATATATATAAAAATTAATTAATCAATAAAAGTGGTGGCTTCAGGTTGAAGGAAGGTTCCAGCCATTGAAGGAAGAATTTTAGTGATTGATTTATTCGAGAGTCAGACGTCACCGCAAAGCGAAGCAAAGCTACGTTGTTGTCGTTTCCATTCTTTGTTCGATTTGGGTAATTTCCTCCATTAATGATGGCGGCTGCCTGTTAAGCCCAACATTCTCTCCTCGAGCGCTTGGCTGCTGTTCTAAATTCTAATCCAAACCGCAGGATTGCTGCTGGGTCGGGTCAACTCCCGATCCCCTATTTCGAAATCGATAATCTTATCGTCTTCGAAGATATTCCTGTTGTATTGGCGATCGATTCGGCGGAGATTCATTCGTTCCTCCATGCATATATATCCAATCGAAGCACCATCTACCTCCTCGATTCTCCATGTCAGGTACGAACAAATTGTACAATCGAATCCGACGGATTCTTCTACTTAATTCTGTCGGACGTTTCCAAGTTTTGTAATATTTGTTTCTACGTGTTTCGTAGTTTTCGTTAGATCTTGGCCGATTTCGTGAGGTTTTTGGTTTTTAGTGTCGATTTATTTCCGAGATCTGGTTTTGTGCTGATATTGATGATGAGTTTCTGCAATGTTGAGACTGTCTTCGCTTTGCTGATGCTTTCGATGTTAATTTTGGTAGCATTCAGACAGCTTTGGTAATTGCCATTTTATTAATGCTTTTTCTTCCATGGCTGGGCACATTTCTTGCATCCTCCGCAATTCCATAATTGAGGAGAAATTTTTGAATTCCAGTCGGGGACTAACGTAATCCACAATTAGGAATGTCTGTCTGCAAACTGTTTGTAGAAATGTCAAAGTGCCCAAACTAGCATCTCATCATCATTTCTGCTTTAACTTTGTGCTAAAATTGGCAAATCTGCTGAGGTGTTCTTGCTACAAATTGTTGTGTGTTCTTCAGCTGGCTGACTGTATTTATTTCCTATTCTAGATGGCAAAATGAGCTGTGATTCAATCACGATTTCGATTACGACTACGCCCATTGATCTTGATTCGTGATCAGTCAGAAAGCCGAAAGAGGCAAAGAAAAGAATATCCTAATCTACAAAAAAGTCTTATCTTGATTAGGATGGAGATCGGCAGCCAATCCCTCGACTCTTCAAAAGAATTGAAGCATTACCCGTTGACGCCATTTAGGATCGTCCGAGGTCTGATATGTTTAGCAGTGTATCTTGCTACCGCGTCGATGTTCTTGGTGTATTTCGTGCCTCCAGCTATGCTCGTGCGCCTATTCAGCGTGCATTACAGTAGAAAAATGTCGTCCTACTTGTTCGGGATGTGGCTCGGGCTTTGGCCGTTCTTATTCGAAAAAATAAACGGAACTAAAGTTACATTTTCCGGAGATAGAATTCCGGTGGAAGAGCGAGTGTTGATAATCGCAAACCACAGAACGGAAGTCGACTGGATGTACATGTGGGATCTCGCGATACGGAAAGGGTGCTTGGGATACTTGAAGTATGTCCTTAAAAGGAGCCTAATGAAGCTCCCGATTTTCGGGTGGGGATTTCACATATTGGAGTTCATTCCGGTGCACAGAAATTGGGAAGTCGACGAGCCGGTGATGCGGGAAATGCTTTCGACGTTTAGCGACCGTCGAGATCCGTTGTGGCTCGCGGTTTTCCCCGAAGGAACCGACTACACGTAAACGACTCTCTCTAGCTCGTTTTACGCGTTGCTATTATTCTTGTTTTGATTTTACTCATTTGGCTTTTATTGTGCTTAGTAAAGAGAAGTGCGCTAAAAGCCAGAAGTTCGCGAATGAAAATGGATTGCCGGTACTTAAAAATGTGTTGCTTCCGAAAACGAGGGGATTCAATGCTTGCTTGGAGATCTTGAGGGGCTCGTTGGATGCAGGTTTGATTTTGCTCGTCTTCTTACTACCGTTTTAGTTAATTTAAATCTTGAAGGAGTCGTATTCTTCGTAACGATTATGTTGATCGACTCCGTAATATATATATAAATTTATATATAAATTATATGTATTCATATAAGCTTAAATTTTTAGGTGCAATAGTTATTTAGTATGGTATGGGAGCTTATTTTTCTCTCAGAATAAATACAATTTGTTGTTGAAATTCTTACATGGTATCAGAATCGGAATGTCCTGTGTTCGAGTCCCACTCTCCTTATTCGTCGTAGTCCACGTGTAAGATTTGTATGTAGCGTATATTTACTTTGGTTGTGAGAGGACGTGTTTATTGACTCCATAAAATATACTCCTGTCCCAAAAGAGTTTCTTGTTTTTCCATTTTCGTTTGTCCTAAAATAATTGTCTTTGTTGTTTTATTTAGTAATCGTGGTCTCCACTATACAACAAAATTATCTCTATTTTTCAAAACTATCCATAATTATCACTTTAACTTACTTTTTTCAACCCTTTATAAAGCAAGAATAATTTGGTCATTTACATTATTATTCCTTAAGTCTCAAGTCTACTACTAATGAGATATTTCTTTAACATTTACTTATTGAAACCATATGCGCAGTTTATGACGTGACAATCGCATACAAGAACAGGCTGCCGACTTTTCTGGACAATGTGTTCGGCGTGGATCCTTCCGAAGTACACATGCACATTAAGCGCATCCCTCTCGACAAAATCCCTTTGTCCGAAGAGGAATCCTCCGCATGGTTGATGAACGAATTTGTGTTAAAAGATAAGCTTCTGACCGATTTCATCGTCAACGGCGAATTTCCCGATCAAGGGACGGAAAGGGAGCTTTCGACTGCGAAATGCGCCGCAAACTGCGCCGTGGTTATCGCCGTCACGATTGTTTTCACTTTTCTGACCTTCTTCTCGGCCGTTTGGTTCAAATTGTACGTAGTCTTGGCTTGTCTCTACCTAGTTTGTGCTTCTTCTTTGAATTTCAGACCGTCCCCTCTTTTGGACACCTTCGTTGGAAAGAAATCTTTGTAATTTTAAGACAATTGTACGATGGTTTTTTATTTCTTTTTTCTTTTTTTTTCCCTATTGAAATAGAGTCGAATTCCATTGCAAAGTTTCTACTTCATTATTATGTGATTGAAAAGGAAAATTGAAGATGGAAATAGTCTATGGAATGGATGTGTTCCAATAACGAAAATTTAAGGTAACATTGGCTATAAAATTTATAGGTTAAAGTTTGAATGTAGAGTCTATTATTGAAGATAGGACAAGATACTATGCATTTAGCATCTACCAGATAAGAGGTGGTTAATTTTCTGGGGGACAAACAAAAGAATAAAATAAATAAGTTACAAGAATGGCGTCGCCCGGACTCGAACCGGAGACCTTCAGTGTGTTAGACTGACGTGATAACCAACTACACCACGACACCTTTGTTTGTGTAATTTTAATTAAAATTATTATATATTTTCTTTACGTTCTCCTTAAATATCTAAAGCAGTTGAAACTGCATATATTAATATCATTCATTTTTGTTGCAGAAAAAATATATAAAAAACATTGTATTTATGATAGATTAATAAAAATATGTATATGCAAAAAATAATCTCACAAATAAGGAAGCAGAAGAGACTGGCAAAGAGAAAATAAATACATTTACCAGGAAGGCCTTAGGCCAAAAACTTCAAAAAAAGAAAAAAACCACATGTCTTGCTTCCTCCAACATGTTTTTCTTTCTTCTTCTTCTTCTTCTTCTTCTTCTGCTACAGATTAATTCCTAAGTCTGGTTTGGACTTTCTTTGAAAGCCAAACTCTCAACTCAACTCAATAATTCATTCCCACCCATTTTTCTCCAAACACTTTTACTGGCTGGGATGGGAAAAAATAAGAAATTCTACCATTTTTCTCCCCTACAAAACCTACACAATTACCAGATTAATAACAAGAAAAATAAACTAAAATGTTTCCTATAATATACATAGTTGATCGACATCGATCCCTTTTGTCTTAGAGCCAAGAATTCAGCTCACCCCACCCTGTGCATAGCCCTTCATCTTCATGCTCGTTGCTGAAAAGCGTTTGGTCGGAGCAGTCGAGTGAAGCCCCGCACGCTAAGTTGTACCATTGGCACGCCGAGTGGCACACTCGTAGCCTGTTGTCATTGTCGTCGCATTGTTGGATGGATATCTGTCCCGACCAGACATGAATTTTAAAAATGGATGGGCCGAAAATCTTTAGCCAAAAAATCGTTATTTTAGAAGAAAACTTACCCAGCAGGCCAATCGCTTTGCAGCTCCGTCGCAGTCGCGGCCTCTAATGTAATTTAGAATTTTCCGAGGACCTCCGGGAAATAATCTGTGGTAGTTGGGCATTACGACGACTTCTTCCAGCTGTTGCAGGACACTTAATTCACTCGGCGCGCAGTGCTGACCCAACATGTCTTTCTCCAGAACGTCTTTGCAGACTGAGAGGCTTGGGAGAAGCATCGAATTGTTTTGGCATGTGTAGCCGGCGTAGTCAGAGCAACGAAATTCACAAACACCGTTGTCGCAGACCCCTCCATGAAGACTACATTGCTCATCGCAAATGGCTGCAAAACAACACTCGGATCATGATATTGTTCTCGCAAGAAAATCGATTAACTGAAATATATGTATGTATATGTAACCTGTAGAGCAGTCGGCTCCGGTGTACCCTTGTTCACAGTTACAAATGCCGGTTTTAAGGCATTTTCCATGGCCGCCGCAATTATTAGGGCAAGAACCTGTGTACGATACGAACAAGTGGGATAAATTAACAATGACTGACCGAATGTTGTGACTTGTGAATGAAATGGTTTTAAGGAACTTACTTCGGCTACAGTCGTGGCCTTCGAATCCCAAAAAGCAGTGGCACCTTCCATCGACGCAATCGCCATTAAAATTACATGAATTAGGACATTGACCAGATGCCGGCACAGGCTCAACATTGCAGAGCTCATGGTAAGCAGGGCATATCAATTCACCTATGATAAACATATGTATATATATATATATACAGCGGATTTCTTTAGAATTATTCGATAAAAGTTTATATTATATGGCCCGAATGAGTAATCTTGCCATTACCATTAAAGCCGGGAAATTGAACAGCTCCACCATTCACTGAACATGCTTTCCAAATTCCATCAACGGCAACCTGAGAAAACAACCAAAAACTACTACTCATACCAGGATTGATCCACACGACTAAAACAAAAGCTTTAACCGTATTATTTCAGGAAGAAATGTTTAAATTGAAACGGCTTTTGCTCCAACATTCATAACAAGGGAATAAAGAAGTATATTGTTGCACAAAACTCTACCTCCAGTTTGTTGTCTATGCATCTGTGCTGATAACAACCATTTCCTTGGGTGGTCGAACCCCTCACAAATCCATTACGGACTAGAGACGAGGCCATGCACCTATATGGAAGAATTTGACAATCATCAACAGTCTGCCAATTTAATTTCGGAGGATATGAGAAGCCAATTTTTACCTTGAGTTACTTCCCCGGACTTCACCCAGCATCCGGTCAGGTGACCTAGCACTATTAGTATCTGTACACGAACCATCAGAGTATGGAACAAAATAAGTGCAATAATCAGCCAGCGACGATTGACCACCTGCACAAACAAAAACGACTACAGTAAAATGATATGCATTTACAAAAAGATGAAAACAGATGACAATTTCACAATATTATTTACAGCAATATATTGACGGATCAAGAACACAAAAAACTAAAGCAGAGTGAAGAAAGATTAAACAAAAACAAGAAAAACCTTTATTAGCTTGAGGGAAATAGCGAGCCCATTGTGGAAGATCTGCACTGTAATTTACAATAGGGCAGTAACCTTCCGCCTCCCTGTTATACGTGCATCCAGATTGTTGTGTAGAGTTGCAATGATATGCACCCTTCCAATGGTTGCAAGGTAATGTAACAAATTCAGTTCCCTGGTTGCGTCCCCAGTCGAGACGTTCAGCCATGCTGTAATTAGCCTGATACCATCCACTGTCCTCAAGTAAAGCAAGTGTCATTTTAGAAACTACTGATCTGGTATCAACCGACCCCGTCATTATCTCATTCATCATAAGTCTTTTCTCCCAGTGAGATCCTATGGTAAGGTTATGGCAATAAATTAATCAGCAACAGGAATTTCATGGCCTTAAAAAGTGCATGGAACATATTTTTAGAAGCAGAACTGTTCTAACTCAATCGAATACTTTACACAAGATTAGTTTTCATAAGTTCAAAATTACTCCAAGGCCCAAGCAATCAAATTGTTCTATCAATACCCAAAAATTATCATTACAACGATAACAAGATATCTACTCAATATTATAATTACAGACTCAATTTGATGTGTCAGATCAAGTCGATGTGAATAGAACATTGAACTAAGTAATCACCTGACGTTCCACGGCCACCACCCTCTTCAAGCTCCAAACCAGTAAAATTTTCAGAGAAGGCCTGCCAATAAACAATTAGTGGAGCTTTGTTTACTCATGATTTGCCATGTTTCAAAGAGAATCTTACAAAAATGTCTTCTCTTCAATTTCCAGTCTAAAACATGTTCCATCAAATTAAAGAAAGCACAATTAGAAAGAATCAAAAACCCTACCCCGTAGTGGTAACGTGAATGCATTACAACTCGAGGAAGCACAACTCTTGTTACCATCCGCCCAAGTTTTTCATCCATAACTTGGTCAGTTACCTACAAATAGAAACATATAATAGTGTGCATCAGCGCACATCCATAAATAGCCGTTTAACAATAGAATCCATAAAGTGTTATGTACCAAATATAATTACATCGAGAGGAGAATGACATTGGACACTTGTGTTTGTGTGTGTGTGTGTGTGTGTAAAGAGCATCCAATTATGAATCTCTTGATCATGGGAAACATGTGCATACCCGAGTGCGCCTTCTTTTGCTCTCATCCCGGAAATGTGAAAAGGCATGGGGATCAAATCCAAGAACATGCATTACCTATAAAAGCAAAATTACATGAAAAGGCTACTTACCTAACATTCAATCAATTTAGGTATAACTTACTTACCTCATGGATTAGAGTAGCAGAAAGTAAACTTTCTGCCTCTGCAGTCAAGTGGCGAGGTGCAACATTAACATGTCCTGCTCGCAAAAGAATAATTCAATAAACTAATCAAAGGATATCAATAAAATGTGTAAAAGGAACCAAATCATTCCTATAAATTTATACCAGCAATAGCACGGCCCCATTGATCACGTTCACATGCCACAGCCCAAGCTAGAGTGTTCCCAGTTGTCGGTCTTGTAGTAACCAGAAGAACCAAGTCTGCATTGGCAATGCCTTCTGAAAAGATGAAAAGAAACAATTAGTCGCTGATGGATGGAATATAGCTATAAAACCTATGAATGATAGCCAATTCCAAATAAAGAGACCTTCCACGTATTGCCTAGGAAGTTGAACACCTCCATCTTGACCGCATGCAGAATATCCACTCAACCGTAAATTACCTCTCACAGGCTCAACTGATAGAGCTCTACTAAACCAGTCTGCCGTTTGCCCAAGCGCCTGGAAACAAGTTAAACATGTAGCTTGCTTTCAATATTCAAGCCTTGAACATCAAATCAACCAGCTAGTAACAGATAAGAACAATAGAGAAGCAATTGTTCAAAAAATGACAACTTATTTGGCACAGAATTTCTTAACTCACAACAACCAAGTATCCTAGCATTTCCTCAAAGATTAAAATTTGATAGTATCACGAAACAAATGATCATTAGTACAATTTTAACCTTCCGAAGGCGATGCTTTTTGTCTTCCCCAGCTATATCATCAAGTGTGCAATTATACCAACAATCAGCATAAATTGGAGGATCTGCTTGAGGATTACAGGAAGGTGTACCGGAATATGAAGCTCCTGTGGGTTCCCCGAGCTGGAAAAGATATACAGAAGTAAAAGGGAAAGCAATTGAACATCAGCATAAAACTAAAATAAATTCCACAAGAGAAGCTTTTCTCTCTTTTTTTCCCCAAAAAAAAGCGCTTGCCTTTACAATGTCCCCCACATTTCGGCAGTCTCTATCAGATGAATGACCAACAGCATCATAATTCAAGTAAATTCTAATGGGTTGCCTAGCAGCAGTTTGCCGCTTTGAATATTTAGAAACACCGAGCAATGTCCTTCCCCTTCTTTCGAAAAATGAGGGAACATGAGGTCCAGCATAAATCTGAGCCGACACAGAATACACTTTGTGGCCAGGTCTCTTCCTTAGTTCGATAATCTGATCGTGTATGCATGAATGAGATATTACACTTTCCTTGTCCTGTTCGAGCACTTCTTTCTGCAACCCAAATTCTTTTGATGTTGCATAAGCAGCTTCCAAGAGCAATAACACCAATAAAACCTGACAGATCGATTCAGAGGTTAGCTTCATGGGATTCTAGCGAATAAACCAAAGAAATATCCCATAACATGTTTAAAATTTCAAAACACATCCACTTCACCAAAAATTGAAATCCACAATTACAAAAAACTCAGAGAAACCAAAGGGGAAAAGGCTAAAGCCCCATCAAGCTCCCACACTAATGCCCACATCACCCAAAAAAAGGAAAAAAAAAAAAAGGATTTAAGAAAACTTAGTGTTTCAAATGAATGTAAACCAAATAAACAACACAGAAACAAGATAACTAAGCAAACAAAAAAAGAAAAAATTGAATTGAAACTATAAGAGTAAGGCAGACAAGAATTTTACTAACAGAAAATGAGGCAAACCCCTAAACGAAAACTTCCAAAAACACAAGACATACAGAAGTAAATGCACCCACCAAATCTTAATATAATCAACCGCCAGTTCCCTAAAGTCGGAAAGAAAACAAAACTCTGTAACAAAGAAAAGAAGAAAACCCCAAATTCACAGCTCTCGTATCAAACATAAGCAGACAGTTCTAAAGCCAAAGCAAAAAATTTCACTTTTATGCATCCGCAACATTTTCAGTTTCTCAAAATCCAAATCCCATTAAAATAACAATACAGCAACACACAGTGAAGCATAAAGCAAAAGGCAAAAAAAAAAACCTAAACAATCTCACCTTGACACAAACCAGTGCAGGATTCAGTAAAAATCGGTGGATCGAACAAGCCTCGACGCATCGATTGCACCGAATCCTCAACTCCATGAAACGACGCCGTCTAGCAAACGCAGAGCCGTTCCCATCAAATCACCGGCGCCCCCAAGATCGCGCCGCTCCCGGAAAATGCGCTCAAGCCTCCCCACATTACACGCAGTGCACAAAAACCCTCAAAACTCTCCACCATAAAAATTAAAAAAAAAAAAATGACAAAGGTCGCAACTTTCGAAACAGCTCCTCCGAAATCAGCTCAGCTGTCACTCGATTCACACACCCTGCTTCCCCCAATCTCGCAAACTCGCCTCCAACACCACTGTGCAGTGGAAAGCCGACGATGGGTGAGGCCGATGAACCAATGATGCTCGATTTTCGCAGATAATTAAATAAAGCAAAGCAACTGCGAATTGGTGGGGTGGGTGGAGAAGTAGCCGTCGACTCGAATTACCTTACCCCCCTCGATGCAATTATATAATTAATTTAATTTAATTTAATTTGCATTATTAATTTTTATTGACTATATGTAAATTTGGAATAATATACAATAATAATAATATATTATAACTAACTGATAAATATTAATACAAAAACATATGTGCTTTATTTCATTCTGGCAAACATTATTTATTGCTTTGCTACTCTTGTATGAAAAAATACCGTGTCAAAAAAAAGTAGTCTGTGGAATTACAAGATTACCCTCCCGTTTTGGGACTTTTGCATCAAGGCTGCAACTGCAATTATTATTTATAAAGAAATATATTATTATTATTATTTATTAAATAAATTATTATACATATATAATATTATATGATTGGTTTGGATAAAGTTGGCTTTGATATTAATTCAAGTGTTTGTTAATATAATATACAGTGTGGATAAAGTTGGTCGTGTATTATTACTACTATTATTCATTTATTTTTAAAAGTATATAAATTAATTAAATGATAATAATGATATTTTCCGATAATACGTGAATTGTAACAATTACAATTACTAAAAAAAAACCAAATAGATTAATTTTGAATAGATTAAATAACAAAATAAATAAATAGATTCAAAATCGACTACTATTATTACAAATTTGAATAATTTTTTATATAAATTATAAATATATTATTATGCATGCAAATTTTATATATTTACACTTATTAATAAAATATTATTTTTTTAATCCAGTAAAAATATATATAAACACCAATTAAACTTTGTTCATTTACATATTATAATTTTTTCATAGTATTTATTAATAATTGAAAATTTTAGAAAATAATTTTTTTGTACTTTACATATTAAAAAAAATAAAAATAAAAATAAAATACTAAAGAAAAAGATCTATATAAACTCATATTGAACAATAGTTTGTCCATGATAATTTTTAATTTTAGAATGTCAATGATTAGAATAAAATAACAATAATATAAGTTTTGTACTTTTGTCTATCATAAAATATATTTTTTATTTTTTTATGTCTAGCTATATAAATAAATGTTAATCTACCGATAAATAGAATTGAACCACATTATTAACATATGGAATATTAATATACAATTTTTATTTTTTTTTTAATAATGTAAGAACTGCAGCCGCTACCCGAAAATACGCACTGAAAATTGGTGTGTTATTTTCTTTCTATAATTTTATTAGCTTTTTAGTATGTATAATTAAAATAATTTAAACCCACTATTTTCAATGACAAAATGTAATATTTTTTTTATTTGAAAATAATTAAATTTATATATATATATATAAAGTCAAGATGCTTGGTTGAATAAAATCATGTCTCTTATCATTACAACAATTATTAAAAACACAAAATAAACCAATGCATATAACTTGTAAATTAAGATAAATTAAATTACTAAATAAATAATATGTATTTGAAAAGAGTCAACAAATCTAACGATTTTGTTTGAATATAGGTACACAATTTGGACTGTTGAACTAATTAAGTTAATAATAAAAATAAAAATAAAACATTTAATAATTACATTATTATTATAAAGGGCAGATGTAATTAATTAATCAATCAATTAATTAATTAATTAATTGTGTGTATGTGGGAAAGTTAGGTTAGCTGATTTGCTGACCTAACACTATATATTATTATTATTAAATAATATGATTAAATTATTAATTGAGATTTGAGAGTAGGGCTATTTAGGATTAATAATTTAATAGTGTAAATAAATGCATTGTTTAATTTAATTATTTTTTGTTGGAAATAAATCAATAAATATGATTTGATAGTTATAAATACAGCTAATATTGTAGTAAAATAAAATAAAATAAATTGTAAATTGGGTGGGGGCCAATAATCGAAATGCAATAAAGTATGGGCAGTTTGGTAGAAATGATGCCACAAAACTAAAACTGGTGTAACTATTGACCTATATGATGTGCAGTGGTTGGTTCTTTTTTATTTTTATTTTTTTACCTAATTTAATTTTTTATTTTTTATTTTTATGTATATATGTTTATTTATTTAAATAAAATTGAAATCCGAATTTGGAATTGTTAATTTAAATTTGATTGATTTTGATTAATAGTGGTAAAGTTAGTATGGTGTAGTGTGGGTTGGGACTGTTGCCTCTAACTCAACTATAGTTGGTTGATTGGGTGGATATTTTATTTTATATAATTAAGTGAATAAATATTATTTGAAACTTTTAAAAATAAAATAAAATTGTAATTACAAATTTTTTTTTTTTATTTTTTTTTATTTTTTTTATTTTTTATAATCACCAATCCATCGTAACATTCTTGAGTGTATTTGCTTTTAATTTATTATTTCTGCATATATTCTCTCTATATATAAAATAATAGTACTCCATCCGTCTCAATACAATAGTTTTATTTATCATTTTTGTCCGTCCCAAAACAATACTCTTACTTCCATAAATAACCATATCACTGTAAAACTACCCCTACTTTTTTTTTTTTATTACACAATTGCCACTGCATTTTATACTAATACACTTACAATGCAAAAAAATCTTTTATTCGTACTTTTTACCAATTACCAATATAATATCAATATTTGTTAAATCTTATGGGACGGAGGGTGTATATATTTTTCTCTATCATTTAATCTACAAAAGTTTGACTTATAAATTTTTAAGGTTACAGTTATAGAAAATTACATTACGGAGGTAACATTCAATTTAGTTCTAAATTCTTAAATCAATATATGAACACAATATAAATTAAAAGATCATGTCTTGAGAATACAAACTTTTAAAGTACCTATGTTCAATAATAATAATAATAATAATACACATTATAAATTACAAGTTTCTTACAATTTATATTTCAATATAAATTTAAACACAAGATAACTTACTATTCACAATAGATATTAATTAAAGAAGATAAATTATTTATATTTAATCTTTTTATTTCTATATCTCTTGTAGATAAAACTGATTTTTCATTTCTTATATATATATATATATATTTAATTTGGTGATGATGGCTTGTGAATTGGGATAATAATTTTATGGTGGATTCTCACTCAATTTCAAAAGTAATCAACATTATATTTTGATTATTGATAAAATTAATTACATTAATTTTTTTTAAGCTCTTACATTCATAAGAATTTTTTGAGTATTAGAGTTTTGAAAATTTTATAAAAATTCAATGTGATGTTTAGTAATAGATAATATAGAAACTTTATATATATATATATATAAATAATACTATTTCTATTTAAAAGAAAAAACCAACACACCCAAATTCTATGACAAAAATAATAATTAATTAAATACATATACATATATAGTTAATATTATGGGTTGAATATCCACATTGGAATTAGCGTTGGGATTCTCCTAATAAAAAATTACTATTATTAACACCCAATTTATTTTAAATTGTAAATTCAAATCCTTTATTTTAATACATGAATGGTATCAAAGTATACTCTTTTTGTAAAAAAAATTAATTTTACCTAATAATGAGTGTGGTTTTTTCGCCAAATTTCAAAATTCTACTATTTGAATTAAGACAAAAATATATATATATATTTTTTTTACAAAATATCTTATTATATATTATTTTAATATTAAATTTAAATAAAATTTCGGTAAACAATCTCACAGCACTTACGAAACAAGACACATTTTGTGTGTCCCCTGTCCCCGAAAAAACCCAAAATAGCATAAGCAGAGTGGGCCCTCCTCAAATTTATTATTGTTGCAGACTGTCACAATTTCAATGAAACTCAAACAATTTTCTAATAGCAACCAGAGCTTTTGAACGCACTTAGCCATTCCTAAATTCGATGGCTTAAGGCTCGTTCCCATCGTTAACGAGTCGAGTCGAACAATATAAACAAGTACATTTGGTTAATCAACCAGGGACCTCCTAAAACCCGAACTTTGTTCGCGAATATTCGTTTAAATAATATATTTATTACAAATATTATATGCATATAAAATTATAATTTATAAATAAATAAATAAAATATTAATTTAAATATATAAATGAAATAATTCTAAAATTTCTTTTTAATTTATATATAAATTAAAAAAAGTGAGACAAACAAGCTTAATCGATCATATACGAGCCGAACACAAATACGAGTTCAAACAATAAAATTTTTTAACTAGCCGAGCTCGAACACTACGAACAAACTGAAAAGCTTAACGAACGAACACGAACCTTATTCGCGAACGTTAACGAACACTTAAAATTTGGCTCGACTCGACTCGTTGACCGCTCTAATTAAAGCACCCCAAAGAAACAAGCAAATACAGTCATGTAAGAATGACTTAGTGGTGTGAGGATGTATTTATGACCGTAAGGTCATGGATTCAAACCACTGACGCCTTCGGATCACCTACCACACATGATTCACCTAGTGTGACTTGCCAAGCCTAGTTTGCAGAATATTAGGTTCGAATTTGTTATAAAAAAGAAACAAGCAAATACATACATACATACTTTGATTTATTGTCTCAGTTACTTAAATTTAATAAAAGTCACCAAAGACTTATATTACAGACCTTACTCAATATCATCAATGGAAAGGGAAGAAGCAAACACTCATTCTAACCAAACAAACATCTATATATATATCTATATCTATAAACAGCCCTCTAAAGGGTTTCTTGCAACCTCAGACTCAACCATCATGATCTTGTAACAACTCCACAAACCCAGGTTCCGACAGTGCCCGAAAATTCGACGACTAAACTACACGGTAGGATAGAGAAACCACTGACCTGATCGATTCGATTTGAGCTCAAAATGAGAAGCAGAAATACAGTTTGATCTTCTTCAATCTCCCCGAACCGGCTTTCTTTTCTCCGCTCGGACCGGCGCCGTTAGCGTCCTTTTGTTCGATGATTGCTGTCTCATTGCCATCGGAGGGGCTTCGTTTTGAAGCTGTCTTATTGATTGGACTTTCGATGTCTGGACCAGTTTGATTGCCCTCGACTGGTTCAATTATAACAGCATCACTCGGTCGAGATCCTAGGATGGGATTTCAGACAAAATGTTAGGGGAATTCAATCTCTTGATACAGGGGCAATGGCAGTGGCAATTTTGGTATAACTTTCGGACATACCTGACGGGGCACGCTGCAAAACAACGTTGTCGACAGATGTTGCGACGCTAAGGTTCAAATTCGACGGCTTCCCCTGCTGGCCGACGAATTTGTTCTTGTCCTCCTCGATCTCCCGCAGCAAATCCAAAGAATCAAAATACACTTCTGATAAATTGCTGGCGCAGCTCGAATTCCTCGAGCTCGACGACTCCGATCCGGGATCTACTAGATCATTCAATTCCAAGAAATCGCCTCTCGCAATGCAATCCCGATCGCACGAATCTTGAGGAGAAAAGCTCATTTCGATACCGTCCACCTCCGGTAGCTCTCCCCACATTGCCTACCGACAACCCGATAAATAAAATTACAAACTTTGCGATAGGGAAATCGAAAACTGCAAATGATCCCAACCTTCGATTCGGCGAGTGGATCGTGGCCGGAGGGATTGTTGATGTCTGGGATGATAGATTCTAGTAGCAGATCGATCTCCTTCGACTCGTTGTCGGTTTCGGCGTTGTGGGGCCCATTGGAGAGGAAGACTCGGCACAACAATCTCGAATCCTGCTCGATTTCGAACGGCGCAAGTAAAACGATGGAGCCAGCTGGAATACAAAACGACGAATGAATACAAACAAGCGGTAATTGGGACCTTTGTCGCGTCGTCGGTGCCGAGATCTGTCCGGGTTACGCTGTACTCTTGCATAATCCAGTCGGTTCTTTCTCCTCCTTCGAAATATTCTTGAGTGATTCTCCAACCCATGATGCTGTCGTTCGAGTAAATCTTACAAGGTTCTCCGACGGGTTTCCACAATCCATGATCCGATTTCGTTTTCTGGTGGGAGGGGAATATGAACCAAAATCCTTCTGCAACCAAATCAAAAGGGATTTTTCCTAAATCTCGGCAAATCTAAACAATCCATCGTAATCAGTTAGCAATTTTATTAACTCTAATTCATCCTCCTGAGGCATCGAAATTAATAAATCATCAAACCCAAAAAATCGAACCTGGCAAAACGGAGGGCGGGTGCTGATAAGGGCTTAAATCATCCAGCACGTTGCTCGGGAGATTCGACTCTTTGGTGTACTTATCTAACAATAAAATGAGTTGCTCGTTAGTCCAGTGTCGATCGATCTCAGGAGGAGGAGGGGGCACCGGCAGAGTACACATTTCAATCCAAGCCAGCCGAGAAGAAGCAGACGACCCGAAGAACGCGCCTCGTCTGAATTAGTAGGTAATAGGTGACACAAGGCGTTATAAAGAGGCTAACCGAGTCGAGAAATATATATGTAATAAAAAAATGTTATCACCGCAGTGTGATGGTGACATATGTCGGCGTAAATTTCACAAGCTATACGAGCAATGTGATTAGATTAAGAGAAACACATAATTATCACAAGTTTACAGTAATGGGGGCATAATCAATGTGATCTTAATTTAAACTAACGAACTACAGCTGGATTGTGCTCATGCTCTTACAGCGCGACTCAAGCCTACGTAAAATAGACGTCATCGTGATAGAGAATCGTTCACATTTACATACGAATACTCTTATCACAAGATCTACACAATACGTTATAGTCTTTATTAACCTGCACAAATTCGGCTACGGTTACGCCGCAAACAATTCATTAATGAACTCGGAACCATAATATGCAAGAGCAATGTTCATTTTTAACATCTCATCACTAAGGGTGTGTTCGTTTCGAGAATTTCAACCAATTTATACTATTCAACAAAATTTTTCACCAAAAAAACATCAAATTAAATGCTTATTTTTATTTTTTATATTATACAAAAAAATCAATTTTACATTCAAAAACAGTTATCCACTTTGTCATCGATGATGAGATGTCTGCTACCAAAAAAGTTTACCACAATGATCGAGAAATTGCTTTAGAGTTGAAGCAACTTTACACACGGCTAAAACATGAGTTGAGCAAATAGAGCTTAAAGGTCTGATTGTTGTCAAAGATTCATGTACGAAAAACACCTATTTATATCACATTATGCAATTATTTCAATTCAAAATTTTTACTTCCGCCCAAACAAACACACCCTAAATGAATGTGGAAATCTTCGGATCGACGAGGTCTATCTCCAATTACACTAAGCAAATAATGCAAGATTCATCATCAAACTACACTACCAAAAAGTCATAGGAAGAAAACAAGGAGCAATCAACAATGGCAAGGAGTCATTCAAATAAGGACAGAATTTAACCTTTAAAATCTACATTAAACACAGCTCAACTCAATGACATTCTAAATCAAACATCACTGTAACAAACAATGGCTCCCAAGAAAGCACAAATTACCAAATCAAATTGCAGTTATTTCAAGAATCTAATCAGAGCCCAGAGATGTTCAACAATCAACATAACCACTAATCACCCAAGAAAACACAGAGATATAACATTAACATCAGATAAAAACAACAAGAAATGATGCATCGTCGCAACTGAGAACCATGGAAGGAAAAAAAAACATAAAAATGAACATGAACAACCAGCAAAATCAAGAGATGATTTATAACCTTTGTGGAGCGGAAATTAGGGGGAAGAGTTGAGGCCTCTCCTCCTCTCCCAGCTTCCTCTTCCCTCAGAGAAATCAATCCCAAATTAGGGATTACGAAGCATGAACAAAATTAGGGCAATTCTCAGAGGTTTTATTGGGTGGGGGTGAGGATTAGTGAGACCCCAAAAGTGCACTCGTCAACCGCGAAATTTGGCTATATTTGCTTCGACAAGATGTGGGAAATGACGTGTCGCCGTAGCAATGGCGGAGCTACGCAACTTGTGGGGGTCCCACGGCGTACGGTTCAAACTCATCAGACACCGCCCACTTCCATGAACATATCACTTTTTTATATCTTTCAATTTCATAATCGCTGTAATCTTTACGACTTTGTCCATATTCGAAGCCCTCTCATGAATTGGGATGGCTTACAAAAATGGGTTCTTTTGGAATTTGATTTGATCTGTTGATTCAACATTGATGCTGTAAAATTTGTCATCATTGTAATCCAAAAGATCCAACCTTTCTTCTTCCCCATTTTGTAAAAAACAAAAAACTACCCTTCGGACAACGAAAGAATTTTATCTGAATCAGTTAGGTAGTCGAGTGCATAGTTTCTTTCCACCATTTTAGTCCAAGAAGGGACCCCATGAAATTTGACATAGGTTTCAAAGAATTGAGGACAATAATGTTTCCTTTAGTGGTCCAATCGGAATTTTATCCTAAGAAAAGCTAAGGATGTTCACATTTGGATGTCTTTTATTATATTCCCAGATCTGTACAGACATGAGATCTTTTTTACAATCAAGAACCCTTGTTCAAATTGGGTTATGTGTAGAAGAAGGGACATTTGCTATTAGGAAAATCACTATCACTGACTGTAAGTGTAGGAAGATAAGATGTACCTTTGTCCCAATCATTTTCTTTGCTTAATGCATCTGGTTTTGACTGATGCATTTTGATTCGAGTAATGGTCAACACTAGAAAGGTCATGTCCTACACCAAATCTTTTTGGATGTGTAAGAAGAACATCACATTCTTAGCTACCAAGATAAGATAGAAATGGAAAAGCAGAGAAGCAGCACCATTGTCTCCATTAAATATACAAAAATACAAAATGTTTTAGATGATTGATTCCTTGTTCGATCCACAACTGTTCTTACATTCTATAGCACACACATATGTATCTAAAGATGGAAAGAATCAGCAAGAAAACAAAAGCATTGCAATTGGGAGCACACACATTAGTGTCTTTCTAGACCATAACACAGAAAAAAAACAGCAAACAAGCCCAAGAAATCGACGCCAAGCTATTTATGCGAATGCTATATGTCTTTTTACCTTACTTTGAGCGAACCATTTGCTGATCTTTTTAGCTCCCATGAAGGCAGGCATCCTTTCAATGGAGACTGCAGCAGCAATGAAGAAGTCGAGAGCTGCCTTTGCCTCGAAGAGATCGATGATAGGCATCTGAATGTGCTCCTCAGTCTCCTCTTGTCACTGTCATTGTAAGTTTGGTATTTAGCGTCATTTTGTACAGCCGTGATTTTGAGGGCCTCGGGTAGAGCAAAGCTGAATATTGAACCTAGGCAGGAAGAAAACACACGGGCAATGAATTCTAATTAAGGACATAACAATGACAGTTTTGTTGTAGTGATCGATATATATATGAGGAGGTACCTAATTTTGCGAGACGATTTACCCAGTTGGGAATTCTTTTCCCGGTCAATTTGTAACATATGTCCTTACAGAAATGGTTGCAGTTCTTCATGATCAAGTGGTATGTATCTCCATTGTAGCTCATGGCTTGGCATTCCATGAATTCCCTGACCTGAGCAGCATCCAGGGATGTTGTCCCGATGAGTATGGACTTCCTGAATTGGAATCCAGGGCATTGTCGAGGCTCAACTTCGAATACCCCACTAGAAGGATAATCATGAGCTCCAAATGCATATTCTACGCCGTGAACTGTGAAAAGCAATTAAAGTATGATCGATCCTCTTGAAGTTTCTTATGCCATAGGAGAATAATAAAAATATCAACAACAAGCTTACCTTCGACACCAGAGTGAAAGATACCTATGCCAGCCCAGTATACATAGCCATTCATAGGTGTCAGGTCGTATACGTTGAGATGAACTGGAGTGTTTTGAGGGCCATAGTTATTTGGCTTCACTTTCGAAAACAAACAGAAATCCCGCGTTGCAGACAAACTGAGCGGTACTATGGATTTCCACCCTTTTTCTGATCCTAATGTCATGCTGCTGCTTCTACAGGCATGTCAAGAACTTAGAGCAGTCTGCATACCTGAATAAAAACACAAGAGAACAAGCTGAGGTGCCATACGAAGAAAGCGCAAAAAATCACCAAGCACAAGAAGAATGGATTCTTCGTACAGGGAGAAATAAGATATAAAGCAACAAAAATAAATATCCCATCAAATCTAATTCTCACCCTGCTAAATGTTCGCTCATCAATAGTTATGACAATATACAATGTTGTAAGACATATGGATATTTAAGGATGCACGATGATGTAAAAGATATCGATTGTTAGCGAATGCATATCTCCAAAAGCTATCTTTTCCTTTAGAAAGAGGCACTGTAACATGCTTTCTTAGTCCTCTTTATTAACGTAATTGTGATGTTTTCTGAATTGCATAATGTTTACTCAGTTGCAAATTGCAATAAGCACAACTTCTCTCTGAAAGGGTAGATTTCGATGCAATTAGTTTCACACAAAGAAACTTGTGAACGGGCCATAGCTGCACAACCTCAAAATTCACCAGCACCGCCATATTTTCAACAGCCCCATTCATCACCAAAAGTAAAATAATAAGCCAACAACTCATGGACTAAATTATTCCAAAACTAAGAATTCAATAATAAAGATTACCATGGAAGTCAATCAGGGTTGAGAATGGTACCACAATTGGGTCAGATCTTGCAATCAAATTTGGAAGAACATTCACATCAAAAGGCTGAGGAAAAACAAAAAAAAAAAACAAGAAATTCTTAAAAATTGATATTAGGGCTTCAACAAATTCACACAGAATGGAAACTTTTTGCACCACCAATCAAATGCTGACCGTAAGGAAGAAAGACATAACAAAAACCTTCAGAGAAAGAAATACTCACAGATATGGAATTGGCATAGGTGGGTAGGAAGCCCAAAGATTTCTTCAGCTTTCACTTCCTTGAGAAGAATCCTTGCACTTACAGGCAATGGAAATCAGAAAATGCATTCCTAACCTCCACCTGTATATGCTTGAAAATGATAGAGGAGGAAGGCTGGAGAAGAAGGTTGGGTTCATAACAAGTGTGTGTCTTTTTCCCTTCCTAGATTATTAATTGACACACGGTCATTGTTTCTGACAGATCCCACATAAATGAACACTACAAACTGCACAAGAACTCCGTTTTGGACCTAAAACAAATTATTGCACTTGTGGGTATTTTGTGCAGCCCCATGGCCATAAAATAAGTGATTAAGAAAAGGGAAAGAAGAAATAATAATACTAATAATAAATTTTAAAGAAGAGGTGTAAGAATGAAGAGTTTTGGAAGCTAATTAAAAGAGATTGATACACCACAAAACAGTACCTTCCCTCTCTCTCCCCCACCCTGCTTTTTTGTATATATCTACAGACATAAATAGCTGGGGGAATAAAGTTTTTTTTTTTTTAAGTCTAGTTTTTCTTTCTTTCACAACGTTTCTTGTTTACTGTTTGTTGAGAATAAAGTGACACTGGCAAAGGCAGTGAAAGAAGTGAGTAAATGACAAGCTACTGAATCAAAACCATAATTTGAATTTGTTTTGGCTGGCAAAAAATATCATCTGCAAAATTGCTAAATAGTGCTTTAAACAAACGCACCCTCGAACAATGATGGATCAATAATTCCTAAAGCCACTCATCACCAGAATTCAAAAACAATTATTTGAAACACTTTTTCCCCAGAAAATAATAATAATTAAAATAATAAGCACCACAAGCGAATAGCCCAAATCAATAAATTAACTACAGGTTGAAAAGGTACTTGTTTAATAAGTTTAGTAGAGCCCCCATAGAGGTCCCCAAGTCACGTGCTCTTTTCTCCCTCAAAACTCCATATTTTTCGCTCTCTCAATATCTCATCAAGGCATGAAAAGATAAAAATTTGCTTAGATTTGCAGACTATAACCCCTCTTCAAAAACTCTGCCTAATTCTTTTTATCATCATTCTTTCTCATTAATTTATGTCTTGCAAACTAGAGTACCTGTTCAACAGAATCTCTTCCTCAGGTAAAAATAAAAAATGTAACTTGACAGAGAATAAACGGTGTTTCTGAGAGAGCCCAGAAAGTATTTTGATTGATTGTTCAAATTTGGGTTAATTTATAGATAAAAGTCAACTTGAATGTGGAAGTTGACTCACCCAAGAAAATGCCAGCTCTTGGATGAAGAGAAACAGCTACTTTGTCTTGTAGGAAGCCTTCATGATGTCTGTGGTTTAGCCATGAGGGGGAAGGACAGTTTTTCTCACTCCATTAAATGCCTCACTCTACAAATCCTTTGAAATAACATATCCTTTTTCACATAGATATTTGGGTGTTTTGATCAATTATCTTTTTCATTATATCTTGGGAGTGGGAAGGAGGGGGGTGAAGATGTATTAATTATTGTTTAATTATGCTAAATATTTTCCATTTGAGGGTCAAATTAAGGATCACTGTCATTTTTTGGGAATCTTGAGATTTAAGTAAAGTTTTGAAGCAAAGATGGACAGAGATAACTCTCAATCATATTGTGGGAAATCTTGTAAGTTAAGATAGGCTTTGAAAAGTGCCAAAAGTGATGGGAAAAGGCACTCCTTTATAATTAGGACTGAAGTTGCAAATTGCAAACTTACACCATTATCTTGACAAACAAAATAAATTTGAAGCTTCCAAGAGATCTGAAATTTGAAGTCTTTTATTGTCAACAACAATGCGTGTAGTTATGTTGGTTGAGAAAACTCTCAAACATAAGCTGACTGGTATGACCTATTTTGGTGACAATGTGATGGGATTTCACATGTATTTCTGTACATATGTTTAGATCTAAAGTTGGCGCAAGTGACATATGGTGCCAAATGATTTTAATGGTGCCAACTGAGTGACCTCTTGACTTTCACACCAACTCAGACCTTAGTTCTATACATTCCCTGTAACTAGCGACACGTCACTTCAATGTGGAACCACAAACGTAATCACCATGGACAATGCCAAGTTGCTTGGGATCAACTTAGGGAGAACCATACATGTATAAACACCAAAGCCAAACAACCACTTATCTAAACACCAATGCTCCACAAATTTTGGTTGTTTGTCTATGTTCGCTATGGCGTTCTTTTTTTCCTACGTTGATACAAACAAGAAACGGCTGAGTGGAGACTTTACACACTAGGGGTGCATAACAATTAAAAGACGATATTGAATTCGGTTTCAATTGAGTGCATTGACCAAACACTAAGTCCGTAGTATATCGGTTCAACTCATTGTTAAGGCAAGTCAATAAGAATAGCTTATGCATCATCCCCAGCCTAGGAAGAGGAAAATATATCAATTGCTACCTGAAGACCTCCCCATTCAGATAGGAGTGTTAAACAGGGAAACCATACACATCTTTATGTAAAAAACTAATTATATAACATTTAATTCATATACATATTAAATCAAGTGGACTCAAGTCTAGAAATTTATTTCAAGATCGAGTTTGAACCCTTACTTTAGCCTGAGATTACAAAACTTGTATTACGATCCTAAGGTACCAGAGTGGTTACTTTCAAGTGTTCATAAAATTTGGATTCATCGCCAGCCTTAAACAGACAAGCATGCCTATGAAACTAATTCTCAAGAATGCAGTCTCTATGAACACTTCTCACTCTATGTCTCTCTATATCTCACACACAGTACACAGTCACACAATAATGCAGACACACATTCAATATGCATGCACAAACGCTTTAAAATCAGTTCATCAAACCTCTTGAGAGCAAAAATATACCATTTTTACTTAGAAATGAAGCTTTTGGCGGAGGTACTCACAGGAACTTCGTTCTATGTTGAAGTGGGAGAGGATGCAACTGTAGGAGACCTCAAGAAAGAAATTGGACAGCAGGAAAATCTTCCCGTAGATCGACTCACTCTGATGGTTGGCACTGATCCATGTAGTATGCTGGACAATGACATTGCTCCTCTTGAAGATTATGGGATTCAAGAGAGCTCTCATATTTATATCTTCTTTGAACCTGTTGAACACGACTCCCCCAGTGCTTCATTTCCTCAAGAGGCCACTTCATCTCCAAATGAGTCTATTTCATCCAGTAAAGAGGATCCTTCATCTCCTACAGAACCTTCTGTAGAATCTTCTATTACTGATATTGTGAAAGAACCCTCAGATCAAGAAGATACGCATTAACCCTCAGGCAGATCCCAACCTGGAACACATGGAAGAGTAAATGTGTCTCTATCCTAGGCTGATACAAAGTATGTTAACCCATACCCATGCGGGATAATGACTTCCCATTGCACTTATTTGTGATGTTTCTATTATAATGGTGAGTAAATTAGATTGTAGCTGCATAATTCCAACAGAGACGTCAAAATATTAGCGTAGGCTGCCCTTGATGGCAATGAAATTAACTTCTAACAATAAAACATGAAATAAGGGAGAGGCGAAGTAGGCAATGACATGGTTGAGGCATGTAAAGCGTAGCACATTAACAGAGACTAGAGAAAATCAAACAAATTTAGGTACCTCACTGAAGAAGGCTTCAAGGAGAAAAGGTGTGATGACTACTCTGAGGCCCACAACTGCCACAATTCTCAACAATCCAAGATTCCAAAGAGCTGCACTCTACCTCACAACAACAATCCAAAAATAGCAACAGCACTCGACCTCAAAATTTCTTCTTCATTCTGAAGCTTGAATTCTCTTATCTCAAAATATGTACGAACACTTTCCATCTCTGCAGTACACTGAGCAATTGAGTAATATTTTAGGGGCTTACAGAGCATGATTCACAGTGGTGAGTCTTGACTCAAGATATCTTGGGGGAACTCGAGGCGAGTTTACTTTTCTTCAGGTATACCCGAATACAGCAGCTGATGACATAAAAGCATGATGTAGAGGAATTGGAGCTTGAATTACAAACCATGGCACAGCATATTACATCAACCGCAATTCCGAAACACAACAATACAACAAAATTGCATATAGTACTAGCTGTTTTTTCTCACTGTTTCACTATGCAGACATTTTAAAGCATGTTCGTAGTAACTGTGCAACAACAAAAAATATATGTACAAGATTGAATTTTCCATAAGTCATCGTACGCGGGTGCAGATTGGCAGAGCAGTGTCCCACAGAATTTGCATCGCTCATGATGGACGTCAAGCATCTATTCTAGTTAGGATTGTTGGCTGTTATATGTTTTCCTGCATAAGAAAAAGGACAACAGAGACGATAAGTCCGAGTAACATCATATTCATTAACTAATGCATAACTTTCCTACAAATTTCTAAAAAAAAAAGAACAGAATGAGCATGATGTCAAGCAACAAGCTTTCATTGATTACAGAAAAAAACATGACAACATTAGTTAAGGAGACTTTTCCTTCATTGAACAATTTTGATTCCATTGGAGAAAAGGAGGACAATGACAACAGGGAACAAGAGACGACGGCGTTAAGCATCTAAAATTTGGAAGGAATCAATAACTTCTGAGCTATGCAAATTCTCTCAGATTACATGATGAAGAAAACTTGGATCTTGTGAAGAATGGCACGACCATAAACTGCAGATACTCAGTGGCTTAATATCTAAAACCCAAAATTTTGTGAAGAATCAAAGAGAACAAGTGAGAAGATATCAGCTATTAAATAGATGCAATTTAAACCAATTGAAAAAAAAAAAAAAAGACGAATAAAATATGCATCATGCACCAATGACACATAACTTTCAACTGAGTCGTAATGAAAATCAAATTTGGGACGCTTCGGTACACCACCAATTATGAACCACTAATATGCACATGATAAAACTTGGCAAGAGAGAGAGTCCATACATTGTGGTCCCTTGTAATATAGGAAACAACTACAGTGATATCATCAAGCTTCCCACCATAATAACGGAAACCTGCTTCTTGTGCTGCTGTGGAAAAAGGAGTCTGCCTGTTTCTGTCTTGAGCTCTTTGCCGTGCCAATGCGGCAACCTTTTGTGCTGCCACCTGAGGTCCTAAACCAGCTCGCATCGCATGAACAACAACAGCAGTAATATCATTGTTATACAAATTGTCAAAGAGCCCATCAGTGCCAGCAATTATAACATCCCCTGGAGCAACAGGTACCGTGAACACCTGTATCACATTGTCAGACAAACAAGTCCACAAGGTTTAAGATCAAATGTGGTAGTTACGTACGTAGTTGATTAGATCTTGCAAACAAAATCTGCAAAAAATGCTTATGATTACAGTCGTGACATTGACAAATTCAAAGTACATGTAAAATAACCAGTGTAGTGAGAAAGACAATACAATATTGATATATATATATATTTATATAATTTTTATAAAATATTCAAACAGGCATACATTGCCAAAGTCATAATGAAATAAGGAATTCTACTCTAAACCACTAGACTATCATTGGCAGAAAGCATAATGGAACAAGCCAACCAACCTGTCCAGAGCTAGGCAAATCGCCAGAATTCCCACTCTCTAACTGATAAGTGAAGTTGAAATCATGCTGTTGAACAGGAGATCTGAAAACTGTACATCCATCTCTAACAACCATAAATCCACTATCCCCTAAATTAATGGCATGGAGACCCTACACAATATAGGAAGAATAGTTGGCTAAAGTGAAATTATTGGAAACACTATGTTGCTCAAAGAAAACCCTAGCTTAAAAATATTGATCAATGATATCAAGTTTTGAGCATGTTTGGCAACTAGTGCACGATTATACAAATTGGCTACTTTGAGATGTATCAAACAGATTGTAGAAGCTAATGGCAATATACCCGATCAGTAAGGGCAATAATACATGCAGTTGATGATCCTTTTGATTTTGTGCGAACATAAGCTTTCTCTAGAACTCGAGCTGGGTCAACAGAACCCCTTGGCTCTTCTTGAATTGCATTAACTGAATTGGACATAAGTTCACGTGCATACTGCCCAGCATCCACGCCAAGATCAGCCCATCCACCCACACCATCAGCTACACCTATCGCTTGCTCATCCGTACAAATGAAGTGAGCATCTTCTCCACCAGTTTCTTCTTTTTCAGGATGTGGCAGATAGCATGATGCTGAGTTAAGTTTCAGTGTCCGGTCAATTGGAATATTCCTGCGATCAATTGCAAAACAGAAAGAAAGTTAGTCAGCTTAACATTGTTCTCAACAATGCCAGAAATGAGTTTCACACACACAAATCAAAGACAACATTTGGTTATACAGAGTGATGCGGTCATGTGGGTAGAGCAACAGAATCAATCAGAAGTATGTGTGCAAAGAGCAATAGTTAAATATAGTTTTTCTAGCAAACATAAATTCCACAATTAGTATCGAACATACTGCTCAGAAGAATCAGCAGATCTTGATTGCAGTTCTTCCTTCACAGAAGGGTCAAAACATACTTCAGGTGCAGTGCCAGCAGGAGAACATGTCGGTGATGAGGTATGGAATGCCTCAAAGTCAAATCCCATAAATGGATTATAGTTGCCCTTCCTCTTCTTTGAAATATTGTATATGAAATATCCATAGAGTAGGAATTTATTGGGCTGCTCTTTATTTTTCAAACTCATAGTAGCTTTTCTACAATTTTCAAAGTTACTCTGGCTGTAGGAACCAAATGACCGCTGAGCAGCCGCCACAGGTTGGGCGGGTCGGAATGTCAAATTGTTGATTGAATTGTCGACAACAGCTGACCTGGACCCGCTAACAGCCATAATTACCTTACAAGAGTTGATTCCTGAAACCTGATTAGGCTCTGCTAGCAAACAATCAATACGGTATCGACAACCTTGCAATGAAGGCCCAGATACAGATGGTAATGAAATTGCACGAGAAAATGCTCCAACAAGTGAAAGGTTCTTTCTATGATTAGCTAGGAGAATATTTGCTTGAGCAGCGGCGACAGAGCCAGGCCTAATAAATACATGTAGGTCAGAAAAAGTTCCAGAGGATAAGTGATGTAGCAGCCTTGAGTGGCCAAGCAGCAGTTTCCCCTGATCAATCAAAACATCTAGCTGATACTGGATACCAGTTTCTTTCCCAGATATTGATCTTTGGATTCCTTGCCGTACTGTACCAAAAAGTCTGGAGAAATAATTAGACTGCATTTCCCTGGCTAGAGTGAAGTAAACCTGATGGCTTCGTATTACAGAGGGCAGAGCTACCGAAACAGCTTATAAAGGATAATCTCATAACTCCTAAAAATTACAGCTACTTAACCAATACTGGCCTCCCCAGGGCATGCCCCAAGAACAAGAAACCTGGAAAAAATCATGGAAACATAAATCACTAGAAAACAGACCATGTCATCTCTAATAGACCTTTGACATTAAACAAGTTCAAATCCAAATGAATTTTCATTTTATGTAACTTGGAAGTTCACACCATAACAATCAAAATAACAAAAACTTTTAAATGCAAGATTATTGCACATGTTTTGTTTATGGCATCAATACAATGATAGATGCTAACTGGACAAGTTCGACATGGCGCCGGTTTTTAAGCTTTGAATATTGCAAGTCAGCAATCAGAACAGTACATCTTGAATGATTTTATATTAGAATGTAAGTGGACGAACAACAAGAAGGCAGAACTGAGAGAACCTTAGATATGAATATAATGTTACCCATTTCTAAACTTCCGGAACAGGCTAGAAAGAAAAAAGACTACTATTTTTCCAGATCACAATTAATAATAGCATCCATAAATGAAATCCAGAGTAAATCCTCCCAAAAAGTCTAAAAAACTTTACTAATAAATGCGAGCTTGGTCAAATTGAACCTAAATCCAACTAAAACGAAGACGAAGAAGCCCGCGAATAAACAGAACAATATATAGACACAAGAAAATCGCGTTTTTGTCAGCTCATAACAACAAAAGAGGATCAAGAATCTCGCCTTTTGAGTTGTCGCGGGAGTACAGAGCAAGGCGGTGGAATCCCTGAAGATCCGCTCAATAATAATTACAGGGTTCGTGGTTTAGATTGGTTGAATGTGATTCACTAGTATTTTGTGGGCTATTAAGAAGCGGCTGTTGGGATTTATGAAGCGCCAAATCAAGAAACTTCGTGGAAAGGGAAACAGAGACGACGGGCCCTCAATTGGATCAAACTTCAAAACCCTAATTGGAGCCGATTAAAGAAAACGTTATTCACGCTGACCGTACTGTACCCTCCAACAACGCACAAGGCACGCACTTACATATATGGATATGTTTCATTAATCCAAATTTATCAGATTTTAGTATTTGCATTATGTATTTTTTTTTTCTTATAAAATATTTGATTAAATATTATTCGTTTCTTTGCCTCAAGCTTTGGAGGGGCTCATTCAAGACTGACTCGAACGACCGGGAGAAAAGGTTACGATAGCAAGTCCCTCCCCGGCCGGAGAGCCCGGCCAGGAGGGTCTCTTAACGCCTTCTTTTTTCTTCTCATCGGAGTTCGATCCTTATGGATTAACGGGAAAAGTACAACATGTAAATCCGTTAGTATCAAATTCAAATTAATTTTTCAAATTCAAAATGAAAAAAAACAAAACAAAATAAAACAAAACGCACTCATACAAATATATACCACCTCTCTACGATAAATGAGTTTGAGTATAATGCTAATTCGGAAAAATTTCACAAAAAAATACACAGCTTAGGGTCTGTTTGGTTTGAGGGTTTAGAAAGGAAGGGGAGAGAATGAGAGGGAATTATAAAGTATTTTGTGTTTGGTTCAAATTTTTTTGGAGAAGAGGGAAGGAGAAAGAAGGGGAGGGGAGTCAATTTTTGAGGGATTTTATCAAAAAAAATTTTTTTTATCTAATTACCTGTTATACTATTTACGTATTTTATTAGAAATTTTATAACATCTTTCAAAATTTTAATATTTATTTATTTTATTTTTAATTATATCAAATAAATATTAATATATATTAAAATTATATTATATATTTTGAAATAGTTTTAATTATTTTTTAATAGAGTTTAATTCTATTAATTTCTTAATAAATTACAAATTACTATATAATTATATTTATAATACTAATATTTTATTTCTTTTGTCCCATGTAATATGAACATACTACTGTACATACGACAATTTAGATAAAATATAATTAGTAAATAATTAAAAAGTGTACTAGTAAAAATAATTATTATATAGTAAAAATAATTATAGATTAAAATTAAGATAACTAAATAGTTTAATTAATATTAAAAATTATAAATTATAAAATATAAAATACTCCCTTCGTCCAATTGAAAATTTGTCATTTTCCATTTTCGTCCGTCTCAAAACAAGGTTACCATTTCCTAATTTAGTAATTGTACTGTCTATCTAACATAATAAATACCCTTATAACTTACACTATATTATACAAATGTAATTACTTTTATATTACACAATACTAATAGGGGTATTTTCGTCTTTTTCACTACAACCGATTATAATACTAATATTCAAAAATCTACATGCAAAAAGTAAACGGCAATCTTGCACCGGGACGGAGGAAGTATTTTTATAATATACTTAGTTTATATAATTTTTGATATAGTGTTATTATTTATACTTAAAAAACTATTGTTTATCTTTATTGGTAAATTTAATAAATAACTAATGTATAAAGTATTTGATTCTTCTAATACGTAATAATGTAATTTTTTTTTTATTATATTAGAAAAATAAATTTTAGTATCACATTTTATAAATAAATTAATCAAATTTTATTATATACTTTTTTATTTATTTATATAACACAGAGGCAAAATAGTAAAATTATTATATTTTCTCTTTCCTTTCCTGTTTAACCAAACACAAAAATACTATTTTTTCGCGTCTCGACTCCATTTCCGAAGGGAGAGGAGGCAATGGGAGGGAAAATAATATTAAGTATTTTTCAAGTATGATAAATCGAAGTACAAATATTTTGTGACCTAAACTAGTTATCCAATAAGAAGTAAATAAGCAAACAACAAACAGCTCATGTTAGTTTATAATTCTTTAAAAAAAAAAAAAACAAATAATAATAACAATAAAATCCTAAACACTAAAAAGTATGCAATTTCTGTTTTTTATTTTTATTTTAAGAAATAAAATATAAATTATAATTCAAAATATTAAATCAAGCACCCTAATGAAAAATATTTGATATGCTTTATGATTAAATTTATTCACCATCACAATGACGTGGTTTTAAATAACTTTTTTAAATTTATTCATTTTTCTTAACTAAAAATCATCTTATTGACAAAAGAAAAATTGTACTTGTCCAAAGATCATACTCTAAGTGCTGCTCCATATTTTTTATGTCAAACCCCTTAGAGTGTGTTTGGTACTGAGAATTGACAGTAGAGAAATTGAAATATTTTGATTTCTCTTATTTGTTTGAACAAGAGAAATGAACCTCCATAAATAAATCATTTCTATTTTTCTGTTTTTATTTCTCTCTTGTATCCAGATAAATGGAAATAAATGATTTTGCATTATCTATATTTTTATTTTATTTTTTTGTACTATTTGATTTTTATAAATTTTTTAAAATTATATTATTTCAATTTGATAAAAATTACATTTAATTCATTATTCAAATATTTATTTTTTACTATTTTTTTTTTAAATATACTAAAATATAAATTTTACAAAACATCGTATATAATTTATAATTAAAAAAATCACTAAATATATTTTTTCATAAATTCTCATTCGCTAAAACTCTCTTTTGTCAAATTAATCATTCATTCTTATCCAATCCATTCAATTTTTTTTACATTTGTCAATTGAATTTTTTATTTTACCAAATAAGAGAATTAATTCTCATTCTCTCAAATTTCATTATCTAGTCTCATTTATTTGTAATTGCATTCTTTATACCAAACATCCGGTTAATGTTGTGAGATTTTTTTTTGTTAAGTCACCTAAAGACATTTCATCCTTAAAAAAAAAAGACATTTACTGCAATGTTGGCGCAAAAACTAAGTTTCATTGTACCCAAAGTGGAGAAAAATAAGCATAAAAACTAAAAAACAGATTGTTTGAAGGATTTGTGTAGATTTATGCTATTCACACAAATTTTTCTCCCTGAAAATATCAAATTAAATATTTATTTTTTTATTTTTTATATTATACTACAAATTAATTTTACATTCAAAACATCCATCATGCAACTATTCAAATTCAAATTTTTTTACTATTCAAATCATAATTCAAATTTTTTACTATTCTAGAACCTTCTAAGCTCGTCTCCACTAGTAGCGCTAAACACGATTTGGTGAGCCATCGACTCTGTTTCTCAAACTTGTCCTTGGAAGATTTGATTAATTTTGCTTTTCTCATTGTTGTTTGAAACCTATTTGCTGAAAGAGTAATTCTCATCGAGATTCAACATATTTTTTATTCTTCTGTACACTACAATAAAATTGCACTTTACTCACGGAATTATTCACGAAATCGATTTTGTGTGGAATTATTAGCAGAATATCCACAAAATTACTCATAAAATTAATACCGTAAGTAATTACTAAAAAAATTGAAATTTACTCACGGAATTTCTTTCAAAATTAAATTCCGTAAGCAATTCTTTAAAAAATTAAAATTTACTCACGAAATTACTCATGAAATTAAATTATGTGATAAATTTGAAAATTAAAATCACAAATTTCGGTTTGAACCGTCAATTTATATATATATATTATTTTTAATATTTTTTATTTTTTATTTTTTCTAAATTTGAATTTATTTAAAAATAATTAATTTTAATTTTATTGAGATATATTTGTTATTTATTTATTATGTGAAACTCATATATATCTAAATCTAATAATTGAGACTTTAAGGGTGTGTTTGTTTGTGGGATTGGATTTTGGAATTGGATTTTTTAGGATTTTAAAATATAGATTTGTAGTTGTGTTTGTTTAGGGGATTGAATTTTGTAATGATTATGTTTGAAGTAATTACTCCCTCCGTCCCACATACCATGTCCACGTTGCCGTTTATGTCCGTCCCACATACCATGTCACTTTTCTTTTTTGAAAAATAATTACACACTTTAATCTCATTTTAAACTTTTTAATTTTATTTTTTTTAAATTTTAAGTAAACTAATTAGTTATCTTAATATTAATTTATAATTATTTATATTATCGGATAATTATTTTCACTAATACATTCTTAATTATCTACTAATTACACCCCTCATAAAATACTGTGTACAGTGTAGCAGACACGGTATAGGACGGAGGGAGTATTATTGTAAAGGTTGAAATGAAAGTTTGATGTGATGTTTAAAAAAATAATAATAATATTTTATATTATTAAATGATATTTTTTTTATGTTGTGTGTGTAAAGGTTGATTTGATAATAATTTTTATTTGAAAATTACAAAATCAAAAAACCATTTTTTCTCGCCGTTTAACAAATTACACTCGATCTACGCCGAGAAGGGTGGTAATATTTGCTACAATAAAATCACACTATAATCCCTAAAATTAGACATAGATCACTCCCTTTCTATCTAAATCAGCCACAACCGAAGAAATATCCTCTCTGAATTGCACAAATTTCAGCCTTGTTTAAAAAATCACAGAAGAATATGCCCGAACTCACGCTAAATCGACGAAACGGGGTCGAAATTGACTCACCTGTGTGTCGTCCGGTTGTAGCCGCTGGTAACTCCCCTTCCCCACCGACACGCCGGTGTTAAACCCCTGCAAATCTACAATCGAAACACTACTCACCGATGTGTCTATTTTACCTCAACCTACCACCTCCATGTATCTTAATCCCGTGAATGGACTTGACCGACTTTGCAGAGAATCTCCACAGCTATTTTCAGGCTACAGAGTAAGCTAGTAGGGTATGGATTTTGTTTTTTAAATCTCTACATTGATTTCAGTAAAAATTAAATTTAATCCACCAACTAAATACAACTTTAGTGGCTACTTAATGATATTATTCCCCTAATTTGTTTTGTAATTCTATTTCTACACCCTCTCTTTTCAAAACTCTAGCACCTGTTCATTTTGTCATTTTGTAAATTATTTTTAATTATTTTTTATTTAAAAAAAATAAAATAAACCTCAACCCCTATCTAATATTTCAAATTGATTTACCATATAAAAAATACCAAATATAACAAATTTTGGTACAAATTTAATAATGTACATTCTTTTTATTATTACAGTTCAATATATTTTTTTAAAACTTTAAATATTTTTGTCATATTTTATAAATAATTAATATTTGATTTGATATTTTGTAGAAAAAAGAATTAATGTAATATTTTTTAAAAAAGAGCTAAAGATAGTCAGATACACAAAGCTTTTATCCACCTGAGTTTAAATTTAATTTATTATTAAAAATTCAAAATAAAATATCGATAAGATAAAATCCGAAAATACAACTAGGCAGTATGAACTATGAATACGATGTCACATAGGGTCAACCCGGACTTGTGTGAGTTGGGCCTGCCCGGAATTTGGTTCGGGTTGAGTCATATCTGTCCCCTTTTCTCTCTTCTCAGATAAAAATCTATTTGATATAGGTTTTTCGCGCCGGCGCGCTATTTTTTTCCTCTTAGGGTGTGTGTGTTGGGAGATAATAGTAAAAAATTTTAGTTAGAATAAATATATAATATATTATAAATATATATTAATATAATATTTTGAATATAAATTTAAATTTTAATATAATATAAAAAAATAAAAATAAGAATTTGATTTTATATTTTTGAAAAAAAAAATAATAACTAATATAAATGTGGATAAATTTAATAAAAGTATACAAATATGTTTGATCTTTGATTTAAATGGTAAAAACATCTTGGGAAATTCCGGCCATTGTATACCCCAGAGGCTACAAGAAGCGGAGAGGTCCCTCGTTAATTTGATTGATAGCTGAAATAATTCATATTGAATTCAAAAAACACAAGATTTAAACTATGGTAGACGAAAACTCGTTAATAGCCATGGAAAACAAGATATCTACGAAGCGAAGTTACATCGGTTAAAAAGATCGCAACTAAAACATTACAATGTAGCGAAACCGCGTTCAAGAGAATCTCCGGTGTCTCTACTGCGACATCCTTTCGAAGAGAAGTTGTACACCGAATTGCGGTTGCATCGTCATGGCTTGCATGGGTGCATGAACGTATGACGGGGAGATCACAAACGAGTATCGTAGAAGAATCATCGCAAGAACAATTTTAGCCTCGACCATAGCTAAATTCTGACCAACACACACTCGATGACCTAAACCGAATGGGAAATACGACGCCATATGATTACTACGAGGTTTGGCGAATCTCATAGGGTTGAACTCATTCGCATCGTCCCCCCATATCTCGGGATCCCGATGTACGGCAGTCATCGCGATATAGAACTGCGTACCAGATGGTACGTCGAGGTTCCCCAATTTTACATTTTGCGATGCTTCTCTTGACAGATGGACCGCCGGAGGATATAGACGAAGCGTCTCATTCAAAATCATGCTCACCTGTTGTAATAACCAATGTTAAATAAGCATTAACCAATGTTAAACGACTATCTCACCTAAAAATTGAGCATATTTAGCATAGTACTGATTTGACCAGATCAACATATGCTATATATATATTTATAACGACTATCTCACCTAAAAATTGAGCATATTTAGCATAGTACTGATTTGACCAGATCAACATATGCTATATATATATTTATAATTCAGCATATGTTATATTATATATAAAACTGCTTATAATTCCCTAGTGGTTTCAAAATTCAGCGTAAAATCTCCATATACTTTAAAAATTGCATAATACCTCCTTATACTTTAAAAAACGTTGCATGAAACCCTACCACTATGAAAACTTCCATATATAATGAGAAGATGATTTCTCATCTATATGTTTTGCATCACGGGGAGTTTCATGCATTTTTAAAATATAAGAGGACGCCATAACAATTTTTTAAAGTAAAGTGTGGATTTACGCTAAGTTTTAAAATCACAGTGATAGGGTTTAATGCAATATTTTTTTAAAAGTATAAAATTACGGTACGCAATTTTTAAAGTTTAACCTGAGTTTCGAAACAACGAGAAAGTTATGGACAATTTTTCCTATATTATAACTCAACTTATATTGTACTATGTGTAAATATATATTGGTTATGTGTATGACATATGTTGAACCGGTCAAGTCAACCCACGATCCGCAGCCTAAAAACTTAATCTTAAAACAAGATTTTCGTCTTATCTCCTCCATGCGACGTCCAAACTACTAAATGCTTATACTTACAAGCTTGAAATCGGGCAAATTGTCGGCAGTCGGACGTGCATTGTCCCCGCAACTGACGAGGACTTCTTCGCGCGCCCGCGCCTGCCACTCTCGATGATTAGCCAAGAGTAGAAGCGCCCACGTAAGGAAATTCGCCGTCGTGTCCTTTCCCGCAAAGTAGAACGTCTTGCATTCATCTACGATTTCGTCGACATCCAGCCTCTCCTCTTTCCCGCCATCGTTCTTATACGGTGACATCAACATTGCGAGTAACGATCTCGAATTTTCCAAGCTTTCGCCGCTCCTCTCGACCAAATTCGTTATCGATCTTCGGCTTTCTTGATCTAGTTTCCTCCTCATTCTATTCTTCTTCGTCGGCAAGAACCTTCATCATCCATTTTCATACCCCAATTCAACAAGCAAATTTGAATACCACAATGTTTCTAACATTAACAGCTACCTGAATCCTGGAATGTACACACTTCTTATTGCTTGCAGGACAAGTCTGATTTGCTGTTCTTGTAGATCGAATATGCTCTTCCCTTCCTCGAAACAGCTTCCGAATGCTGACCGGGAAATGACGTCAGCGGCGAGCTGGTGAAGCTCTTTGTTCACTTCCACCTCTAACTTGCTTTTCCCTCTTCCATCTTCGTCCCATTTGTTCAGCATCTTGTCTGTGCTCGCCACAATTTCAGGAATCCAGCCCTGTTAAGATCATTCATCAGTTCTTCGAATTTCAATTAAATTGAAGATTTGATGGGATTAGGGTTTACCTTGACCCTCTCCATGTTGAAGGCCTGAGCAGCAATCCGGCGATGAACGGCCCATTTCTCGCCGTCCAATCCTACGAGTCCTTCGCCGAAGAGCAGTTTCGAAGAAGGATTGAATTTAATCTTTTGATATGCGGCATGGTTACTGATCAAAATCTCCTTGATCATGTCGGGGTCGGCCACAGCCAGTCGGGGGGTAGCCCCAAACCAATAGAGGAAATTCTTCCCATAGAGCGTTGACCAGTGGAAATAGTGCGGAATGACACGGTGAGCTATGTCGTGTGTAATTCCAGAGATCGGATGCTTCTCCGCATCGGAAATCAGCCGCCGCCGGAGCTCGGCCGTGTTCCCGAAGATTGGGCGGTAGCCGGGCCCTCGAACGCCCTGGTTCTCGAAGTGCCGCTGGATTTGGATCGGTATCCATACGGTTTTTCGAAGGAAGTGGAAAAAGACGTACGCTAGTGAAGTTAAGAAGAGGAGGAGAATCACAGGAATCATTTTCAGCGCTGTCTGTGAAACAGCGACGAAGAGTTTCTTGAGGAAGACGACGGTGGGGGCAAAAACGTAAATTCAGTTTATCCGAAGGGTAATTGCTACCTACTCCAGGATCTGAACATCACATCGAAAAGTTATTCAGGAATGGATCGATGGGATTTGAGATCCGGGAGCAGCTAATACGTTATCAGATACGTGGCTGTATATATATATATTTTTCTTTTTTATATATAATTATTAAAAAAGAAAATTGTATAACAAAATAGGGCCCCAAATTGGGAAGCGTCGTTTGAACGAACGGAGAGAACTCCACGATCGGGGATGGAGAGTGCATTTGCGTCCGCGGCAGCGATAACTGACCAGCGGCAGAAGATTGAGCAGTACAAGCACATTCTTGCATCCGTCCTTTCCTCTAACGATGTCAGCCAAGCCAAGCAATTCATCAATCACAGTTACGGTTCCTCACTTGTGTGTTATTTGCTGAACTTCTTAGCCGACGCGATTTTGGGGTTCGTCTTTTGGTTTGGTTTTTAATAGGGTTTTGGTGGATTGCTGTGTATTTTTACAGTGTTATCGGATGATGTTCCGCTTGTCGTCTCGAGGCAGCTCCTGCAGTCGTTTGCTTTGGAGCTAGGGAGATTGGACGCGGAGTTTCAGAAGGACATCGCCCATTATACCCTCAATCAGATCCAGCCTCGTGTCGTTTCCTTTGAAGAGCAGGTTAACTTTGAATGCTTCTGTAATTTTGGTTTGTGTAACTGTAACCTGTCGTTGTTTACTTCACCTTGTGCATGATAATCTGTTGGATGTTTCAGCAATTCGCTATTTGAATGCTAAACTTCAATTGTGCGTGCTGGTATAGCAATATAGGTTTTATCCTGAGGGTTGTATGATAAGGTTTAGAAGGATTTATATTAATGAAAATTGATGCCCCTTTGTATGATATGTTCTTGAGCAGATTAATATTGATTTAGAATATTGATCTATCATCGAATTAGGGAGTTCCTAGAATAGAGAGTGTCCCATGATGGATGTACGAATAGATAGGGCATTATATTGTTCATTTGGATGGGCAAATGTTATTCACTATTTACATTGACAGTTCATTTTGTCTTTCCTGTCCTAAACAGATAAGACGTTTATACAAGAGGACACAATAGGAGAACCTCTATGTGTGAATATGTATATACATTTGTATAAATCATTTTGCCTATGCTAAAATTCATGTTATTTGACTAAGCAAATTTGAAACTATTTGTTCTGTAAGTTCAATTAACATATCAGCGAGATTTTTACTTTTGAATCTTGACCCCATTGAGGTGTAGCTTTTAAGCCATCATTCACTGCACATGCTTGTAACGTATGCTAATAGATGACACTTGAAAACAGCTAATAAGGTTAATCTGAAATCAGGGACTGCAAAGAACAGAGTGGATGAACCCCAGGTTTATAATTATGAACTTATTTGATCACCTTGCCATCTGACCTAAATCTGACTCCAGATGCACGGTAGATGTGCTACCTTGTACCCTGTGCTGCGAAATGAAATGTGCTTAATATGTTTAGTTTGCCAAACAAAGAGGCAAGTATTATTGTATGTCCCCTTACTCAATAAACATGTGTGCAATAAAGATCTTGTGTGCTGCTAGGTGTTAGTTATTTCTACTGAATTTTTCGTGCTCATATTTTACAATTGTGAAATATGTGTATATATAAGCGTGTGTGTGTTTTTTTTTTTTTTTTTTTTCTCTGGATAGGTAACTGCTGTTTATTGAGTTGTTAGTATAACATTCAATTCTTGCTCTCTCATGCTTTGTGTTTACACTATTCTGAATAATATTTTTATCTACTTATGCACATGTGTTGTGCAGGTTTTGATAATCAGAGAGAAACTTGCTGAGTTGTATGAATCTGAACATGAGTGGTCGAAAGCTGCTCAGATGCTTAGTGGCATTGATCTGGATTCTGGAATGAGGTCTGCAAGAAGAGATTTGCACTTAGTTACTGTCAAGCCATAATTGTATGGAATGCACCCAAATCTATTTTCTTTGTTGTGCAGAGTCATTGATGATACATTCCGGCTGTCAAAATGTGTTCAAATTGCTCGTCTTTACCTTGAGGTACCTCTCAATCTGGTTGTGTATTGTCACATTTAACATTAAATGACATTTCTTACACACCCAGTTTACTGTATGGGAGTGTGAAAGTCTGCCTCTGTTGTATCCACTTATATGCGGCTTATTAGGGAATATTCTATATGGATCAATAATTCTTCTGCAATTGACTCCTTTGTGACAGTTGATTATATAATCCAAGCCCAATTCTGGAAAATCTGTCATGGACATGCTATATTTCGTGGCCTTTAATCATCTGTTCCATCCCCTGCTAGTCTAGTTGACCATCTTGAACCTGATACAAATCAACAATTGAAACTGGGCTCATAAACTTATTGACCCATATAGAATATTCCTTAATAAAACAATTGAAACTGGGCTCATAAACTTATTTCTTGCTTTGAAGGATGATGACGCAGTTAATGCCGAAGCTTTTATAAACAAAGCTTCCTTTTTGGTCAGCAACACTGAACAAGAAGCTTTGAGTTTGCAGTACAAGGTTGGCACTTGACATACTTGACAATGTTGGTTTGATTTGGTAATCTGACATGTGAGATTCTGCTAATGCACGCTAATATGTATATTGGCCAGGTTTGTTATGCAAGGATTCTAGATTTGAAGAGGAAGTTCTTGGAAGCTGCGCTAAGATATTATGACATATCCCAAATTGAAAAGTGGCAAATTGGAGAAGAGTGAGTACATGGGTATCTTGTAGTTTATTTATTTATGTATTATTTATTTATTTATTTTTTGTGCGTGTATGCGTTTTAAATTTAATGTTTTTTGAGGTGAAAAATAATTGTTGGACGAGATGTAATGTTTTTGGAGAATAATTGAGAGATTGAATAGTAAAGATATTATAATTAAATGTAAAGAGAACAAACTCCTAGAATATAAAGTTTTGGAACTGGCATTTATGGAATGTGGTTTTTTCTTCTTTTTTTTTTTTTAAAAAAAAATCTCTGCTTGTTTCTCTAAGTGTAAAGTACAATGTGCATGCATCAATATCTTTTCCTTTGAATCGTCGCTCTCCTGCTTCATATATTATTGCCATCCATATGTTAATTGTATGCAAATGTACTGCCATCTTAAGCTTGTCCTGTTGTATGAAAAACAAAAATGAAAACATGATTATGATTTTACTTAATGTTGGCCATTATATGCCTTCTATGCTTTGATAAAATGAATCAATTTGCGTTTCTAAAGATCTTCAGACTGTCTTGAACTCTTAGTTATGGATGTCTGGAGCTGAATCATGTGCATTTAGGTATAAGGTTGTTATAAGTGATATCTTTGGATAGGTAGTTGCCTTTGCTTTCATTAGTCCTTTCAAAGTCGAGCTGTTTGCTATCATTTCATCAAAAAACCCCATGATCTATTGAACTTTGTCCATCAGGGAGATTAATGAAGAAGCACTGGAGCAAGCTCTGGCTGCTGCTGTCACCTGCACAATTTTAGCAGCTGCAGGTCCTCAGCGGTCTCGTGTTCTTGCGACCCTGTACAAGGTATATGAAGTTGTCTTTCTTTTAATTGTTTGCGCTTGTAGTTATTTTCCATAGACCATGAAATATTTCCTGCTATTGAAAAACCCCTTCAGCTATTGCTTTATTCAGTGGCTTATCCCGATACTGCTGCATGTAAGAAATGGAGTCCAATGTCTTCCGTTTGCAGTGATGTCACCTTTGTTCTAGAAAATTATTGTTTGGTGGTGTGTATACACAGTAGCTTCATTTTTGTCAAATTTTGAATTCCTTCCATCTCTGTTTACAGGATGAACGCTGCTCGAAGCTAAAAATTTACCCAATCTTGCAAAAGGTAATATGTGATCTTGATTGAATGAATCATGCTTCCGCAAAATCATTTGTTCTAAATCAGTCACCCATGGTTTGTAAACACCACAGTTAACCATGTTTTAATTGAGTTACCTTCATGGAAGTTTTGGTATGGATATTCCAGGTTTATTTGGAGAGGATTTTAAGAAAACCTGAAATTGATGCATTTGCTGAAGAATTGAAACCTCATCAGGTGGGCACTTCACATGTCAACAAACATCTCATTTTCTAAATCTGTGTTTTAAATCAGTTTGTTGGTGATATTTATTCTTTCTGCGATGTTTACAGAAAGCGCTTTTGCCTGACAATTTCACTGTTCTTGACCGTGCTATGATTGAGCACAACCTCCTGAGCGCTAGCAAACTTTACACAAATATAAGGTGCGGATAAAATTCTGTTCATCTTCAGGAATGAATTTGTTAGTGATACTCTGATGTTATTCTTTGCTAATCTATTATATTTTGATTTATATTGTACAGCTTTGAGGAGTTGGGCACATTGCTTGGTATTGCCCCTCAAAAGGTCCTGTTCTCACCTTCAAATTTTTTTGTGCTGAATGCACAACACACTTTTTCTGATTCTTTTGGTGTTAATGTTGTCCCGTTTCTTGTGACATTGTGGGAAAATTCAAATCATAAATGAACGTCTTAAAAATTTCCAGGATTCACATCTATTACTACTATCACAAAAGCTTTAACTTTCTGCAGGCTGAAAAGATAGCTTCAAGAATGATATGTGAAGATAGAATGAGGGGATCTATTGATCAGGTAGAACATATGTTAAATAATGTCGGAATTTTTATTTTCTTTAAACGTGATTATGTTGTTCCTTGGTGAGGGCGTTCTTCCAAAATACACTCAAACAACTGTGATATTCTGTTCAACATTGAAATTTGCTATATGAGCATGACAATTTTGTGTCAGGTTGAAGCCGTCATACATTTTGAGGATGACACAGTGGAAATGCAACAATGGGATCAACAGGTAATGCATGATGTTTGCTTTGTAGTAATGAGATGCTAAAGTTCCTTTTGAATTGAAGCATTCTCTTCAGTTATGAAAGAATGGTCCTACAAATCTTAAAGCATTTTTCAATTTGGAATCCCCCATTTCTTTCCACATAGTGTGACTTCGAGTGGATTTTAGATCTTAGTAGTCAGTTACGATTATTGGTTCTTGAAATATTATAATTGGTCAGCTCATCATCTCATATGAGTTTATTTACCATCATCGTCGCTGGTATTTTTTTTTTTTTTTGACATTTGGGTGCAATTTTCTGCAGATCTTTGGATTATGTCAGGCTCTCAACGAGATTCTTGATGGCATGGCGAAGAAAGGCTTACCAATTCCTGTCTAATCTTTGACAGATGATTTCATACTTTTGACCTTTTTTCATGTTATTGCAATTAGATAAACATCTCATTCTTGTGCTAGTTGCCATCTTATTGTAGGAAATCTTTTCTCCCCTTTTCAATATTGTGAAAATATCCATTCACTTAAAGTTTGAACTACATGAATATTGTTGTCGACTTTCCTGCCATTCGAATGTTTCTCAATTTGCAGTAATCATCAGACAATAGTTGGTACAATAATGCACTTCTTGGTAGTCACAAGCACATCACTACATTAGATCAATCTGAGCCCAGAATGTAGGAACTGGAAGAAAAATATGCAACAGGATAGAATCATCTCTCTCGACGCGACGAGCTGGAGAACGCTTCATTGAGAATCTCGGCAAAGGCTTGCAGAATAACTCTGTGATACTGTGTTGAATTGAGAGACAAGAAGCTCATCAGGAGCTGTTCGAGGTCTTTTGGATCGAACATCCGTCTCTCTATGATCATATCAAGCATCGACTTCTTGAAATCCTTGTAGGGATCATCCGACCTCTTCACCACGACAAAGCTTTCGTCGCGGCTCACACTCTTGTCTACTGTTCTTGAAGTCGCCCGCCGGGACACAGGTTTTTGTTTCTCGACTCTGTTTGGCTCTGGTGCTGTCTTTGTCTCCTCATCCCAATCTTTTGAGCCGAACCCTTTGAATCTCCGGGATCTAAACCTTCTTGGCTTTGATGATCTCCGGGTTCTGTTTAGGGGCTCATCCTCCGAGACAATCTCCGAGGGATCTTTTGAGCCATTCAAATGATTCAGGACATCGGTTTTGGTTGTGAGATTATCACTCGGAAATGTGGAGTTAGAGAATCGGGATTTCCCCGGTTTTCTTGTCTTGGAGTAGTATTCATGTGATGGCAAGTCATCAACCACTTGAGATTTTATCCCATGTTTAGTGTAAGGTTTTGATGAAACTTCACTGGTCTTTGTCAACAATGGCCTGTGTTTGATCATGGATAGGTTGTCCGGGGTGGATGGAGGATCGGCGAAGCTGGGGAGTGTAATGGTAGAGCTAAATGGCGAAAAATAGTCGGCAGGGATGGTGGGCGGAGGAGGAGGGGCTTTAACCATGGAAAATGGATTCTTGGGACGACAAATTTGGACATTGTTGAGGAAAGGGAGACGAAGTATGGGAATCTTGGCTTTTCCCATGATCTTTTCTTGATCAATGAGTTGGGACGAGTTTTGGAGTGATGATTCTGGCTACTTTGAAGTGTTGAATGTGTAGGTAAGAATATGTTAACACATCTCTTCAATATATATATATATTTATACATAGAGAGAGAGAGAGGGGGGGCCGGCTGCGGTTGGTATAATTGGAATAGTGCTTGTCTGAAACTGATCAAATCTTAGTGATGAGTTCTTGTCCAGTTTTCTTCTGCAAGAATAAGTAAACTAAGTGCCGAGGTGTTTTTTTTTTTTTTTTTTTAAAATTTTAGTTTTATAACGTCGAAATCCACTGTTACAAAACTGCGCACGGGGTAAATCTCGATCGAACCTAATAACTTGCAAATTAAATTTAATAAGACAAGTCACATTAATCGAACCATGTGTAGCAGAGGACCCGGAGGAGACAAGTCACATTAATCGAACCATGTGTAGCAGAGGACCCGGAGGAGACAAGTCACATTAATCGAACCATGTGTGGCAGAGGATCCGGATGCGTCAAACACTACATCTCAATATAATACTCAAAGTATTAATTTTTCAATTTTAGTTCGTGACTGTACTATTTAACTAACATTATAAATACTCTTATAATTTACAAATGTTATTACCTTTATATCGTACAGTACTAATAAGGTTGACAAGGAGAGTACCAATATTTTTAAAACTCCCGGGAGAGTATATGATTTTTTACTTCTAATATTACTTTACTTTAATGTGAATAACAAAATAGACATTACATATTATAAAATACTAATTTATTTTAATTTACCAACAAAAATTGAAAAGTTCACTAATATGATCGATTATATATTATATATATATTATTTTACAATAAAAAACAAAAATACATCTCTTATAAACATCTGTGCCGAAAGCATCTGAGCCCATTCCTTTATAAGGGGAGTATACTACTTTAATAAAATACTATAAGCATTTAACATTTTTATATCATACCGTGGCATAGCCAACAAAGCAATCGAAATTCTATTCCATCATTGTAATTAATCACCAATATATTTTTTAAAATATAATAATAAATTAATAATCTTCTCCAAATCGTCCAAGAAACTCGGGGTGGGTGGGGACAAAAATAAACAGGCCATAGGATATTCTTTCAACTATCAATTACTATTAATAAATAAATTATTAATTCATCTTTGAAAAGTTCTTACAACAAACAAACAATCCATCACTGCCTCATCCTAATCACCATTGCATGTCTTATTACTATTCCCAACTTTTACAAATGTGATAAAAATTTCAGGACAAAGTGGGGTATATTTCTTTATTTTTATTGTTTTTTATCTTTTGACCTTGTCTCAGATAGGCTAATTCTGTGTTGGGATTAAATGGGCTATTTAATTATTTTTTTTGACAACGTCTTATTGGGCTAATTGGGCCTGATTTAATCAGGCCCAATACCATGGAGTTTAAACCCTAGAATTGTAAGAAAACCCTATTTATTGTACAACTCGATTGCGGGTTCTTTCTGCGCCTCGCCATCCTCGTTTGGGGATGTGTTAATTTTAATTTTGTGATTTTGGAGGTGGTTTTGGTTACTAGCTGGAAGATTTATGTTCGCCTGCGTCGTGCTGTTTGTCTTTTTGATTGTGGTGTTTGATGTTTGCTGGGAGGGGGTGTATATGCTGGTTCATGATTATGAATGGAATGGCTTACCCGCCCATTGCTCGCATTTTGTTTAATTTGAAGTGTTTTTCCTTTTTGTTTTGCTTTCCTTATTCTGCTATGTGAAGTTGTTCTGCTGGGAAGGAATTATGGTGGCGAATGATGATATAAGTCTTGTCCTACACACTGATTATCTGTGTTGACAACAAACTCCGCTTATTATCTGATGCCATTGTAAGATCTGTACGCATTACTATTCCATTTCATTCGTGTTCTGTCGTGTTTAGCGAATTTTTTTTTTGGTATATTTGTCTTTTTGGGCTGAGGTTCAGCTTATTGCAATTTTTTTCCTTCTTATGTGTTTCGGGTTTGGGGATAAGATTTTAAGGCGGTAATATTTGAGTTTTTCCGGCTTGAAAGTTGTAAACAATTCGATGATGATAGAAAGCAGACGGGCGGACTGAATCTGATGCCGTGTTGATTGTCTGCCCATGTTCCTGCTTAGGAATATTCCTGAGATGTATAGTTCTTGCTTAAATTTTTATATTACTTTTATTCTTAATTTCCGATGAGTTGTCTACCTTGATCTTGAGAAGCGCGTCAAGTGTTTAATTTTCTGTGAATTAGCATGCTTTTTATTTCTGGCTTTGTTTTTGTATTATAAGTTATGTTAATTGTCTATCGGCGTGTATGTCATTCTGCTCTGATGAACATAATCAAATATGTCTGGACATATGAAACTTGTTCAAGATTAATTAATCATGTTCTGAGCAGGCTGTAATACTTGTTTTAACAATGTTTTATATTTGGGTGTGCGTGGAGCTGTGTGCAGTTTATTTGTTTTGCAATATGGATGGTATTTGAGGTCTACTGATTTGAGTTATTGGGTTATGGCTATGATGTTGAAAAACTACCTATTTTCTGAGTGGGGTTCTCCACTTTGTTGATAGAAACCAATGGATCCTTCTGAGCCATGCCCTTGATTAAGTATTTAGTTTCTTAAAATTTAGTTTTTGACATTTTTTTTTGGAATGAAACCATCAAGGTGAGGATTGGTACTTCAGATACACAGAAGATGATCACAAAAATTCAGACTACAATTATCTGATTGATGGTTTCAACAATGAAATAAAAGACCTTTTCTCATGTTACAACATGCTAGAAATTACATATTTTAAGGATATTTGTAACACATCATGATTCTGTGCTTTTCATTTTAATTTTGAGGGTGTTCCTGATAATTTTAATGTATTATCATGTTACAGCCTTGGCTGAATGTAGCTTGAAGCCTGCCAAGAATTTTGAAAGAAATTTGGTTAGTTATTTGATTCTCATCAATCCAGTTTTAGTGGTTTTATGCTGACAGGCCGTAATTTGATAGTTACAGATCGGAAAAAAAAAGGAAACAAATGCTTGGCACATTGCCCGGTGTTAGAAATTTTTCTCAACATTGAGGGCAAATCTAAGATTGTCATATTTTCAGTTTCAGGACAGGTTTGATGATATGCAATTGAAGACATTTAATTAACATTTCCAACGAAATGTTCTTTAACGTGAAATATGTTTTATAGAGAATTGTTTTATATTCTTTTGTCATAATGGAACTGCATTGGATTGATCATATATTATTTTGGAGCAGCAGAGTCTTCAGGTGACTGCAAGAGAAGGAAACAAATAATACTCACAAAGGACCTAAAATTACAATTGGCCAAAATGTTCAAGAAGTAGATTGCCTTGTCCAACAGATCATCCATGCGAATTGCCATGCATATCTAGATAAGTGATCGTGTTAGGAGTTGGATGTTTGCTGTAAAGAAGTTGCACTTTTGCAGTTTGTCTGGAGAATTGATTATGTCCCCATGAATCGAGCTTAATTTGTTTGTTTCTTCCATGCAATTTATGAATTTGTGTATCAGTGTTTTTTTTTTCCATGTTAAGACAGTTTTGCAGATGGCATGTAGTCCAAATGAATGACATTTTGTGTCTTGCATTCTCATTTGTTGCCTCAGAAATCACAATACAAATAGAATGGTTGCTGTACTTTTGAAAATCTTTGAAAAACCATGTTTGATTCAAGACAAGCACTCAAAATCCAGTTTTTCGATATCTCTTAAACTGAAACAGTTAGAAGTAACAGATCGTTGGTGATCTCATCGAGCAGGCCATTGAGCATATGTCTCTCTATATCTCTTATAATGTCATCCTTCTCAGGGAATATAAGCATCATTTTGCTCCACTCGAGATCCCACATGCAGTTGATGTCTGGACTTGTATCATAGATGTCGTTGCCGAGCATTTTAATTAGGCTGGCTGCAACATCGCATTCATCACCACCATTCTGGCTGTAGAACTTAAGAATTTCCAGGTCTTTGCACAACAACCTGACCAAGTCGTCGAGGGACCTTAATTTGGTATAACTTAAATCATTCCTTTGGTAGGGATGAAATGTGATTTCCTGTCTCCTTGCTTTTCTTTTCATCACTTCATATGCAGAGTCTAGCAGCAGCTTCTTTTTTGCAACCTCATCGTCATGGTCACCGATGTGGAGAAAGCTCACAGGGATGTTGAGCTTGAATAGGGCTTCGGCTGTACTAAGGAACAACTGACTTTTTATCAGTATCTCCTTCAGGTCCTTCTCAGGTTCTGTGAGCTGCTCTTGTCTTGCCCATGCAGGAAGTTGTTGGTATGGTTCTGTACCTTCATCATTACCTGCAAGATTTAAAAGGTATGCATTAAGTTAGATCAGGTTTTCTTCCATACCTGTGGTCTCAAATGAAATAACAAGATGTAGAGTATGCCAATATGCTTTATATCAAATGCAAGAATGGGAAATTTTATGCGAGATGCAGGCCCTAGTAAGTGAGCAAACCAACGTAATTGTTTATAATGGATAGATAAACACCTTTTGGTTGACATAATTTGAGTTCTTGTGGATCCTCAGGACCATAAGATTGTTCTGCTGACTTGACAGCATCAGTAGCTTCTCCAGAGTTTAAGCTTGCAGCGTCACACTGGAAATGTCGGTAAAGATGTACGTACTGTGTAAGCCTTTTGTTTATTTTTAAATTTCGTTGTCTTCAATCAAAACTTAAGTGAAAACTTACATTGCTGTTCAGATGCGAATGACTGTTGGATATGATTTTCTGGTGAGCTTCGGTTTGGCACTTCTGCTGGTTCGGTCGATGGGCCTTCATGTCTGATGCATCACTCATAGGCATTTGTTCTTTTCTTCCGTTGACCTTACCATTACTTTGATCATCCATTCTTTTTGAGCTGCGATTCTTGGATTCCATCTGCTGTTTCAAATCTTTCAGTATATTACCTGGCTGCTTTCTTGTTCTTGCTAATTGATTCACAGTTGCATTTCTTTTGGTCATCATCACATCTATCTTCTGAGGAATTTCACCTTTCTGAACTTCTTCCGGAATGATCATCTGTGTTGCTGAAACCTCAATTGGCTTCTCCTTTGAGAGCATGGCCTTACTGTGTTCCTTGTTTTCGTCAATATGAGATCCTCTTGGCGATGAATCTATAGTTCGGTCCTCCTTTCTGAAATTTTCCTGGGTAGATGCTGTTTCTCGGGACCTGTCATTCGTTGGAGCAACATCTTGATATCTTTTGTTTAGTGGACTTCTTATGGAAACCTTTTCGGTGGGTTTCACTGACTTCTCATAACTCAATGCAGGTTTGTGCTGTGATAGCTTCTTCAAAACTGTGGCTGTACTTCTCTTTGATTTTGAAGCCACCTTCTCCACTTGGTGGCCATCTTGTTTCTTGGCAATCACATTCTGTTTCTGTAGCTGTTGTGCTCTTTGCTCTGCCTTCCACTTCTCTTCTGAATGTTCGATTCTTTTAGGCTCGTGATCTTGAATTACCAAACTCACATCCTGCAGGGGTTTTTCCTGTTTGCTTGGTACATTGTCTGAGCTTCTCTTTTCCATTGAACTGGTACGGATCTTGTGCTCCAACCTATGTTGTGTTTTTTCTTCAGCTCTAACTGTTCTACCACTTCGCAGCGATTGCTGTATTTCAGTGTTCAAAACTGGCTTACTGGATTCCCTTTCAATGGCTGTACTTTCTTTATCTTTTATGTGATTCTGTTTCCTCCCACTCTCTTCAAAACTTTCGTGCCTCTGCTTTTTGTTCATAACAGACTCCGCCATTGATGTGTCTGAATATTTCTGCACTTTGCTTCTCTCATAGACAGTGTTGTTTGCAGAGGACTTTCTGTCGATGCTCAAGTGCTCGGGCAACTTATGATTTCTTTGAGAAACTTTCTCTTGCTTCCCTTCCTTTCCTTTCGAGTCATTTTTCATGGCTTTGGAGCCTTCCCTCTGAGGGAGTTCTTCAAGCCCCATTAGTTTAGCTATGACATTTGAAATCCTCCCTTTCTCCTTTGTGGGCTGTGGTGAAGTCATTTCTTGGACATAGCTTGTCGACCTCCGGTGGACAATCAGTTTTGAGCTGTTGGTGTCTGAAGTTACATGTGAATTTCTAGAAGGTTTGTCAAAGGAGAATCTGGGCCTGTCTAGTTTCCACTGATCAGCAACCTTACCCCCGTCGTCTTGTTCATCCTCATCCTCATCCTCATCGATTAGCTTTATACGGCTTTTGCTCTGACTGGCATTCATGTGCTTTGAGCTTTCTTGCAGGCTCACTAGCATCCTTAAAGACTCCTCCAAGTCGACTGCGCCTTTCAACAGCTCCTTCCCTACTTCAATTGAGTGTCGATCAAAGTTAAAGCCATTGGAGCAAGCTCTTAGAATCTGGTTCAGCTTCTGCACTCCTTTGGAGATTTCGCCAATCTGAATATTGGAGACATTAGGATACTGGTCTATCGAGAGGCCATGGACAGTTAAGTTGGCAATGTCCATTTTCTGGCTGCCCGTAGATCTCCGACCAAACCGGTTGAAAAAATTCACCAGTGGATTGTTACTCGAAGCCCCGACTTTACTGAGGCTCCCGCTGTTCTCAAAGGCAAAAGCTATGGCCATTGTCAGATCCTTGACTTGTCTGCAACTTTGGCCGCTTTCGTACAGCACAATCTGGTTTGATGCTTCATTGATATTGATTGCCCGGCTACTTCCGCTCGACCTTCTTCCTGTGTTGTTCCCTGTTCTTAAACCAACCTGCGCAAGGGTAATCGTCGCTACTCATTTAGATTAATCTATTCCTTAGTGCAAAATTATTTCTACCCTAACATATTCAGGTAGCTGTTGAATCAACACTCACGGATTCTAGCGTGTTTATTTGTCGGGAACCCCTTGAAGTTCGCCCGGAGTTTCCCTGCACAACTGTTGGATCATAGAAATAACTATGCATATGAATCAATACTGGTCAGGAAGATAAACATTTAACGAATGTTACCTCTACGGTATCTATTCTTATATTTTTATCTTTTAAAGTAATGGAATTCGACATTTAACTTGGTGGTAAGAACAGAACATTTATCTCAACACGAAACTGATAGCATGCTGTAGTAACATCTCTCGACTTGATCTAAATCTCTATGTGCATGAAGGATATTGCAGAAGCTTTACCTCTGGATGTATGGCCGGATTGGCGGCTGGAGCATTCAGCGCCAGCCATCCTCTCCTTGCGCAGGCGGAGATCGTGGAGGAGCTTCTGGGCAAAATCCGATTTAGCCGCCATGGTACGCTTCCTCTTTCCCCGATAACTCACTCAACTAGAAACTGCTGAAACTAACAGATAGATATGGGGAATGAACAATAGAAGAGAAAATAGAATTGGAGCCATTGATTTGCAGTTGAGATTATAGAATACATACACATTCACTTTGGTGGGGAGGTTCTTTCAGTGTTTGGTATGATGGAATGTGGGGAAAAGGGCATGGGAATTAAGATGGAATATTTTAGTTTACTTAGAGCAAGGTTAATGTAGAGAGAGAGAGAGATGAGACAGAAGCTTGGTTGCTTTTATTCCACTCCAAGCAATGCCGCCATTGCAGTGCCAGCCACACCTTGCTCTGTTCTCTCTTCTTCTCCAAACTTTTCTTCTCAGCTAATCTACTATATGCGTCTGTTACTATCTGTATATATATTTATTTATTTATGTTTGAAATATGTATGAATTTTTATTAGTTTACTTTTTAGGTAGAAAGTAATTTTAATAGGTGGAAAGTAATTTTAAAGAGCCTCCCTCATCTTAGAGATAAAAGTAGAAACAATTTGATATATAGACGTATGCATGAGTAGCTTTAATGGGTAATTTTATTGAATAATCCTACTGTCGGTGCGAGGTGGGAATTTGGTATCGAAAATGTGGAATTTAAATATATTAGTTTGGATGTACTTGATATATATATATATATTGTAATATTTATTCTTTGTGCTTTCTAATAAAATTATATAAATTATAAAATACACACGCATAACAAAAAAAATAAAAAAAATAAAAAATCACAAATATTCTAACAAACTCATAGCCATAAAAGCGAAATTATGAATAATATTAACAAATTTCTAAACATATGTGAATTTATATATGTTGCACATAAGTTTACAACTCATATTCGAGAAAATTATTTCACTTGTGATATTTTAAAATAAAAGTTAAATCGGAGCATAATAGGAAAATAATTAAGAGTGTGGATTGAATGTGATAGACGAAATGATTATTAAATATTGAAAGAATGCAATGAAATTGTATATAGATATAGATATATTTTTATTGTATATAAATAACACAAATTTAGAGCACATTAAAACTAATAGTCCCACATATACAGTGTCTGCTACAGCAGACATTAAAATTAATTTTTCAAAGAAGGAAAGTGAGATGTGGATATAGTATGTGGGGCGGAGGGAATATAATTTTAACTGACTATGATTTGTTTTTTTGCTTGATGGTTTGGATTTTTAAATTTAAATTTTTTAAGTAAATTTTGAATTAAAATTTAAGTAATTATTTAAATTAATCATAGATATTGATCTAATATTTTAAAATAAAATTATTTTTTATAACAAATAAATTTTTAATTGAATATTTTTAATAATAAAATATACATAAACTCCCAAATAAACACACAAATAATAAATATTAATGATCGATTAAAAACACACAAATAATTGTTGTTACGTTTTACACGTGGGCCTGTGGCATTATGAAAAGGGATCGGTTCATAATTTTCTCAAAGACGAAGGACTAACTAGAAAAGGTTGAGTGGGCGAGTTGGTCCACGGCCCATAGCTCTCCGACTTTCGCGTCTGCACCAAAAATATCATCCGCAAAGTACGAAACAACCACAGCCGTCCGATCAATCCACCAACACTTCAGAATATTCCCAATATTTATCTGAGACCGTCCACGTGTTTCAATCGGGTTGGCCTAAAAGTCCATCCACGCATTTTCAGCCGTTGGATTGTCAACCGCTCTTCTTAAATAATCTTTTTTGTGCGTTTCAGAACTGCAAGGCGGTTTGGTTTCCGATTCCTTTCGTCGGATCGACGCTGCTTGGTTTCTGATCCATCTTTTCTGCTTCCGAATTTGTGTAGATCGTTGAACGATCTGCGTATTGGTTATGGATTTGAAGGCTTTTGTTTCGAGTATGGTTGTCCGGCCCAATGGTCAGCCGATCGCTTTTTCTTCGCATGACGGACTCGGAACGCTGAGTTTTGTGTAGATCCGTTTTGATTTCGGCGTATGGATGAAGGCAGTTTGTGGATCTGGTTTTTATTATGAAGTTTTCTATGGTTTTAGGTTAACATCTTATTATTCTGTTGTTTTTTTAACGTAGGGCGCTCAGCGTTCGGTTATGCCGATGTCGAATATCCGTTCGATGAGACTATTGGATCTGCGAAGCCAGAGGATTTTGAATTCTGAAAATTCCAACGCGGATCTGCTATTCTGGTTTGTAACGTGGCTCCGATTAATCCATCGGACATCAGGGAAGTACTTGTGATTTATTAACGTTTTTTTTTAATATTCTTCTGCTTCCTGTGATCATATGATTATGAGTAGCGTTGTGTATGTGTGAGTTGTATGTATCTGAAAAATATGATGTCAGTCAAGGTGAGGTGATGTGTCGCCGCTGTCCAGACCTTTGCCATGATGGGTGCGCTCGCATGGCAGGTCAACTTTTAATAAAATTTTATTTTTTGTGTTTTGAGGGGAGATGGCACGGGAATTGCCCGGCTCTCCCCCGTCTGCGTTGCCCTTTTTCTTTTTCTTTTTTTTTTTTTCTTTGGCTTTTCCTTTCGCACGCGATCACAGTTCAATTTGAGCAATCAATCCACGAATCAAATGTGATTGGGTTCAATTGATTTGTGTAACGTCATAAAAAAAGAAAGAAAAAGAACAGAAACACAGCCCTTACATATCAGAAGAATTTCAAATACGTTTTTCCGGTCAAGAAATTATGAGGAACTGGTTCTTCAGAAACATCCCCAAAGCCGGAGGTACACATTTTACTTGATGCGTTCATCACAAAATTTAGGTATAGTTTATTGTGTTATAAGTTCATACTTATTTCATATACCTATTATTGACATCAGGGTTAACCTCGTTTAATTATAAATGTGCTTATGTTGTCATTTTTTATTCTAAATTCTTCACCATTATTGGAATATTAGGTTCATACATAGGAAAGCAAACATGTAAAAAATCATACAGATTTTGAACGCAGTACCAACCAAATGATTCCTTGTTATGTGATCCAATTTGGTGTCCAGGTATATATCTTATCTTTAATTCCAACTCTAGATCAACTAAAGTTCCCGAGTGGTTAAAGAATTCAAACTTAAGCTCTAAGAGTGACTACTATCAAAGTAACTTGTTTTCGTAATTATGCATTTGTTTGGTTTTAATCCTATTGATAAATTGAGATTTCTGATTATACTCGAGTGGATTGCTGTACTTTTAAGGTGATTGGGGAGGATTGTAATGTTCAGCAATCTATTTGTACGAAAGATGTATTCTTTGTAATAGATCAAGCCTTGTCTGTGGTTTCTCATTGGAGCTGGAGGGAGGCTTCATGATCAACCTTCATGTATTGATTCAAATCTTGACATGGAGTTTGTTTGCTGTCGAGCAACCTCCAGGACTGGTAAATGCATGATTAGTCTAGAAGAATGCAAGATTGACGTCCCTGCCATCCTCAAGACTCAAGCTGAAAATGGCGTCTCCGAAATCGTTATTATTGCTGCTGAAGAGATCCCCAATTCTCCATGTGATAATTGATCATTTTCTCCCCTGCACTGCAAGAAGGTGAAAGGGAACACACTAACCATCTTGGCTGAAGTTTGATGACTGCAGCAGGTGCAAGTTTTTCTGCCTGGCTGTTTGTTCCCTAGATCTCTTCTGATATGCATCATCTCTTTCTGCTTGTTTTAGTATCCAGAAATTACCCTCTCCCGGCTCTTTTATTTTATTTTTACCGCGCTCTGATTTCGTATATTCTATTATTTCTACATGTTCTGTTAGGCTTTTCCTGTTGAGTTGATGAAAATTTGAAGCTGTGTTGTGCATCTACTGGTTTTGTTGAGGTTTTAGTTTGAAAGTCCAGCTTGTTTGTTTGGTCTATTGCTATCCCAGGAGGTGATGAAGCCACAACTGCTTCAAGAAGGTGATCAGGTTATTATATGTCTTCTGCTGTGTATGTATCTATTCTATTCTATTCTATCAAATAGGTGTATCTTTGAGATGCTATTGTTTTAGTAGAAAAATATAAAAATTTAAATACTATTGTAGATAAATGATGATAATATATTTCTTAATTTGAAACCACAAATTGAAATTATTCGTTCCATGTAAAAATTAAAATTATTTTAGCATATTTAATATAATAGAGAAAGGAATATTTTTGGATAAAGACATGGAAAATATTAATAAAAAAATACTTTCGATTTTGTCTTTTAGAAGTATGGTTGGTGTGTACGGATGGATCCATAAGCTCATAAACTGGCAGAGCACTCAATTAATTGAGAGGATGGTGGTTCGAGTCCGCCTGGATCCCCCCCTGTTTCTTTCAATTTTCTTTTATTATTATTATTATTATTTTATTATAATGGAAAGAAATGCAAATAATTTATTATTATTATTATTATTATTATTATTATTATTATTATTTACTTTGGTTTCTTGGTAGAAGAGATTTTTGGAAGATTTGAGAATTTTGAAATAGTGTTAAATTTGATGATTTTGGAAAATTGAAGAGTAGCATCTTCAATTATAATTCTGTTGATGAAATAGTATTATTTTGGGGGACTGGAATATAATTTATATATTTGCAGGTTAGGGTTGGCCCAATCATCTTTTACAAAATTTACTGGACCATCATAAGTATTAAATATGATGCTAAAGTCAATGTCAATAATGGTCCAATTTTGATTTCATTTATAATAATAGTAGTAGTAATATTTCCACTAAATATCATTATTGCAATTAGTGGAGGAGTGGAGTGGATGTGAAAGTGATTGATACCTACTTTTGTCAGTTAGTCTATTGGGCAATTTTCTTGATTTATTTTCAATTTTCCAGTTGGGTTGTGTTGTGTTGTGTTGTGTTGTGTGTGTCTTTAATTTGTTTGTCTGGTTATTGGTATTTCTTTCACTTTCAAAATTGAAATGCAATGTTGATTATTTCAAGAGGTATTGGTATTGGTATTGGTTTCAATTTAAAGTATTTTATTGTATTGTATTGTATTGTGGGAGCCTACAAAAAGAAATAGTGAAAAGAAAGAAAAAAAAAAAAAAAGTGGTATGAATTAGTGTACCTAATCCCATCTTCTCAACCATAAATAATTCTTGATTTTATTTATTACTAGTATAATAATAGTTTTCAAATCTTCTTGTATTATGTCACGTTTGATTTGATATGATATGATATCAACACGCATAATACATGATCTAATTAAAGAATTTACCACTTTCTTTTTCTTTTTGTTTTTTAAAAAGGTTGTATTTATCTATGCTTTTGGACGTATTTAGTATTGATTTGAGAAAGAGTAAAAAATTAATTAGTTTAGTATAAATAAGTGTTGATGTTATATTTTGAACACAAAATATAATTTTTATATATCACTACTTTTAAGTGAATAATAGAATTTTGTTTTGAATGGTAAATATATATATATATATTTTATAGTTACAAAAGATATGCTCACTTTTTTCTTTTTATTTTGGAGCATATTCTAAAATATAAAAAAGGATAATTATGTGGTGATAAAGCAATTATTCCATAGATCATATTATGATTAAATTCGATAATTATAATCGTTAAGGGAGTTTTGCTCATTTCAATAATTCTATTGTTAAACACCACAATATATTATTAACCAAATGGATTATAAAATTCAACATTAGATTTCATATATGATTTCCAAATGATTCACCAATTGTTCGACATTCCAACATATAATATGTAACATATTTTTAGTGATTTCATATATATATATATATATATATAGATAGATCAATATATATTTTTAATATTGCTCAACAAATATTTTATAGCTTAGTAAAATTTCAGGTCACATATAATTTTATCCTTTTAATGATTAAAGAATAGTTAAGTGACAAATGCAAATGCAATTATATTGTTCATTTAAAATTATAATCACAATTAGATTATCGAAATTAATTAATTAAGCTCATATTTAAAACTTTACACAATAAACTCCTAGTAGATTTAGAGGATAGACATAACCAGAGTAATTAAAATTAGATAGAATTTTTTAATGTCAGATCTGCCTTCTGGAAAGTTTTATTTTATTTTACTTTATTTATTTCTGGAAAGTTATGGCTCACAGTGTTAGGGTTGGCATCACTTTAAAAATATAGCCATGGCTTATCTCTATACAATTAAATTTAAGAAAGAAACAATTAAGAAAATTTTCCCATCAATAATAATAGTAACAAAAATTCAATTTGTAGCATATTTCATTGAAAATAATTAATACATATTAATTTTTTTGGTCAGCGCACAGAAATATAAGGTTTGTTCATATTATAAAAAATAAAAAATATATAGTAATATTTAGATTTAACATATATAGCAACTGGTTTCTTTATTTTTAATTAGTTATTCTTTACATATTTAAAACTTAAAAAGAAAAACGAATAATGAGGTTATTTGGTGTACATATATAATATATTCTGACCATAATTGCTTTGAAAATTGACTTGTCTTTTGCTCTCCACAATTCAAACTTACTTCATTTTTCCACTCTACCTTAAGAATCTTCTATTTATTTCTGCAATATTATCCTATCCGTCAACACTAATAATAATAATAATACTCCCTCCGTCTGAATACCGTATTTGCTATACTATATATACAGTATTTTAAAAGAGGGATGTAATTAGTAAATAATTAAAAATATATTAGTGGAAATAATTATAAAAAATAAATTAAAAAATTTAAAATGAGATTAAAATATAATCATTTTTCAGAAAGAAAAGTGACATGAACGGACAAAAAATGCAACGTGGAAATAGGATGTGGGACGGAGGGAGTATTTATTATTCCTTACTATATAACTGTAATAATAAAAAATAAAAAATTATGGGTAATTCTTACGATCACAACCCATTCATCAATGGAAGAGCAGATCTTCAAACACGTGGCTATTTCCCACCTAATCCAACGGCCCAGGTAAGTCTGTGACGTACGAAAGGTAAAACCGCATAGAAGAATAGCAAGGCGCAGTACAAGAGGGCCGTACACCACCCGCAGAACCAAGAAAATATCTGGCCGCCTCATTTGGGCACCAAATTCTTACAGCACAGTAAGCATTTCCTGTATATATAAATCATTATTTTTCCAAAAAAAAGAAGCAAGAGAAAGAATCGATAGCTCGTTCACACTCCAGGCGTGTTCTCTGAATGACTGCCAGTATCGATTTTATTTACTTTGATTTTTAGTCATTCTGTGGAGGGATTTCATGGCGCTGTTGTTCTGAAGAAATACAATACAATACAAGACAAGAATTCGAGGTAAAACTAAAACCCTATAAGTGATCATTCTCAATTTTTATGGTTTGGATTGATGATTTGGCCGATGGTGTTTTTATGAGTGTTTCGTTGATCTGTCCTTGTATTTGGATTTTGATTGATGGTTATGACTCTCAGATGTGTTGAATTCGACGAGTTTGACTAGTTCTATGGCTCAATTGCATTTGATTTGATTTGATTTGATTTGATTTTTTTGATGATCTGCAAAGTTGTAATAAATCAGACAGGGGGAGATGATGATGAAAATTATTTCATTCTGCGAATCGAGAGTTCAGTGCACATTTTAAGGCTTTTTTGGTCAATTCTGTGTTGTTTTGTGGTCTCTTCAGATTGTCTGTGTATGCCAATTGATGAAGAGTAACGGTTTCGATCGAACGATTTAATCGCTCAAATGTTTGTCAAAATTAATTTCGAACATCATTAGGAAATTCATGTCTGGTGTTGGTTTCGTATTGATTTCTTACAGAGCTCCTCTGCTGCTTGTGAATTTGATTTGTTCTGTTCTGAGACGACAACATCGTCATCCGAGAGCATCATGTTTCGTCGCCATAAGAGTAGCTCCTCAAACAGCGAGGAGACAGTCGAGCTGCAGCAAGAGCGCAAGGTATACGATTTGATTAGCCCTGTTATCGAATGATCATCGTCAATAACTGTCTCGATTGCTGCATTGTCTCTTGTAAGAAGTTTTGATAAAATCTATGATTCGATTCTCGGTTAGATGAACGAGCTCCGAGCCTCTCTAGGTCCTCTTTCCGGCCGAACCTTGCACTACTGCAGCGACGCTTGTCTGAAAAGATATCTGGAAGCTCGGAATTGGCATGTCGACAAATCCAAGAAAATGCTCGAAGAGACACTTAGATGGCGCTCGTCTTTCAAACCCGAGGAAATCCGTTGGGTATGTTATAATGTCTGGAACTTAAATTTGTTACCAACGGTTTATTTATTACATCGATGTTTGATGGTTGCTCAGAATGAAGTTGCGGTTGAAGGCGAGACAGGGAAGGTGTTCCGAGCGGATTTCCATGACCGTAATGGCAGGACAGTTCTTATTCTAAGACCCGGGATGCAGGTATCACTACAAAAAAATAATATATTTGTAACGGAATTCCGTCCCTAAAGTTCATGTAGCTAACGTAATTTCGTTCCTAATTACGTCTCTAATGTCATTAGTAACAGAAAAAGTAGATTTAGAGACAAAAAAGTTTTGTTACAAAAATGATTTTTTCTTGTTGTGTATAGCGACAACCTTTGCAAATTCTTCGTTCGACTATGTCTGTTTCAGACAGAGCTGTGACGAGCTTTGTGTTATCCTTTTTGTCTTCAGAACACTGCGTCGCTCGACAACCAGATGAAACACCTGGTGTACCTCATCGAAAATGCGATCCTTAATCTTCCGGAAGGGCAGGAACAAATGGCGTGGTTAATAGATTTCACCGGATGGTCGATAACAAACAATGTCCCTATCAAATCAGCGAGAGATACCGTCAATATACTCCAAAACCATTACCCCGAGAGACTCGCCATCGCATTCTTGTACAACCCGCCTCGCTTATTCGAAGCTTTCTGGAAGGTCTGTTCATTTCATCGCTCCTGTCGACTTATTACATCATTTTAACATCTCAGATCGGTACTTTAAGGTTCGATGATGACTCGTTTAGTTATTACAAAATAGTATCGGTTTTGCATTGTAGGTTGTCAAATACTTCTTGGACTCGAAAACTTTCCAGAAGGTGAAGTTCGTGTACCCAAAGAACAAGGACAGCGTCGAGCTGATGAGGTCGTATTTCGACGTCGACAACCTTCCGCTCGAGTTTGGCGGCAAAGCGACTCTGCAGTACGATCATGAAGAGTTCTCTCGACAGATGGCGCTCGATGATGTTAAATCTGCTAAGGTTTGGGGGCTCGACAAGCCCCAATCTAACGGTTTGTCGGGGGCTGAGGTGGCCCCCGAGCCCGAGAGCTGAGTTGAGTCGATTCGAATCGACGTAACTTAACAATAACCTCATTGATGAATATCTGTACTACTTTCAGAAAATGCCGGAGAATTTATCTTATCTTTACCGCGTTCCTTTAGGCATCTTTGTCGATGTTCAGTCGCTCGTATATACTATTACATCTTTTGAAATAAAAACATGCTTCTAGCAAAGGTCGAATTCTTGCGCGCCATCTTAGTTTCGTCTCCGCAGCCATTATTACCAAAATGCGCGACGAGATAATAACCTCCCGAGACTGTTTATTACCAAAATGCTACGGTTTTTGGCCTGATCGCGGCTACAAGAGGCGCCTTTTGAAGGTTCGCGCCGTGGTATGGTATGTGCGAACGAGTAGCCCGACTCCGATTCCGATACCGAGACAAACGCCAAGGCCTATCCCGACGCCCACCCGGACTCCGGCATTGAACCATGACAGCTCGCCGTCTTCGCCTTCCATGTACTGCGCCGACTGTGTCCAGTACAGACCGTCGTATTCCTCCTCGCTGTCTGATCTATAATTCTTGTATTCTGCTACCTGCGATACGTACGAGGTAAGAGCATGTCCGAAGATGTGCTGTATAAAATTATATCATAGGGTGAAATCAGCTATTTTATGCTACCTGCTTGACGAGGGATGAACTTGTGTCGCTAAGTGAAATATGAGCATGTATTATACTGATGATGTATACAAGTATTCCATAAGCTGAAGTAATTTTTTTTTTTTTGTTAAACTATATCACGTGGCATTAGTTCATATTTTTATAATATATTAATATATATAATATATTGTCATTAGTATCAAGATGTGCTATTTGTCACTTAGACGATGTGCTGTGTGCTGTTAGCACGGTACTGAAGCTATCTTTACCTGGAAATCGAGGCTGATTTTGTTATCTTCCAACGATTCAGGACCAGCCTCGTTATTGTCACTATCGTCGTGGTCATACTCCGGAATCGGCCGCAGCGCAACCTTTCGATGTTTCTTTCGAGGACTAATCACCAAAGTCTTGGTTAATATAAGCGGAGTCCCGGAGAAGCTTCCGGCGACGTAAACTTCGATCGTAGGCGAAACCGGCTCGACCCGCGTAATCCGCTTCCCTTTCAAAAGCCCGGTCGCCGACTCGCACTTCATCACCCACTTCTTGGCGGCATTACTCTTTGTCGTCGACTCGACGGAAAAGCCATTGTCATCGGACATTTCCAACGCCCCGGAGATCACGAGATCCTCCCGGTCGAACACGTGGAACCGGACGCCGCCGGACACTCGAATGCTGTCGGTAGTGATGAATGTCGCCTCCTCGGATTCCTTATCCACTCTGTCCTTACGCAGGGTGCACGACATGGCGTCGGAATCCATGGCGCATCGAGCGCCGTTCACTTCCACAACAGTTTCCGGCGACGCCGGAAAGTGACGGAGCGTGAGGGATTCCGGCGACGAATCGTCGGCCGTGAAATTTGTGATCCGGACATAGAACACACGCACGTCCAACCAAGAGAGGGCGGCGAACCGGTTTCCGGCGAATTCAGGCCGCCGGATCACCGGCGGACCGGTCCGGTTTTTTTTATCCCCGTTGCTCGAATAGAAGGTCTCCATGGAAAAGGTGTTTATTACAGAATCATCGATCTGGTCGTGATCTGTGAGAAAGAAACAATCAATGGAGTGTAGTGAAGCAAGCTTTAATTATACTTGGTTGTAAGAGAGAGAGAGAAATCAAATGAAATCAAATCTCCATTAACGAAAGGTAGCCCAACAAACTCGCCCCTAACATTCGCCCAATTTTCAAACTCGGATCAATTCCATTAAACCTAATTTTAGTTTTCCCCGATCGAACAGTGCAAAAACCTCTGAGAATGTTGGATTATTGCATGATGATGATACTGGTAATGAAAGAAGAAAAGAATGAATTACAAAAATGAAAATCTCACCGAGTGATGTTCCGACCACAACCTCGTATCTGTTTTTGGTGGGCGAATCGAACAGACAAAATAGCAACTGAAACCCAAACTGCCTCTGAGGTTTTTAAGATCCACACAATAACTTGTGGCATTTGTTCAACGACTGTGACTCACTCCATCGTCAAATCGTAGCCGTTGATTTCTTTCTTTCTCTCTTTGTTTTTGTTTTCTTCGTCGGTAATGGAGACGATGAAAACACCTCCAAATTATATATATATATATATCATCGTGGACTTTTCCACACGTGCGACAAACTTCAAATATATACATCGGACACCATTCTTAAGTTATATGGTTTCGATCATTTTTTGAAGATTATATGTATACGATCATATTAATTCATTGCGAGTGAGCAGGATTAGTGGTCGAATGTTAATACTAAAATTTGAATAGTAATGATTTCTAGAACAGGAGATGATAAGATACATGTTTTTTTAACTTTTTGAAATTTTGAAAATTTGAAAAAAAAGTAAAAATATAATATTTGATTTGATTTTGTGAAAAAAAAATAATAATAATATATTTGGTGTGGTATTTTTTTGAAAAATGAATATTATTAAATAAATGAATAATATCAAATAAATAAATATGTATTGTTTAAAACAAAACCTAATGCAATGTAATAAATTAAAAATGAGTGGGAGTTGAGAAGAAGTTGTATGGAAGGAAAGGAACGTTGAAAGAGTTGACGTACTTCAAATATCGATCTTATCCAAAATGATTTCAATAATCTTCTTCGTTAAGATATCTTATTTTTAAAGAAGTAGGAGTGATAGTGAGGGAACCAACTTTTTTTATTTTTTATTTTTTTATAATAAATTTAGGAATTTGAAATTTTATTTAACTAATTTTATTTGATGTTATTGAGATTAAAATATATAATTTTTTTTAAAGAAAATATAACATTCAACTAATTAAAATGGGTGTTATTTTTTTTTTTTTTTTGAAGGTTTTGAAAAATTTTGATATGAATTTAATATTAAAATAATATATGATATAATATTTTGTGAGAATTTCTTTTTTTTATTATTATTATTATTTATTATTTTCTTATTATTTTCAAAGTACTTAAAATAGGGTGGAGGTTTGGCTTTCCTAATGGCATATCACATTATGCAACATTTGTTTTCAATACAAGAATTTAAATGAATAATTAAGTGATATAATAAGATACAAAATATATATATTTATTGCTATGGATCATGTGCTGACTCACAATTGAGTTCAACATATGCTGAATTATATCTTAGTCACTCATCTTATATTAAAAAAATTTAGTTCAAAATTGTGATTAAAATGAATAGTTGTGATTTAATTCAGCCACATGGAATCCATTATTATATTTATTTGGATGATGTGATATGATAAAATATGCAGTAGAGATTAAATATATTTAATTATATATTATTTTAAAAATCTTGTAGAATGTCTAGGACATAAAAAAAAATATTTCAAGTGTTTGAGACGGAAAAAATATAACCGTAATGAATGATTTAATAGTGTGTAAGGACGGATGTTATATTAAGCAAAGTGGGTCAATTGACCCACAAAAAAAAAAAGAAAAAAATGTTATTAATTATTACCAAATTACAAATGTATCCCTAAGCATTAGTTTTATTTTTATTTCATAAATCAACGACCGTTTGTGTATTCAACGAGACCCGCCAAAAGAATTATTAATGTCTTATTTTTTTCTCTCCAATCGTCCTTCCTCTTTTAATAAAAAGATATTGCAACTACTTAGCATAATTATATTCTACAGAATTGTCAAAAATAAAATTGACGATTTTCAAATTATTATTAGGTAATTTCATTACTGATGTTCAATGTGATGAAATATCTTGAGATTTGAAGATTTTAAATAAATTTTCTATGAAACTTGTTGAGACAAAGAAAAATAATAACTGCAAACGTGGAAAGATCATTTTTTTTATTATAACTATTATCAAGAAAAAAAATGACGGAATTACATAGAAGAATAATTATTAAATGATTATTTCGAACAATAAGATAGTAGATTTATTAACTAAGATAATACCTATTGTAACATTTAAAATTTTGGTAAAAGAAATTAAAATATGTATTAAGAAATTTCAAATAATATCTTAAAGATAAATAGTAAATCAACACAAGAATGATATATATATATATTTTTTCACTATAACCTTTTTTTTTTTTACAATCTTTTTATAATTTTTTTAAAAAAAATACATTCTTTATATGAAAACATTAAAAAAAAAAAAACAAATACGCATACAAACCTGCATGTATATATTGTGGATGCTATGCAACATGCCATAGGTGAATTGCTGTACTCTTTGTATTCTTGGATGCTTTTTGGACTTTTGAATTGATGATATTGGCGGAAAACATCACAATTTCATCTGTTATGTATGTTATATATTTTTTAGTTTTGTGTTATATTTTTTTGGTACTATTTTATAAAAATTAACATATTACTAATTTCTTCAAATCAGTACATAAAAATATACATACATCAAATGTAAATGGATGGTGCAATAAAGTTGAAGAAAAGGAAATTGGAGGGATACCTACGTGGATCATGATAAGATATCTGAATATATATGGATCAGATTTCAACAAAGATCAAGAATCTACTTCCCCTTTTCCAAAGAATAAAATGGATTGATTCTCCATTTCCATTTTCAGGGCTATCTTTCTTTATCCATGTCGAAGAACATCACAACTTGTAATAATAAATTTAGGGTTCTTCCCACACACACACAAAAAAAAAAAAAACTCTTTATTTCCCAACATGACAACCTAAGCATATATTCTTTATACATATGGACAAAAAGCACTAAGCTACATTCCCAATTTTGTTATTCATTACATGTTTTTTGCTTAAAGTATTATCACTATACATATTAAAAGAAAGAAAATTTGTGGTATGTATAGCTTTAAATTATTTGGACTCATAACAATCTACCTAAGGATATTTTCTTCATTGCATCTTATTCTAACCTTTATCTGTAAAAAAAGCAACAAAAAGCGCGAAAATTCCATCCCCGGCCGAGGTTCGAATGCTAGCTATATATATATCTATACACATATATATGTATGCCACATATCATTGCAATTTCTGTACATTTAAATTCTTGGCATTGAATTCGAACCAGTCAAAGAATGAGCTGGACGACGAAACAGAACAAGGTGTTCGAGGATGCCCTGGCGACGTTTGACAAGGAAAGGCCCGACTGCTGGCAGAATCTTGCCCGGGCTGTCGGTGGCAAGACCGTGGATGAAGTTAAGTGCCACTATCAGAAACTTGTCCAAGATATCGACCACATCGAGGCCGGGAAGATCCCATTGCCGGCCTATGGATCATTTTCCGACTACAAGAAGATGACAGATGATCAGGAACAAAGGTATTAACATTATTATTACCAAAATCATACTTACATTGACCTCCAATTTCATTCAAGAGTTAATCCCCAGTTGGATTCTTGCAGGCTCAAGTCTTTGAAGATTTAATAAAACAACCTTATATGATCGATCATACATATAATATGGCCATTACTTATTAACACAATGTACATAATTACATATCATCAGTAAAAGGTGACATCAAATTTCAAATTAGGGCCCATTTATTGGCTTATTGGGCCTGAAGAGTTTGGAGTATGGCCCATGTTCTCCCGCCGATTAATATTGTATATTTTGAAATAAATTATATATAATTAAAGTTACCCATCAACTGTTACTGAACACTGAACTGGACGAGCAACAAATACATATATATATATATATGTATGTATGAGCACAGACAGCATCAGCAAATTGATTGACTTATCCTCGGCGATTCCGTTCTTCCGGAAGAAAGAATCATCGAAATCCGCGTGATGGAGGTTTCAGGGGGCAGCAGCGGCGGCGCCGCCGTGGATGTTCAGGCCGGGCACCGTTACAGGCTGCCGGACTTTCTGAACAGCGTGAGGTTGAAGTACGTGAAGCTAGGTTATCGCTACCTGATGTCGCATCTCGTGACGCTCTGCGTGCTTCCGTTAATGGCGGTCGTCGTCGTCGAGGCGATGAATTTGAGCTCCGACGACCTACGCCGCCTCTGGCTGGATTTGCAGTACAATCTGGTGGCAGTCATCACCATCTCCGCCCTGCTCGTATTCGGATCCACCTTCTACGCCCTGACCCGTGCCCGACCCGTTTACCTGGTGGACTACGCCTGCTATCGCCCGCCCGACGCTTCGCAGGTCTCGACCGCCATGTTCGTGGAGCGCGCGCGCCTCTCTGGTTTCTTCGACGAATCGTCGATCGAATTTCAGAGGAAGATTCTGGAACGTTCTGGACTCGGCGACGAGACGAGCTTCCCGGCGGCGATGCTTTTGGTTCCTCCGAAGCCGACGATGGAGGCGGCGAGGGAGGAATCGGAGGAGGTGATTTTCAGCGCTTTGGATCGATTGTTCGAGAACACCAAAATTAACCCTAAGGATTTGGGGATTTTGGTGGTGAATTCGAGCTTGTTCAATCCGACGCCTTCTCTGTCTGCGATGATCGTCAACAGGTACAAATTGAGGGGAAATGTTCTGAGCTTCAATTTGGGGGGAATGGGGTGCAGCGCGGGGGTAATCGCCATTGATTTAGCTAAGGACCTTCTGCAAATCCACCGGAACACCTACGCCGCCGTGGTAAGCACGGAGAACATCACGGCGAACTCCTACCACGGCAACAGAAAATCAATGCTCATCCCCAACTGCCTCTTCCGAGTCGGCGGCTCCGCCGTGCTGCTATCGAACAAACCGTCGGAGAAGAAGCGATCCAAATACAAGCTCATCTACATCGTCCGAACACACAAAGGCGCCGACGAGAAAGCCTACGGCTGCGTGAAGCAGGAGCAGGACGAACAGGGGAAAACAGGAGTATCCCTGTCGCGTGACCTAATGGCCGTCGCCGGCGGCGCGTTGAAAGCCAACATCACCACGCTCGGCCCGCTGGTCCTCCCGATCACCGAACAGCTCCTCTTCCTAACGGCATTGCTTCGCCGGAAATTCCTCGACGGGAAGACGAAGCCATACATCCCCGATTTCAAGCTCGCGTTCGACCACTTCTGCATCCACGCCGGCGGGCGGGCGGTGATCGACGAGCTGGAGAAGAGCCTGGATCTCCACGCCGACCACGTGGAGGCGTCGCGGATGACTCTCCACCGGTTCGGGAACACGTCGTCGAGCTCGATCTGGTACGAGCTGGCGTACACTGAGGCGAAGGGGAGGATGAAGAAGGGGAATAGGGTTTGGCAGATTGCGTTCGGGAGTGGGTTCAAATGCAACAGTGCGGTGTGGGAAGCCATGGCCGACGTCGAGGCGGCGCCGAATGGGCCATGGGAGGATTGCATTGCAAGGTACCCTGTCGATCTTGTTTACTGATTATTTACATGCATAGAGAATAGAGATACATATATAATACAGTTAGCTTAAAGTAAGACAATAAAAGTTAAGTTGCTTATTATTATGGTTATGTTTTTCGTTTTATTTATTTTTTTGGTTCTTGCGATTTTGAATTTTTTCTTACAGACTTTGGTTTGGAATAATGATGATGATGATGTTGCATTTTGTTTTCTGCTCTCTTATCGGTTTTGATTTATGATATATTGTTGTTTGAATTTGTGTGTATGGAGGTGATTAGGAGTTTAATTTATACCCGGAAATGGCGGCAGGATGTTTGTTTCTGTTACATGCCTTTGTCTGGGAGATTTTATAAGATTTTGATTGTATAAAAAAAATATACTCTTTCTGTCCGCGCGACAGAGGATATTTGTGTAATATATTGTAAATTGAAAGAATATTTATTAGTAAAATTATTAAATTAAAAAATAATACTTTATTTTGGGACGAATAAAAATAAAAAATAAAATCTCTTTTATGAGACAAAAGAAATATATGTATCATATTAAATATTTATTATTTTTATATTATATTAAGACAAGAATTTTGTAAGAGAGTTCGTTTGGAAAGGGAAGAGTGTAGTAAAAAACATAAAAAAATAAAATAAAATCGTGCCTCCTTTGTTTATTTGAATGCAGATTAAGAAGCTCATAAAATGTAAAATTAGATTTTAATTTGACTGAACTCGCTCCACATGACCCCACGCCTATATTTGATATTTAATATCTTCTATGTCTCGATGTAATAGATGGTGGAAAATAGTATAACTATATATATTTTTTTACTCTTTTAATATAAAAATAATATTCCCCGTTCCCAATTTAATAGGGTTTTTTTAAGTTTGGTAATAAATTAAAAAATTAATTATAAGGCTTTTATTTACTTTTTGCGTATTGATATTTGAATATTAATTATTATATCAAAATATTATATAAATTTTAAAAAAAAATTACAAAAATACTTCCGTTAGTATCTTATAATACTAATAGAAGAACATTTGTACAAAAAATTATACAAATATAAGAATATTTTTAATGTTAAGAATGACACAAAATATAAATGTGATTTTAGAGGCGAACGGAGGGAGTAATACTCTTTTCCTCACAATATAATAGTCTTGTTTACTATTTTTGTCTGTCTTAAAACAATAGTCTCATTTGCATAAATAATTATATCACCATAAAAGTACATTTATTTTTTCATTATTATTATATAATTTTCACTACTTTCTAAACTAATACACTCTTAAAAGTAAAAAAATCTTTTGTCTGTACTTTTTATCAATTATTAATATAATATCAATATTTTATAAATTTCGTGCTCAACACAATTAAGACTATGGTTATGAGACAGTAGTATTTTATTGGTTAGTGGAAATGGGTAAGAGTTTTTGACATTTTGTCTTTTGACTATACGTATAAAGTAATTGTATGTGTAATAACATATTTGTAATTTAAGTACTCTCTTCGTCAAGCTACAAAGTATACATATTTCTATTTTGGGACATCAAATTACAAAATAATCATTTCATTAAATACCATATATTTTTTTTTTCAAAAATACCCTTATTTTACATCACATAATTACTTTTATACCAAAAAGTAAAGGCAAAAATATCATTACACTACTTTTACCTACTCACTATAGTTAAAATACTGTTATTTTTTAAACTCCGCGCTAAAAGTAAATGTATACTTCTTGCTTGGACGGAAGGAATAAAAATTAAGGATATTTTGATATTAGCGTATAATTATTTAAAAAAAGTAAGTAATGTACACTTTGAAATGAGACATACGAAAATAATAATTAAAAAAATATATATTTTTTGAATTAGAACGAAGAGAACAGTATAATAATAAATATACAAGACAACAAAATGATTTATATTAAACTATGGAATTCATAATTATTAAAAACGAAAATATATACATAGTTATAAGACGAACAGAAATAACAAAATGTATATTTTTACTTATGACATTAATCTAAGCTCAAACCCAAACCTACCCAAAAAAAAAAATCCAATTATAAATTATAGGGGTTGAATTAAATTCTTTTATAAAAAATCCAATTATAAATTATAGGGGTCGAATTAAATTCTTTTATAGCTGGTTGAAGTATTCATCCCTTCACTTTTTTTCTTCTATCACTCAATTAATTCGTATATTTATATTATATTAAATAATTATTTTAATTCAAAATTTTATTATTAAAATTCTATATTTTCGAATAAACATATCAAATTCTACTTTAAATAGGTTGATTATTTGTATTTGTATTGTATGGATTCAAAAACCCTAAAAAAGTTGCAATAAGTGAATTAGCATATACAAACCTGATTTATTTTATTTTATTTATTTTAAATCGTAATGCATAATGTTATGTTGGGAAAAAAAATAATGCAATTAAAAAATTCACACTTTTTATTTTACATCACATAAAATTTAATTATTAAATTATAATATATATATATATAATTAAATTTATATAGATGGTAAAACTCATCCGTGAGTTTGTGAGCAGCGACACTCACTCGCTGATCAACGTATGCATTGAAATGAAGAAATTTTAACTTTATTAGTCTGTCTTATCCAACATACCCTCACAACTAAATAATGATATATTTTTATATTCTTTTCGAATTTAACGAAACCGAAATAATATTTTTATAGATAATTGTGATAATTATATAGTAAAATAATTCATTTTTTTTTTTAAAAAAAAAAAACATACATAGATAGTCCCTCAAAGAATATTTTTTATAGATAATTGTGATAATTATATAGTTAAAAAGATTATCAAACTTACAAAAATACATAGTTCTCGAATTGATTTTTGTACTATTAGCTAACAATTATTCCTTTTGTTCCAATCTAAATAAATTATTTGAAGTTCTGTAGTATATTAAACTATAATAATATTTTATTAATTTGTTAAAATGTGTAAGATTATAATTTTTGTATTTTATGTATAATTTGATCATATTAAAATAATATATTTTTAATTTATGTAAAAATTAAAAGATATTTTGCTATCAATATGTGATTATTTTTACTATAATAAAAAATATATACTTATAAATAGAATTGATAAAAAAAAAGATATATGATATTTTCAATTAGACATACTTGGGGCTTATTTCTATTTGTTGCCAATGCAACCTTATTGATTTTATGTTATTTTGTATTACAAAATATTACTATATTTTAAATTATTATCCAAATAGAAAAAATTAAAATAAAAAGTGTGACACATCATGCTCTTTATTTTTTTATTAAAAATATTATATAAAATACTTATTTTATATTTAAATTATTATATATAATAATTATTTATATCATAGAAAATAGTACATACTTTCTACTCCCTCAATCCCATGTAACATGGGTGTATTACTGTAGACACGAGAATTTAGGTAAAGTATAATTAGTAAGTAATTAAGAAGTGTATTAGTAAAAATAATTATTATTTAGTAAAATAATTATAGATTAAGGGGGTGTTCGGCAAATAGCTTTTTGCAGAGTTTTTAGCTTATTGAACAGCTATTAGCCGTTTGACCAGTCAAAAAGGTAATTTAGGTGTTTGGTAAATAGGCTTTTTGATAATAATTTTTTGGACCCAAAAGGCTAATTTCTGAAAAGCTAATTTAGCCAGCGTTTTGAAATAGCTTTTTCTGTAAAATTTTTTTTATTCCTTATATGCCCTTAAAAATTTGTTATGCATTTTACACAAATAAATATATTTTGATTATTTATTAATTATATTAGAATATTTTATTATATTATAGTTTTACTTTTATAAATTCAAAATAAATAATTTTTATATAAAAATTATTTTAATTGTAAAATATATAAATTTATTAAAATCAACGTAAAATAGAAAATATAAATATTAATAATTTTTTTTATATTAAAATTACATTATATAAATTTTATACTAAAAATAAATTATATAAATTAACTTTATTAAAAATTATAAATATAATGAACTAATCGATAACTAACATAATAAATATATACAAGAAAAATTTATTATTTTATATTTTACCACATTTTCAATAGAAAAAACTATTTATATATTTTAATAAAAATATATTATTTTTTAAATCTAACTGTAATAAAAATAAATACTTTTATAACACTTTTACAATTTTCAATAACTAATAACAAAAAATTTTAAATATTCTAAACTCAAAAGAACATAATTGAATATATTAGAAACAAAAATAAAATAGAAATGTCATCAATTGTCATTTTACGTATGAACAGCTAATATCAAACAGTTGTTTTACCAAACATTTTAATACAAACCCGCTAATCGAATCAGCTAGTCAAACCAGCTAATTGAATTAGCTAACAGCTATCAGCAAATTGAATCAGCTAACAGCTGACCGCTATCAGCTAATTGCCAAACACGTTATAAGATTAAGATAAGTAAATAGTTTAATTAAAATCAAGAAAATTATAAAATTTAAAATGCGATTAAAGTGCATAATTATATTTCTAAAAATAAAAATGACAAGTTGTATGGGACGAACGAAAATAGAAAATATGGACAAATTATGTGAGACGGAGGGAGCATTTAGCTATTTATCACTCCCGAAGTTCACTCGGGTGTGTTGGGGGGTTTGAAATTTTTTTGTTGGAACGTGAATAATAAAAATTTTAAATTCAAATAATTGTTGATACATAAATAGATATTTTGAATATAAATTTTAAATTTTAATATGATATAAAAATAAAAAATAAATATTTAATTTGTTATTTTTAGAGAAATTTTTTGATATATATCCGAGAAATTTTAATAAAAGAAAAGTTTTGTTTACTTGTATTTTCAATGGTGCATTCGTCAGTCATATTTAGTCCATTTTGAAGGAGTATATATATATACATTTAAAAAAAAAAAAAAAAACTTAAAATAAAATTTCAAAACGAAACCCCAAAATGGCGCAGTGTTGTCTGAAATATGAATATTTATAGTTATCTTGGTGTAAAGCGGTGTTACGTTGAAATTCCCCACCACTAAAATGATTTATTAATTGCTATTATATACTCCATTTGTCCCATAAATATAATTTTAATTGAATTGAACATGAGATTTAAGGAATATTTATAATATATTAGCAGTGGATAAAAATATAGATAAAAGATTTTTTTATTCTTGTGAAT